GCCATCAAACTGACTTTTTAATGAAGACGTCTCTCACTGTTCTAGCAATCCGTTATGATTTTATCTATACATCGACAGGCAATCTTGCCCTTGCAACTGAAGGTCTCTTCAAATGCCCGATTCGCTTTTGTTTGTACAAAAATTAGAGGCTTCAGCGGATGTTGGTTCCTTGCTTACGTGGAAAAAATGGGAACGTTATAGACACGCTGGAATAGCTCAACAACTGCGAACGCTGTAATTCTTACGGCGGTGAAGGAGCCTGGAATACAATTTCAAGGTACTTGATGTTAGTATAATCGACAAAGCTGGCCAAGATGGTTTTACATTCAGCCCTTATGCAATCGACTGAAGCAGAACATCCAGCCGGGAATATGGCGGAAAAGCATTCGTAAGGAGAGGTATGCGAAACCCAGATTGTTGCTTTGTAAATTGGATTTATTATTAGCACTGATTGATGTTTTACGGCTTTTGCTAGGGTCTGTTAAAGTACTAAGGTGAAGCATACTCTTGTTGTTGCCAATGCCTTTTCAAAAAGACTTTCAGGGTTGAAAATGAAAAATACAGCGGTTGATTACACCACCTGAGTGATATCGAATTTATGAAATTAAGGTGTCACATTCTTCTTTGTCCAAAATTTTCTAAAACTTGCTAATTGTATACACAAGGATCCAATTGTATCCGGTTAGGACACAGTGAAGCCATTGTTTCGATTCACAGGAAACCTCTGTCCTTCTTACACTGTAGGACACAAAGGGTCACTGAGTCATCTGCGAAATCACGAGCGGTGCTTGCATATGCCACCAGACCCTCTGACCATCTTGATGGCTACAAAGGTGTAACCTCTGTAGATTGATGAAGATGATAAATATGGCGAAAAGTGGACTGCAGTAAGTTTACTTCAGCATTGCACACTTGCCGTAGTTTTTATGTAGAACAGTACAGCCATTTTCTCCCTTCATTTCAGTGAGGCTGAAGTGGTCCTTTTTCTCTTTTCGCGCCTTCAATGGTCATTGGCTTGAAGTTAAAACAAATGCATTTAACATTCTCACTAATACTCCACCCCCATTTTAATGAGGCCCAAATAACGCTTTTTTTTCTGTACCATCCTTCAGATGCCCTTCATTTCTGCTAGCAGAGGATTATGGTCGTAATCCTTCCTGCTCTCACACGCTCACCGCTAAGCTCTGATTGAGGAAGAGATATCTAGCCAAAGGCTAATCACGGATCTCCGCGAACTGTTTTAGCTAACTTAAGAAGACTTGCGTTGTTGTGGCGTTTGGGTGTGGTGGAGATAAAAGAGGTTTGCCGATTTTCATTATCTTTGTATAGTGAATATATGCATGGAAGTTGAATGTGACTAGCTTTTAAAGGAATCTTACCCGCAACTGTAGTATTTTTAACGGCGCATCCGAATCATGACATTGAAAGATATTACAGCACTAATACCTTACTTCTCCAAGTTACAGCTAAATTGGCGCCCGCCTCAATAGTACTTTCCGATTGCTAAAAACCCTCACTTTCAAAACGAGGCCAAGTGCAAAACCATTCTTGTGAAAATGAGATCTGCTTGCATCAAAAGGAAAATCAGTTTTACATCATAGGCCTTTCACTTACCCTCGTTTGAAAGCAGTGTCTTTGTGCATCTCGAAGATGGCCTATTGTATGCAAGATTATCTGCCTAGGCTGAGCGATGAGAGTGCTGATAGACTAATTTGCTACTTTCTGGCCTCGACATCGTGTTTAAAAACAATCGAATTTCCTTTCAAAGCGAGGACAAGAAGGCTAGTCAATTTGCTTGCACACAAAAGAGTGACAGTCGTATCTGCCAATCTGACAAGTTTATAAGAGACGCACAGAAATTGAAAGAAAATACCTAATGCGGCATACTTGCATATTGCAAATCAGGTATACATTTTGCCAACATAGTTTGCACAATCGTGTAGACAATACTGCCTTCATCCATCCCAGATACGCGGCAAAATTTGGGCTGGCAGGCTGCTTTCCGCACCATAACCAAGATAACCTCAAAACTTCTCGTGACAAATTTATTCTGTCTACCGTCTGGCTGAGATTGTCTTGAATGTGACATGAGGTACCTACAATAAACCTGGGACATCCCTCTGAAAGGTCAAACTCCAACTGTTAGGTTGAAACAGCCCAAATTTTTACGTCGATTTGTTCTTATGTGAGGTGCGTTCCGTTGTTGCTTCGTCCAAGCAAGAATCGATCAATCCTTTTTTCTTTCAATGAAAGGACGCAATGGGGCGAAAGTAAACAAAGTCAATTCGAAAATAACCACCAGCTTAAGGTAGTTCAAATAGACGCTAAAAATAATGAGAGTACAAGTGACGGGTCATCTGATAACAAAGCCACAGCGGAAACGGAGACTGCCCGGCATGCAAGCTAAGGACATCAAAGCAATCAGCGATAAACGTGATCCTTGTAAGCTCGAAATTAAAGGGTTGATTATGCGGCACAAACTTTAACAGACTCCCGCCGACAGTAATAAATCTTCGTTGGAGTGACGGGGGTTTGAATAGGATAAGAAGGGAGGGGACGTGGGGTACGTAATCTAAAGCTCATCCCTTACTAAAAGCTTCAATTTATGCTGAGAAAGGCGGTAAAATTTTTCGTATTTGTCGCTCAAGTTACAAAGTCTACGGGAAGGCTGCTGTGTCTGTATTTCTCGATTGGCCTCTTCGTAAGGCCTGCTTTCGTTTGATTACATCAAAAACACGGGCATGTAGCCATTTAAAATGACTCTTACTGTTTGTTACTTACAACAAGTTATACAAGACAGCGATACCAAACCAAAACACCAACAGGAAAGCCACATTTTTATCTTAATAGAGCACTGGCCTCTCTGATACCAGGACTTATCTATTTAATCAAATTTTTTTTTGGCTGGCGAGTCCGAGAACTGAAAGAATTATAGACATCGGGTGATTCTCCTCGTCAACCCCAGAGAAGGGGAAAAAGTGAAAAGTTTCATGGTAAAACTTCGCCTTGATTGAGATTTTAAGAGTACAGTAGTTATACTGGACGTTTGACATGTATTCAGTTCGAAGGTCTTCTTGTCGTTTCAGTTTGTTTACTTCGTATTACTTCTCCAGATGATATTCCGTGATCAAGATAATAGACCCCATTAACTGCACGGCCAGCTTTCTACTAATTTTATCGTTTGTTACATAATATCTGATCGTCTTCGAGACACTTTAATTGTTTTACCCATGCAAATACCTCAAAGGCAGTTTTCCATACCTCCCAGTACTCCTCAGCACTGGAATTCTCTTTCACTTCAGGCTTTAACTCTGCACAGTAAAAGTTGCCCTTACTTTCAAATCATCACTGCATAGAAAACTTCACTGGGTGTACCCACCGAAGGACCACCGAGGACAATTTAGTCTTCGCAAATCTTAGCTGCTTTTGTAATTTAACCAGCCAAAGAGGGTAAAAAAGACTCCGAACTAGCCTTCTCTCCCCACCACCCAATCAAAACCATGGTAACATCAAATCCCCCTCCTAATTTCCTTGGATTTTTTCCAGCAACCGATGAAACTTGCATTCACGCGATCTCGACAGCCAACATTGCAGATCCGATTTGAATTTTTTACAAGTGGTCACGATGATCCGATTTCATAGACTGAATTTACGTAAACACGACCAGAGCTCGATTGAGGCACCGTGAACTCCCGAAAGATGTTAAGCCAACATGCCGTTGTTTACCATTGACTAATTATTCAGGCTGGTTATTTTTATACTGTCGGTGCCTGTTTAGAAACCTTTGAAGTGGTTCCGCCTCATTGCAATTGGACATTAGCCATCTCACTCAGGCAGACAGACACCCACGCTGGTCAACCGAGAGCTTGATTCACGGCGCTTACAGGGAAATTCTTATGTCCGGAAGGTTCTCGCGCTTCAAATTCCACCGCATAATTGTGGTAACCTCTGCAATTCGGCTTGATGTTCCTTGAGCAATTTCTGACTAGATGAAGGCTTAGAATTGCTTACATTCCAACTTAAAGTGTCCGGTTACACATTAATTGTATTGCTTCATTCTTGGCATATTTCCACTTTGTTGTTTGTTCCATTCGAACGGCCTCAGAGGGGTCAATCAAATAAGTTCAAACCATCCATACGCCGTTTAATTGATGACATTGCTACAAAATGTTGCTCAAGGTCGCGTCAATCCAGTTCGCCGACTAATGCGATTTAGTTTAAAAATATAGTTCCCGCCTTTGTATACGTAAAAAAATCACGCACCCATCGGAATTTCAACGTTAGAAATTCTCAGCGTAGGAAAAAATGCCCCTTTGAAAAACGGACTACTCTTTTTATCACATTTACTTCCTTTCTTAATAGCTGTCGATTTAGTCATTGAAAACGCTTAGTTCAGAATTTGACTCAAGTCATTACGCTGTTTATTGTACTACCTGAATATTTCCTTGCTGAAGTCACGGGATTTTTATGCGAAGAATTTTCGTACACTGGACATGTGACTTCCCCTTCAAAACGACTCTTTGAATCGAATCTTTCTGTCCCTCAGTCGGGATAAATTGATTCAATTTGGTTAATCCAAACTATTTTTCATGCACTAGTGCGTGATTGTTATTTTTTTAAAATTATTAAGTCCTTGAAGGATTTTAGCTGTGATCAAAGCACCTTCATTGCAACTATTTAATTCATGTTTCTCTTAAGTCACAGATCTGTACTTCATTATCACTCATCAAACAAAGAGCACTAACTAATATTGGTTTGTATTTCAAAAAGCACCTAACCGTAAACGTGTTTACATGTCAAAAATATAAAGAGTACAAGTTTTCCCCTTATAAACGTTAATTTGAAAGAAACACCCCCAGGAAAAAGATCGTCACTTTACTACAGCAATATAAAGCGCGCTTTTAATTTCAATGAAATCGATCACACCATGTTTTCCACTTCAAAGAGCACGTGTTTTCGGTGGGACCTTGCGCATGCCCACTGATTGCGCGAGGTAAGTTTAACAACGAAGAGTATAAACCGCCTAGAACGAGCTACGCTAAGCTGGCATACAGTAGGCAATTCCAGTGACTGCCGCCAGATTTTGCTGTGATTCTACGCCAGGTAGACATCTTGTTAAGGTAAATAATAATGTGTAGTGGCATTCCACTAGGGCGGTCGTGCCAACAACATATTGCGTGAGTTCTTGATATGGTTTCTTTTTTCGGCTCGCTTCATGCAAACTACGGTAAGGTGCAAAAACACACCTTGGCATTAAAACTCCGATTCCTCCCTTTTTTCTTGGGAAGATTTCGCATCTTTTAGCCTATATCGGCAACACTGAATGAGTTGTTCAAATTTAAACATCACTAGAGTAACGAGGTTTACCCATACACACACCTCTTGTTCTCTGATGAAGGTTACGATTCGGAAAATGTCGTTTGTTTTGATCCATTTCCAACAAAGCACTCTTAGGCACGCGTTTGATAAATGCCGCAGAGATGGGCTTCCGAATTGCTTGAATTGCGTGCGGCTCGTGAAAGGCATCAAGCATTGTTTGGAAAAGGAAACAAATTAGTGCAATCACAAGGCTGTTAAAAAATATATATTTTTAGTGTTTTGAAATGGTCTTACACGTTTGTATAGAAGTGTGTTGTAAATCGGCTAGTTTCCTCTTTACGTTTAGTGACGTTTTAAGTCGCTCAAATCTCTGCTTAAAGGTTGCATGCACTGAACTGCACTGATTCAACTGAGCATACAACGGAAAGCGTAACAAGGGACAATCAATTTATTCACTTAGATGTTAACTTTGTTACCACTCATAGCGTGACTACCATTGTTCATAGCGTCCGCTCAATATTACTGATTTTTGCGCGCGAAACTTATGGAGATTCTGTTGACCAAAGAAGCCCTTTCTTCATTCGCGACTAACAGTATGTGTTCTTGTAAGCACTGAGCCATTTTCCGGGATGAGTGTCGTGTTTATGTCGGACAGAAGACACTACTTATGGTAACCAAATATGATTAGAATGCAGCTACATGCAAAAACAAATATGTTAACCTGAGTGGCTCTTCAGAGTTTCGTCGGTCATGAATACTCACTCTACGGCCAACCAAAAATACAAAGCACTTTTTGTGCATCACCTTCTCTCTCTAAAGAGCCTTGTTGGAGTTTGTTTAGGTAAATTTGGCGGAAACGCTAAGCTAACTCTCTCAGGTCACGGTTATTTGGTTTCGCTCCTTTGTTCTGTCTGTACTCCGAAGACCACGCGACGGCCAAGTCTCGGTGCAAACGATATAAGGCAGCGTAAGAGGAAAACAAAACATCGAGCAAAGCTCATGTCAGTTCCGAATAAGTAATTCTAAATGAATACAAGCGATGCACTCTGTGTTTGTCATAAATCTTTCAATGATCTTCAGCTTTTATCGTTAACGTCATTCAAAACAGTGTACTGTGTTTAATATACATCACGAAATTACATCGAATTGGTTTCGTGGATTAATTCCCGTTGTAACAACGTCGAAATAAAACTTGATCTCTATCATGAACTCCCGCAATTGTCAAGTTTGCCTTTAGGGAACGAATTCTTCAACTTCAAAGCAAGTCAAAATGAGGGCAAAGTTTGATTGTATGATTCCATGGATTCATGTGGTTTCGTATACGTTATTCCTTCAAGGTCATCTTTGGTACTTAAAATGGTTGAAGCTCTGGGAGGAGCATTCCTAAGTAAAGAGCTTCACACCGAAAAAACTCGCCAAAAGCAATTTGATGTGGGTTTCTCTTAACACTAGGTGTACAATGATTCCGTGACTTGAATGATACTTAATTGTACACGAAGAAAGTCGGGCGAGCAAATGATTAACACCCCTCCATGCTCGTAGTGAATCTGATATGTCGTCGGCTTACAGCCTAGAGACGTTCTAGCTACGGGACAATAAAAAAGATAAAATAAAATACCAAAAAACAAAAAGAAAAAAAACGTGTTTCACGAGTGATCATAAAGAGTGGCTTCCAGCTTGGGATTCAGCTATGATCAAACTACGACTGATTCTTTTGTCGAGGTTACTACAAGGGGTTATTTAATACACGACTAATTTTATTTTTGTCTTTTCACGTTACTGCGAATAATCAGAAGTGCCAACAAATGTTTTGGGTGACTTGAGCAGTTTCTAAAAGACTCTGTGAGTGTAGTTGCGTTTGTACTCAAAACGCAAAAAGTGTGATTTCTAAACTTAATTGATCACATCTTAACATGGCAATGTTTGGTAACATTAAAAGCTTGTATCGTAGTTGACTATGTGAACAATCATGTCTAGTTTAACTATTTCATGAAAAGGTCTTCTCTTATATAGCAAACACGATCGAGTAGCGCTTCATTTCTGTAGATACATCAGCACAAAGGTTGAAGCACAAGATTTAAACACTTGATGGTTTAATTCCAAAATGAGTGAACCTCGAAGATATTTTTTGTCAATTCATTAATTCATGCAACAAAAAGCAATACACGTTTACCTCAAGGAGAAAGTAATCAATCGGCAAGACACACAACTTTTTTTCGCAAGCATCTTTACAATAAGTCTAACTAAATTGCGACCAAATCTACTTAATGGCATTGCTACCATTGGAATCTAATGTGTTTTCCATGTTGGCACGGATGAGTTTAAAAAACCAAACATTAGAATATTAATCTTGTATCTATTATGATCTTTATATTTTGCTTTAGCACTAAAAATCCGCGGCGACTGTTATCAAACTAGAATTGAGATGGATATTTCTCGTCTTAAAATAAGATAGTGTTATTGTATGCACTACTTCGTTTAGCACCCTTGAGATGCATTGATGAAAACAAAAAAGCTCTTTAGAGAAGCATGCGCTATACTTGTTTACTGCCAACAACACTCTGCGTGGAACTAAATGATAAAACTTAACATTTTCATTTGTTCTCGGGATAAGTTGAGATTTTACTTCTCCAGCGTTGGATTGATTTAAGTTGAAAAACAATGAAAGCTTCCTTCAATGCAAATATCGACAAATGGATTTCTAAAATGCAAATAGCTTGAACAAGACTGAGGCTCTTTTTCGCGAAATTCAGTTTTCGTTTAAACCAAAACAAGAGTACATCTTTGCAGTTGACGTTTTTTTTTTTTTTTTTTGCTACTCCTTGCTTCCGCTGGGCAAAACTCGATGTCCACGAGGTACACCTTGGTTATATACATCACAACGCATTGCGCATCTTTAACACAACTCTTAAACTAAGTGTGCAATCCAAAAGTTTACTAGTTATTTTTGCGCAAGATTTTCTCCGTGTCAGCTTCGAGGCTCATGTTTTGTCTTGAGCATTTCTTCAACAGTGGTTCTCGACGAAGAACTCACCACTAACTAGATAATCTAGTTGAACCCAATAAGGGGTCCGGCGTCTTTCCGGGCTTCATTCTTGTGGACAGCGCGGAGATAGCTTTGTGCAACTGCGCTATCAGTTCTATCTACTATTAAATCGAACAATAGTTACCTTCCTACCTGTACTGAAAACAAGGCACGATGTTTGAAAACTGAAAAGGAGTACGGCAAACGAATTTTAAAGCGGCTTTGGAAGGTTTCTAAACTTCACTGTGAGAACAGTCTTATGTGTTGATCACTAGAAATCAATACATCCTAGATGAACCACCCTGAATCGCCGTAACATTTTGAACACCTGGTTGCATACATGTCGAATGTACCTTACAGTATTTTAACTCGAGTTTATTCGAATCTCTGTCGTATGTTTCGAATGAAACTTTTACCTCGTGGAGGAAGGCCAATTCTCTATTTTGGAACAAGTTCTGAAGTTGTCCTCCTCTTTACCTTAGCCCGTTTCTTTTTTGAAAAGTTAAGTCATCTATTGGTGTATTTCATTCTTACACTAATCTTTAGATTATTTTCTGAGGTTATCCCTTGAGATTTCGCTTTGAACACTTCTCGATGATAGCTAACAATGGAATAAGGTTGTAGTTATGTTGTGCCTTATCGCAGTCTCTCGTCAGTCACATCTGTAACGCCTTTTTTTAATAAACAACGGATTTTAAGACTTAGACTTTAGAGCTTAGCATTTCTCATCTAAGAAAAAGGGTTTTATTTCAAGGGAGAGTATTTTTGAGTAAGTAATTATAGTCAACACAAACATTAAGAAGGTGCAGAACATAACGGGTATTTTGTTAGCTGTATGGAATCATTAACACTGCAATGCGGAAAAACGTGAAGCAGTTAGCTTAAAATTGTAGTTTTCATCACAGAGCAAGTGTTGATAAATCGGCCAGCAGGTCAAAATCTCCAAAAGCGTCAAGAGAAGAACCAAACCGGGATTATGTCAGCTGAATACAATGATTACAATTTAAAAAATATGAAATTGTACTCGGTAAATTTGCAATTCCCTTTTTTATCCATGGAGCAAGTACTTCTAAATGTGTCGAAATTAAAATTTCTGAATGTAAAGACAAATCAGGAAAAAATAGTTGAACACCCTTGTTAGCTGGAACATATTCAACCCCGAAAAGCTTATTAAGAATCTATTTACGTTATCGAGAATGTTCAAAACAGTATTTGAAGGTGTAAATTTTGTCAAAAGGAGCCATACCGTCATTTTAGGTCTTACCGTGAATTGTTTAAAAAGATTCCACAGAAGCACATGCCTACTTGTAGGTAGATAGGTTATTTAACTTGCTCTTAAATATGTTTCAGCCTCTCCATATTTCAGCTTTATTCTTTTCGTATTTTGAGGTAGAGAAAAATGAATGAGAAATTTTTTCCCCAGAGAATTTAAACCTCCACCGTTTACAGGAACGTAGAAGACTAAGAAATATTTTCGTTATAGCGATTGAATCATATAGACAAAGTTTGGTACATAAAAAAAATAATCTTTATGGTGAACTGGATAGGATCTTTTTTTCTCTATGTGACATATAAAAGATTGTATAATACATCTTCTTAAATTTATTTAAAACGATTGAAAAATTTTGCGATGTTTTTAAGCTCCTCCATAACATTTCGAGATAGAAGAATATTCCTCCCGTCACATTTCGCGTTCATGGCAGGTCTCGGAAAATTACCAATTAGAAGAGTTTTAACAACTTTTTGTTTGTGTAAAATAACAGTAAACACATCATATAAATGTGTCAAAGTCAAGAATTATTTAAACCTTTTTCATTAGAAGGACCGGCTCAGCTTTGTTTCAAGACCCGTCATCTATACGATCCAAATTCTGATCGCTAGGGCAAGGAAAGGGAAATAATGGCCAAAAATACTTCAAAGTGCTCTCGGATTTGTACAGTAGTTTATCACTTCACAAACTTTAACGTTATTTAGTATAAAGCGCACACAAGGCGTCGTTTAAAAATAGCGTGGAAATTTTAATTGGCTTTCAGGAAAGCTATTCTTTTTGTAGCCGAATCACGATATTCATGATTTCTCCGGGTGTTTTTGTTTCTATTTGAAGCTCGCGTGCATTAAATCTTTACACGAAACAGGTCGGTAATAGATAACTCCTATGTTTGTCTTTGAAATTATCACCATCTCAAAGAGACCCTATCGTTGAATCCCAAACAAGGCGTCTAAGAACAACCTCAGAAATATTTCATGCGTGTTTAGATGGTGGTAAATGGAAATCAAACGATTTCAAAGAGAGTCTTTCATCAATTATTCACAGAAATCACTCTGGCGTAGCGAGTGATTCCAAAGGGCCGCTCTTTGTTCCCTCTGCAATCTAACGGTTTGTTACTGGAAGTATAGCCTACATATTCACGCTGCTTTCAACGGTTACCTCAAAAGGGTTCCTGAGCCTGACTGCTGTGACAAGAAGGTAAAACACTGCATCTGACTCGTCGCGCCAAAATCGTTACATCTTGTACGCGTAAATGCGTTTATGCGGTGCTAAAATATTTTGAATACTGAATGCGCTTCACCATTTGTTTTCTACCTCCCCTCTAGCTTAATACTTTGTAGCCATTTTGTATTTGTTTACAAGACTTGTAGGGCCACCCAGAGATTTTTATCCTCTCAATGCCGGCCCTCTGCCAAAAGTCCTATCACTCACTAGGCACATCGCCGTATTAAGGTGATGTCGCAAAATCACAGCGACCACAACGCATCGAAACAGTCTATTTGCACCTACGTTCAGAAATAGGAAAAGGAGGCACGGTTATTCTGGATAATTTCCAGATTGGCGTGCAGAGTAAATAATTTCAGTAGGGAAGTTAAAGTAATTAGGAAACAAACTGCATATGCAACCGGCAGTTATCTGGAGAAAGAGAACCCCTCTTGGATATCAGGCTTCTCAAACTGTTGTACAAGTGATGAGATTTGATGAGATTAGCTTAAGTGCTAACTCATTTTATTTCTCGGCCATAACAGCGTATGCCTGTTAGTGCCCTCGTGGTGATCTCACTTCTGTTCACTTTTCAACGTTCATTCGCGCAGCAGATATCTCGCAGCAGATTCAGCCGCGTGTTTAGAACCACTTGGGAAGCGAGCTTCATTCAATGGTTAGGCCATTGTTACGGCGAACGACAAGTAAACAAACCCAATGCGCCCATCCGATTGGCCCGGCACTTGTCAAGCACAAAGCCTTGCTGACAGTTGATAGGGTTTAATTGTTCGTTATTATTTGTATGCTTAGCGACGCCATGCAGAAACTTCACACAAAAGCTCTGTTCCTGGCTAACAATCCTCGCTGTACAATGGCGGACGGCTTCGCTCACCGATAGTTTACGAATTCCCGCGATCGCCGCCAGCGGGATTCCCGTCTCACTGGCGCTAGTTCTCTCTAAAATAAATCATTTACCAATTAGCGGCCCCCGCTGTAGAGCTTTCCCGCCGAGCCGCTCATTGGCTGAAAGGCAATCACGTGCTCGCCGCCTGACGAAAGGGTACCTTTCACTTCGCTTGTGATTTGATGATCGAATTCGCGACTAAGGAGTTTGCGTGTTGTATCTAGTTGACGTTGAGAGGTTAGCTGATCGGAGCAAGTTTACATGCTCTGTGCGTGTGGCGGGAAAAGAAAATCGCATGGCGTCACGGTATATATCATAAAGACATTTGGATCTGCGATCGATGTTACTATATAGGCAGTTTCTCTAAATAAGGGTAAAGCACCAGCTTCTACACAGTTTATTTCTTAGTAGGAGATAAGCCTTGTTGTGATCCGTTCGTAGATTTCTGCCGCATTGAAGCGATCCGTGGCCACGTGTGTGTGAGGTTTGTTTACGTCCGATCGACTAGCCCTTGCGTCCGCTTTCTACTGAAATTAAAGCTCGATCAAAACAAATTGGCTGTAAAAATCGGTACAGTTGACGCACATTGCTCACAGAGCTTAACAGGTTAGTAGTCTACGCAGGGGAACGCGTCGGGAGGATGGTGGTTTGTGTCAGGAAAGAGCGGCATTTTGAAAACATGTTTGTGGCAGAGTGCATTTTCGCGTTAGAAAATTCAACCAAATCCGGCCATTAGGTGGATGCTCTAGTATCTTGTTTAAATGTTGAATTGACCTAACCAGTATTTTTTGTCAATTTCCTTTTAGATTCGGGGCAACTGGAATGAAGAGGCCCTCGATCGCTTGTAGGATTGTAGGCGTATAATGAGCGATTCATTAGTTCAGGTTCTAGAGACATCAACGATGACAACTGATCGAACAAGCAACAAAGATCGTACGCATTCCAAGGATGGTGAATCGCACGCCTCTCACGGGCCGCACGACCCAGCAGCGCCTCAGGATCACGCGAGTAGGGAGCTACCAGAAGGAGAAACGCTGGAGGAACGCGAAACGCCTACCGCGGAGGCTGAAAATCGCAATCAAAACGGACAGGAAAAGGATGACAAGAAGGTACCTTCCTCTAAGAGTATTCCTGTAGTATGCCACATCCGTTCATCATGTGACATGCTGTACGTTGATCTTCATTGCTTCTTATAGAACGCTGTTAAAAGCCAGAGCGCAGTATTTGGTGTGTTTTGCTTTCATTTTAGTAAGCTAGCGTTTATTGCACGATCATGAATAATGAAATCTTGGCAGTGTTTGTTGGTTTTGTTCGCGTGTTACGGCAACCGCGTTGCCGCGAATTCCCCACATTCCCGCGTTTTCGGTGTCATTTGTATACAAAATCGCAAAAGATAATTATTTGGCTCTTCGAGAGCTGAGCCGGTGAAATCTTTGAGCAGTAGTCGTCCTGTGATTGTGCTTGTGTTGTAAGATTGTAATTTCCCACGGCACGGCTTTGTTGGTGTCGATCTTTTGTGCGTAGCAAACATTTCACTAAAAGCTCTTTATTCCAGCCACCACCGAGCGTGTGAAGCAGCGCGGACTAAATGTCTCCTAACCACACCAGATCCTGTCCTTTTGCTGGGTCACAATGTTTCAAGGAACATTCTCTACACTTACAAATGAAATTTGAGTTACTATTTTGCAAAGATATCGGTGGTATCCGCTTATGGTTAGCGTATAGGATCACAGTTCTCGCGTTACTAGTACTGAGTAAAGCAAATGACAAAATTTGTCATTAAATCATGTTGTCGTCGCTATTTTATCCGTGAGGACCCCTGTTTCGATCGTCTGGTTGTTTTCAAGTCTTTTTATTCGCGTGATTTCGTTACTACGTAGAGTGCTCTGCGTCGGTGAATCGTCGTATGCGAGGTAAATATTTAGCCTGATTAAAATGAGCCGCTGGTTGTGCTGCACTGCGTAGCTGTGTACCGTAAGTAATGTTTACATCAGCCGTCATTTTCCTTCTTTATTTTTAACCCTTTCTGTACGGAAATAAATTTACAAGAAAAAAAGAATATGTCTTTCTCCTACTCGTCTTCACAGATTTTTTCGCGACAACGAGCAGTTTAAGCGTTGTAGTGAAATTAAGTTAGTCTTCACGTAGAAATTTCGGAGTCTGCCTATATCTCTGCTGACTCTCCGTGTCTTTGTTGATGATACGTAGTATCAGATAAGTCATTCGATGGCATTGTGACGGCCGTGAACTGGTTTTGCTGACGGAAGTTAGGCTTTTACGACAAAAGTTATGCGTGACTTATTCAAAGCCGTCAACGAAATTATCGTGAAGCCCGCAAAGCTTGCTAATTTACATTCTGCAGTACACGGTTTTCAATGAAGCTGGCTATTTCAGATTGATGACGTTTTAAATCTCCAACCATCGTGAACATCCCTTGTAGCGAATTCATTGCTCACCTATTAGACAGTTTTAGGATTCTGGGCGCTAGGAGATTTCTGGAGTTTGTAAGAGAGGGATTAATGGAAGATTCGATAGGTTTAATTGACTTCAAATTACAATCATAGCTTCGACGCCGTTCATCTTGTTTTGTCAATAGGACATCGGAAGTTCTTTAGTCACGGGAACTTTTTGTTTACCCTTGAATCCCGCCGAAAAAAATCTGGTTTCCGGATCTAAAAAGCTTCGTTACTGCCCTATGTGGTCCGGGAAATTTTGATCGAAACAAATTTAGATTCAGTCTAGAGAATCTTCTTTGAAACCGTTAAAGCGACTTCCTCCGGATTAAGTTGATAAATTGAATGTAATTTTATATCGCTGTTTCGTTTCTCGCCAATGCACGCCAATTTGTCATTACACAGCAGTCTGAAGTAAAGACATTAGTTTTCGGATGGGTTTTATTTTGCTGTATTTCCCTATTTTTATGTTCGCGATAACGAGATTCTGGCCCTATGTATAATCTTAGTTTTAGCTGTTACCTCTAGTTTTATGAATTTTGTTCTTACAAGCTAGGCGTGTTTCTTTTCCCGGATCGTGAATCGTCTTAAACGTTTATAAAAGCCTACCATATTTTTCAATTTGTTTCTCGGCTTCATGAGGAAAATAAGAGTAAACAATACTCAAGAATAAAATTAGTGCGATATGTGACTTAGTGAGCCACGCTAAGCGCAATATACCAGAATCAATACACACTTGCAACATTTTTTAGCTGAGTTAGAGGCGACCTTGGAGCAGTTTTCTTTCCTTTCACAATAAGCTCTATAAGCATTATAGAAACATTATTTAGGCTTTCTCCAAAACTGTGTATTTGGATAGTTAATCGCTCACAAGAATATCCTCCGTGAGTTGTTAGTGTTAATGTTTGTGCATTTACGAACAGAATTTCGCGAAATCGTGAGTCGAGATAAGAAAAACGCTCGTTATCGGAGTGTTCTCCGTTTTCGCTGTTTACCCAGGAAATGTAGATATGACGAAATAACCCTCAATTATCAATGTCTTAAAATTGACCCAGCGTTTTCAATAAACTTACGTACTCCAAGTAAAATATTTAATGGATATCAAGATATTTACGTTGACGTTTTACAGCAACCCTCTCGCGGTTTCCCTGTCAAATTCATTTTTTCGTGCATTGGAGACTTCTGAGGGAGCAATTTTTCGTTTTAAAACTTTTCCATTTCAGAATTTTTTTAAAGGCTGTGTTATGTTCAATTTACTTTGGCTAATTAGACTCAAATTTCAGTGACAAATATTGTCGCCGAGACCGTGTCAGTCTCCCAAGGCTGAAATTCAAGTCCAGGTTTGGCTAAATGAAATTAAGGCTTGAACAAAACAGCATTAAATTTAATGGGGATTGTAATTTTTTTTAAATTTCCGTTGGGCATTTATCTAACCATGAATTCCTCTAGAGAACAGAAATGCATTTGATTGAATAAAGATAACAGATTTAGAGTTAAACGCAAGCGAGGCAGTTATTATAGTTCAGAGAAGGATAACAATTCTTTCAGTAGGTGTTGTTGTAAACTTCTGAATAACTACAGTTTGTTCTTGTGACTAATTACCCATGTCTACTTTTAAACATTTCTATAATATTGAGTATTGAATTCCCCTGTATCACGTCGAATAGCTTGCAGTGTGCTATCTTAGTTTGGCACTCCAATTGTTAGTATCTTCAATATTTTTTTCCTTGATATGAGAAGCCCTCAACATAAGTAAAACCATTTTGAACATGCTTTATGCTGGAAATGTCATTGGAACGTTTTTCTATTATATTTCTCACACTAACAATCTCTTCTGGGAAAATATTTTAGAGGATATTGCAGGAACTTTGGGTAATATTTCCACTTCCTCACTGCCAAAAATCGTTTTGTGCTAAACAATGAGCTAGAGAGGCATTTTTCTTAGTTGGAGTTAACATCAAATCTGAAAAACTTATCACCTGGTGCTCAATTCCTGTTCGCTCGCAAGTATATCTTACTCAAGTTTAAGGTTTTCTTTTGCGTAATATTCAACGTAATCTCAAAACAGAACTGAACGCCACAATAATGCATTGTTACTAACAAAAAGGGAATTGAAATCATCATGAAATTCGACAAAGATTGCACTCCACAGACATTTAAATTTACAGACTACTGCCTAAATAATATTTAGTAATCTCAAGTAGTAAATTACTCTTTTGAATGTACACCATATAAATCATTTTTTCTGGTAGGTTAAATGTACCCTGAAGTGTTTGTTTCAAAATATTTAAGGCATGTTATTTTTTGGGTGAAATATATTTAACCTTGAATGGTCTTCCATTGTGGAATTTACAAACAGTTTTGAGCTGTGATTGCAGTTAGATTTTGATCACAGTTTGAAGCCATCCTCGATGAATGTGGAAATAACTGTCTGCCTGCACCCTAGACAACTGGGCCCGGTAGTTTAAAAGAGGGTTAAGTCTTAACCCAGGGTTAATGTCAAATCTGATTTCAGGTATGAAAGGTTTAAAAGAAATGCAGTAGAATTCTTTTTGTAAATAATTTGATGATTGGATACTCTGAAAAGAATAGAGAAAACTATCAAAAAGCTATAGAGAAAAGGAATAAAGAAACCCGCATGAAAATTTAACCCTGGGTTAGCGCTAATCAGCCTTTGAACAACAGTGGGCCAGTATATAAACAGTACCTACCTGGAAGCAAAACTACTTTTCCATGCAGCCAGTTCTTATATTTGAGTGGAAAACTTTTGATAGTCTGAAAGCCAGCTAAGATTGAAACACTTCTAAATTGGTTTAACATCATTTGAATTTGTGTAGGTGTCAATAAGACAACCACAGAATCAGAGCAGAAGGAAACAACCTGCAAACCTTCCAAAAGCAGTAAGTGACCATGACAACACTGAAGGTGTTCCAGTCCAAAGACGTAATTTCAATTTTAGCCCACAAATATGCCCACTAAATATTGTGTTACCTATTGTCGTATTTATGCTCAAGAGTTCTGATACTGTTTTTTTCTAGGAGAAGTGACATTAAGTAACTTCTTGTTTACATCAGAGCAAGGCACCCTAACTTAACCAATATCTCAGTTCTGCACTTTGAGTTAACAAGTTCTCAATACAGCAGTCAACAATAATGAATAAAGCAGTTAACTCTAGAAAAATCAGCATGCATGTTTTCCTTACAATTTCAGTTAACTGTCAAGTAGGAAGGTTATGAGATTTAAGAAAATTCTCAACTTGAGAATATAGTCCATTTCACGTTTGGTTATTTTTTACTGTCGCCATAGTATTCATAAAGTTACTTTGAATTTAATGTCAGCAACAGCAACAGCAGCAGCAAAAGTCATACCATGGAGGACGAAACATTCGTTCAAGTCCAGGAGGAACATGGCAAGCATACCCTTCGTGGCCTGTAGGATTCACATCACCGCGTTTCCCACCAGCAGCTCCTATATATGGCTATGCACATCCCGGGGTAAGATGAAAGAGAAAATGCTCACCATTTTTCAGAAGAAGCCACAGGGTTGTAAATATTCCACACAGGAAGAAATATTAAAGGGTTAATGTAGAGGTTGAGTTTTGTAACCAGGTTCACTCAAGCACTACACAGAAGTCGCATTATTCTAAGAGGAATATGAATGTCCTTGAAATAAGGATCTGTAGAATTAGTCGCTAGGGAGTGATTTATGGGAAGGACACTCCTCTAGTTTATTTAAGTATTTCCAATGTGAGACCTAAGTTTAAAATTCAAGGATAACACAGAAAAAAATAGTGAAATAACCTACTACTGCCCATCACTAGATTCAGTGAAAAACTAGTTCGTCCAGTTCTCTGTTGTCGCAGTAAATTAAGCAAAAGTTAGATAAAGGCAAATAATCAGCACTCTGAAGTTGTTTTTTCTCAAGAGAAAGATGGCAATAGATATTGTTCTTGTGTTGATTGTGCTCTATGTTGCTATTCAATTAGTAGTTATCATACAAGGTAAGTCTCCCCTGCAAGAATTTGGTCACTTTTGTTACAACTGTTGCGGTAAAGTCCCAGGTAGGATTTTTTACCAGCAATGCTAGGCAAAATCAGAAAGTATATCACTTTCATTCTACCTGACTCAAAAGTCACCAGAAAGTGATGACATAGCCACAGGTGCAATTAAAAAGCAGTGATAAGCATTTACTTTTTGAACAAGGAAAGATTTAGACAAAGAGTGGCAAACTTAATCAAAATCAATGACACTGAAACTCAATCTACCTTTTTCCATACTTGGCATTTCCTGCATTGTTAAAGGTATTCAAATGTAGTATAGGATTATTTAAACAATGTTGGCACAGAGTTGGAATTGTCGCACCTGACCATTTTTGAAACCTTTGCCAAAGTATTTTTGTGTTGATTAGTTCAAAATGGTCAACATTTCCTCATTAAGATGATTCAAAAAAATTCCTAAATGGTTAAGCAAGTTTCTCTTCTAGCACCATATCAGTAGTTCTTATGTATATTGGTGAATGTGATTGTAGTTTTCGTTGAGAAGAATTGAGAATCTTAATTGAAACAAGTTTTGCAATGAATATCAGGGTTAGACATCATGTTCCCATGTGGCATGAGCTTTTGTTAGACAATGTTTTGTTTATAGTAAGCCAAATCCATTCTCACAGTTTTATAAAACATTTCAACTATGTAGTCTTGTAATATAATGATGAAAGGCTATCCATGAGGTCATTCACACTTACACCAAAACACGTGTTTGGTTATGTAATAATTCTAAATCCAAGTTATTAGTCTCCATGAGGTGACCTTCACTGGCAGGAAACATGTGCAAAGTTATATGATAAGACATAAGTAAATACAGGACTGCAAATTTTGGTGATAGTTAATTTAAATCACTGGTGTGTGGTACCTTATCACTAGATGTAGACTCCCTTTCATTCTAACGGTTGGATAGTTTACCAGGGGCAGTGATCTCTGCAGTGTAGACATTTCTGGTAGCGTGCACATACCTTAACTTGAAATCACAGGGTTAGACAAGGTTGTGTTGTTTACATTTTTTGAATGCTAGTGGTTGAGGAGTAAAGCAACAGACAGGAAGGAAAGGTCAAAAGTTTTGTAATTTCATCTCTACAGTTAATTAGGCATCTGTGTCCTTCATAGAAAATGTCTGGCTCGCCAGGGTGGCTTCACTGATTGCATAACCCTCATAAACTTTAGAGAGGCTAGTTTTACTCACATTCAAGTGCCAGATCTGTGCTATCATTTCATGGTAAATCTTAAGTTGGACTGTTTATTAGAATATTAGTTCGTTATTCCCCAAATTTATTTTTTGCACAGATAAAACCCAATTATCACATTGATGAGGCTCATTGCAAAGCTGTTTGCCCGTGTGGGGTCCTGTCACTAACTAAGATCACAGACCACATTCCTCAGATTCTTTCTCCACTTCTATGAGACTTAACTTCTGAAACTGGAGAGAGGGTGTTATTTCATAATCTGGAGAGAATGAATGTCCAAAAAAATGTCTGATTAACTTAATGTTTGATTGACATCTAATATTAAAAAAAATAAGGGGTTGAAGAGGTTGACCAATTCATAGGAAAATGGTAGTAACCTTATTGTATGACAGATACTTATTTGCATTAGGTTAGTGGTGGTGAAAATATTTCCAGTGAAGTTTTATGGAAATTGAATACATATGACATTTCACTCTCTTAATGGCAAATAACTTCATCCTGGATGTTGTAAATATTTGGCAGAACCCACAATTTAAGCTAGTTTGAAGAGCTCATCAAACCATACATGGTGGTTGTTCTCACTTTGGGGTAGGGGTCTTATTTTTTCCTCCCTTATAATGTGGTGAAGACTTGCATGGTATGCTGTTAACCAGATTCCTTTAACCAAGATCCAAGCCAAATTGCTCTGGCTTCAATATGTGGCTTGAACACTCTACAGAAGCATATATTGACACCTTATGTTTGCACATATACTTGTTGTAGTCTTTTCATGTGCAACAGCAACACCTTTATGTTTCCTCATGGTTATTAGGTGTGAAGGGAGGTACAATTAGGTCAGGATAATTTAGTATTATCAACTGAGTTGATAATGTAAATTGGCCACTGTAAAGAGTGTAAAAGTTGATGTTTGGAGCATTAGTCCTTTGTCAGAGTGATAGATGAACAGCTAACACTTGAAACGTCACCTTTGAAATTCTTTACCATGGCCAATTTACATTATCAACTTGGTTGACAATATTGAATTACCTTGCTATACTGATGCAGCACCACATATAGCCACTATACTGACTCTCCCACTGACGCAGCACCACAGTTTCTTTAGAAACTTACCCCCTTTATACCATTAGGTCATACAATGATCACCAAGTTGCATGTAAGAAGATCACCATGTGATCACTGTACTGATCAACAATATATAGATTTAGCCAAGTCTAAAAAAGCGGAGCTCGCATTTTTTTTCCCACACGTCTCTTCAACAAAACTAAAGCCCATACTATGAATAAAGTGCGTGGTAATATTAATGGATTTTCATTCACAACTTCTCCGCGTCCATGTAGAGGACTGATTATAAGATAGCGCCCATGGTACAGTTGGCCGCACATGCTAAAAGTAGCACCTTGTAAGGTCATTCATACGGCCATATGGTCATACATCCAAATTTTTTTGGCTTGATGGGTTACTACTATTTTGTATAATTATGGGGCTATGCTCTGCGAGCTCCACTATAAATTAGACATATCAGAGATACTGTTATCTTCCAAAAAGCATCTTCCCTTGAGCTAAGAGGCTGTTTTTTTTCAATCTCACTGACACAGGCATATAATATACCAGGCAGTCCACCACCAACATCAGGACAGAGAAGTTTATCAGTTAGTGACAATCAAGATGAACCTGAAGAGAAGCTTAGCAAAACAAACCTATACATTAGAGGACTTTCCCCTGGAACAACTGATGAAGATTTAAATAATTTATGTAGCAGGTGAGGGGGCAAAGCTTTTGGATTGTTCTCTCTATATTTAATGGTTTGTAGTGGATTTCACACTAGGTAGTTGTCAGCTTGTCTGTGCACCACAACTGTACCTCCTTCCTTCCTTCCTTCCTTTTGTAGCTTTTTCCTTCTCAATTCCTCCCCTCCTTTATTCCTCTTTCCTTTTTCCTCTTCTTTTAAGCTTAGTCTTTTGGTGCCTTCCATCATCCTATCATTCAATTCTCTTCTCCTACCTTCATCCATATACTTGACTGATTCATTCACATCACCCTTGGTATTCAGTCAAGTCGCCAATGGTTCAATTTGCCAATGCCAACTCACCAATGAATAAAATCAAGTAGAGACATTGGCAAGTTGGTCTGCAATCCAGTAGAACCTATTAGAAGTTAAACATATAGGAAAGTAAACGATCTTTAGAAAAAAACAATTTTTTTTCTTCCAACAAAGTTTATAAGGATCTCATAGTGAATAAAGTGAGGTAAACATTGCCAATGACTGTAAAAGCTTCAGATGCAAACAAGTTATTGTGTGACAACAACACTGTAAAGACTCATCATGTCAATTGGTCAGATTTTTTAAAAAACTTGGCTTTCTAGACAAGATCTTTAGTAAAAAACAGTTCCTTTTTTCCAATTAAGTTTATATTTTATTGTTTTTTCACCAAAATTCTCTTACTTTTCCATATGTTTAAGAATTTAAAGAAAGCAAAAAAACTTTAAAGTCTGTAATACATTTCGACAGAAACTTCTGTCATCTTCAGTTAATTAATGTACAAAGAGTTGGAAGTTGAATTATATAGCAAGTAGAAAAATGCTAATTATGATAAATGGTGACAACCAGTAAAGCATGAATGTGTGAGAATTAAAAGGATAGTTTTAGATCTACATGGTGTAATCAACTAATTACAACATGTAGATAGCTTTGTGCATTAATTAACCGAAGATGACAGAAGTTTCTGTTGAAACATGTATTAAAGACTTTAAAGTTTTGTTGCTTTCTTTAAATTCTTGACTTGCCTGCTAATATCAAGACCCCATATGTTTCACTTCTAATAAGTTGTACTGGACTGAAAACCAACTCACCAATGTCTCTATTTGATTTTATACGTCAGCGAGTTGGCATTGGCAAGTTGAACTGTTGTCGACTTGACTGTAATTTCCCTCCCTTTCTACATTCCTTCCCCTATTCTTCCAACTGGCTCCCTCTCTAAATTATTCCTTTAATTTTTCTGGCCTCGTTTCTAGCTCCTCTTAATTTTTTCAATCACCCAGTCATTCATATTTACTGTTATTCACTCAATGGTTCTATCATTGTCTATGCATTCATTCATTTAGTCTCTCAGTCACTCCTCTATCCATTCATATGCATATTTGTAGATTCATTCATTTGTAAATGATTATAATCTATCTATTTTCAGTCAAAAATAGTGTGGTAGTTTGTGTGTTGTTGTTTTGTATCAAGTATTAAAAAATTTATTTGTTTAATCTACATCCCTTTCTCTCGGCAGATATGGAAATATTATTTCAACAAAAGCTATTCTAGATAAGAACACTAATAAATGTAAAGGTAAGCATCAACAGCAGCTTCTAACATTCACAAAGCCTTGACTGAATATTTTTATTTTTTTCGTCTTTGGTTGCACATCAGAACTCTCTTTTAATAAGAGAGGTCAAGCACAACTCATGTGCTGTTATCCAGTAAAGAAAAGTGACACACATTGCAACATGAATGGTTCATCTCTATGTAAGGGGACTTAAAATTTAGGGGTGATGTGATGTTGCTTGGTTTTTTATGTTATTTTCAGTTAAAGAAAAATTACATACAAAGGTATTGTAGTGATCTCAAATCCTGGAGTGTACATCATTTGTGCATTAGAGCTCTGGTGTACTGTGTGGATCCTTGAACAAAAACTGTCTACTATTCTTGTCTCTGTCAGAACTTAATTTAGCCTATCTTTGTAGTAAAAATTTCAACACTCTAAAGGTTGTTTGTAACAAGAGTTGCAAACTTCAATTAAGATGTAATTGAAATAAACATGTGAAGAAAGCTACAGTGTGTCAGTAAGGGCCCATAGACTTTGATGATCAGCTGAACATCAACTTTACCAACAACACATGGAAATACACAGCATAGCTTTATGACTGATTTAGTCAGTTGTGGGAGTAATCGTGCATGGGTAGACATATTGCAGTGTTGTTGTGTCATCATTTATGCAGTGATGCATAGTTTTAAGTTATGTTTTGTGGTATTGAGAGCTTCTCCATTTCTACTTCTGAGACTTGTTTGATTTCATACAGACAACAGCACTTCATGAATTAAAAATAAATGTAGCAGATGAACTATAAATATTCAAAAGAATGTGCTGTGTGGGAAATAAAATACTAGTAGCTGGTTATTTCCTTTATTCTGTCACCTGTCTGTTTTGTTTGTTTATTGATTAAATTGTGTTTTTATTCAAACAGGGTATGGATTTGTGGACTTCGAGTCACCCACTGTGGCTCAAAAAGCAGTTACCGCCCTGAAGAACAAAGGAATTCAAGCCCAGATGGCTAAGGTTAGCAAATGTCATTTTGCATTGTCCTCTTCACTTCCTGTTCATATCCTTTGTCGTGCAGTGGGTCATTTTGTGGTGAGAATACATGCCGTGCTGCAGTTGAACACTTAATCTTAATTTGTTATGATGGCTTTGAAATCAAAGGTAATTTACTTTAGTTTTCAATTTTACTTGCAACTTAATATTGGAGGGTGGGACAATCTCATAATTTATTTAATCGCAGTGAGGGGGGGTTAAGTCATGCCTCGTGTTATTAAATATGAAAATCAATTCAGTTGTTGAACTTAGTCCATCTACAATAGGGAGAGGTAAATACCTCAGTACACAAATGAAAATAAACCAATTGTATTAATTGGTTGGATATCCTACAGATCATTTGCGATAAAACAACACTAGAATTTTCTGACATCTCAAGATAGTGACCATCTGTAGAGGCACGTGTAGAAACCTATTAGGTTAAAGAGGATAGATTGTTACTATCAGGAGGCTTTTATTAACATGCAAATTTCGTTGCAATATTAAGACTGATGGTCAAAAATAAACCTAGAGCACATGTGACAGAACATGTGCTAGCAAGAATGACATGAAAATAAATCATGTATCCAAAATCTTTAAATTGTTATCTAGCTGTTGCTTTTCTCTCTTACACATTTGAGACTCCTGAAAGAAATTCAAAACAATTGCCTATTTAGGCTAGCCTTACTTGATCCAGTTAACCCTTTTTCATTCTGTCAATTGTCTGTGCTTGGTTTTAACAGTTGGTTTCATGGTGTGGAAACTCTCACTGTCTGTAAATAGATCACAGGTCTTGGTATATTTTGTTGTGAACCCAGTTCAATACCTTCAAACAAAACTTAAAGTGAATCACAGGCTAAAACAGAGGGTTTGCTTATTTAGATTGAATTAATTCACTGAGCCATAGTTCTGTACTCTGTGAAAGGCCTCCTTGGTGTAGAAAGGAATTGTTACCACTTGGTCTAATTCAGTGAGGGTTATAAGGACAAACTTTTGTTGACGCAGCATGCTCATTTAAGCTTAGAAGCTTTCCTAAAAAATAAGTGTAGGATTTTGTGGATTAATTCTGTCTTTTCTCATTGAGAAGTTGTTTTAAAATGCCATGGGCCTATCAGTTTTTGGACATCGCAATGCGATGTTTCCAATAACATGTTTCTGTGAGTCTGTTACAGAAGCACGGTTTGTGCCAAAAATAGCCTGACATGTCTAGCCATTGTAGGATATCAGAAGCACTTACAAAACTTAATGATTTGTCATCTACACTTACACTACTACACCACTTATTATATCTGCTAAAACACTGGAGAACAAATGTAATTATGTAAATCTGAATGCTTTTCTTCTCTAAAGCAACAAGAACAAGACCCCACCAATTTATATTTTCTATATCTACCACGAGATTTTGATGAAGCGGTGAGTGAAAACAAATTTACCCTTTGTGATGCATTGGCTCCTCATCAATCAAGTAGTTGAGCAAACCAATGTATGTAATTTGTTACATGAAATGTTCCTCCTGTCTTTGAGTTTCTTTTTTATGATTTTAAGTATACTTTCAAAAAACAACACCAACAAGATTATCTACAAACATATTGCAAGCCAAAGTGCCTAAAAAATTTGAGGAAAACTTATACAGAGGCAATAAAATGGAATGATCTGTTGCACCAAAGTGTAGGGGAATTTAAATTTTATCTTTACTAAAAGAAAAGAAAAGTTAGAATGCTAATTTTAGGTGAAACATCTAGTCTTTTTTTAATTTAGGTGCAGTTACACCAAATTTTGGTACATATTTATCTAAAAAGAGGTGTGAATGATGATAGAGTGATTCATTAAATAGGTGCTTTAAACAGACAACAAATTGTTATCTTAGTTAAAGAAACTAATTTTACTCTCTTTGTCATCAGAAATTAGAAGCATTGTTGAGAAGATATGGCAAAGTTATATCAACAAGAATTTTAAGAGATACTGACCATGAGAGTAGAGGGGTAGGATTTGCAAGGTAAATGGTTGAAATACATGTGTCTTAGATTTGTATCAAAGCTTTACAGTAAAGCATAATGACTTGGTCAATTTCTTTGTTGCAATTGGTGCATGGGAGCCCTTATACTTGAGGGTGGTAAACTAGAAATATAACTTTTCGCAGATCCCTCCTTCTGGCAACCAAAGGCACAAACCCTTTATGCCATCGCCTCCTCCCAGCACTCAGAAGTTGTGGAGCTGGAATTGCTAGCTATAAAACTCATTGCAACAATACTAAAGAATGCAATGCTCATAACAGCAATAACATGCAGAGATGCATGTATAGGCTTCCCTGCATGCCACACAATGGGAAGTGCTCAGATGCAGTAGCAAATTATACTGGTATGCTAACAAACTTCTGAGCACTCCCTTGTTCCTTGCGATGGCCAATTGTTGTGTTTTAATTGTTACAATTAACCATGTATCAAACTGTGTGACATTTGGGACTGGGTAAGTGAGCAAAACTGTTATTATGTCTGATATTTTGAGCTTTAGCCCTTCACTCTGAGGAAGGGCTAACGTTTGAAAGGTCAGCTTTGAAACTCTCAACAGAAGCCAATTTATGTCATTAACTCAGTTGATGATACCAAATTACCTTGTTATACTCTCCCACTGACACAGCACCAAAGTTTCTTTAAAAGGTTATGACCTTTATTCATTTCTTACTATATCTCTCAGGTAACTCCTGTGATTGATAGGGAACAACTATTCTTGTCACAAATTGGCCAATGTTTTCGTGATGGGAAGCAGAATCTAGTTGTTTGATTCAAGAATGCAGCAGTGTAATAATGGCCACTGATTCATAAAAGACCTGAACGTGATTTACAATTGAAGGCTGAATGTCACTTGTTCAACTCCCTGTAGTGAAATGTGGTGACATGTGATATATTTGCTTCCTGTTACTAAACAAAGCTTTGATATTTAACTTATAGAATGGAAAATACACAGATTTGTGAACAGATAATCAAAGATTTTAATGCTAAAAAGATTCCTGGTAAGTAAGAAATTGTACATTATGATATTTTGCCAAAGGTATTTTTGTGTCCTCCAGAAACTTCATTCAACAGCACATGTACCTAATTACTTTGTCACTTAAAATTTACATTCAGACAAAATATTGTGGACCACTATGGCTTATCAACATATCTCTTAGATATTTGATCAAGTAGGGATGATTTTTAAAAACGGTTTTATTTATTTCTGAAGTGGTTTTGACCAGTAGATTGATTAAAAGGTTGGAAACTCATCTACATCCATAAAAGTTCGGCTGTTTCAATTTACTTGCCAAGCTTTGTATCTACCAATGCAATAAGTTCCATATGCATTGACTTAATGAACTCTCTTCAGCAACATAATATGCTTTGCCTGTCATAACCTGTAGGTAGCATTGAACCACTTGTGGTCAAGTTTGCGGATGGAGGTCCCAAGAAAAGGCAACAAACTCAGCAAAACCATGGTACAACTTATTTTATCTACATCTTTGTCAGATTTAGTATGGTCTTTACTCTTTTCCTGAATGAATAAAGGCCCTTAAGTAGCATGTCACTGAGGAAATGATTATTTTTTTTGTGAACAGATAATTCATGGCAAATAAGTAGACAGGAGGTCAGTATTCATTTATTACATGATAACCAATGTCAATTTCTCACATAGTTTGACAGTCAATGCCAAACTGACATGCTACATGTATGTATTACTCATTTATTAATTCACTCAATATTGTAAATGGTTTGAACCCGGGTTGTTGTCAGTCGAATGTACTTAGTCCTTAGTCCTAAGTACATTCGACTGACAACAATCTTTCACTTGACTCTGATGATGACTTCCGCTCAGGTTGTCGAAACGTCAGTCACCATTACCGACAACAATCCTTCTCAGGACTACACTTACCCAGACAATCAAACTACACTATTTCACTCAATATTCATTGATTATTTTAATTGACTGGCTTAGTCATTTACCCTTTTGTGTCTACAAAAGAGGAATGTTACTGTTTTATTATACTCGTCTTGATGAGAAATCAAAAGGTATTTATTTCACATATATTTTTAAATTGCAACATTTTTGAAAACAGATGTGCATATATATATATGTAACATTGTTTCTTCGTTTGTTTTTAGGGAGTACCCCTGCTTGGATATGGTGAACCACTAGTCATGCAAAATGGGTGTGTTATCAATGTTTTTTACAGTATGCAGTGTATCTTTATTTTGTTTTACTGAATTAGGAACTAGATTGTGTGGTATTTCATAAATAATGTGTAGGTAACACCATTTATTGATAATTGCAATGTGTATCAAAAAGATGGTTCCCTGATTATAGTAGTTGAACAATTTTATGCAAGTTTTTGTCACAAATTTCTGTCATCAAATTGCACTACAAATTTAGTATTAAACACTTGTTTTGGAAAAATGTCTTTTCAATATGCATATGAAAAAACATCTTTCTTTTGGGCATTTTATGTAGATCAACTGTAGGAAGTTCAGGAAGAGTTATGACGACTCATGCTGCAGTCCTCCCAGGACAGGTGGTTACAATTTCCATTTTACATCAAATATCAGAGACTCATTCATTGCCTGACTCAAAACGTATTTTACTTAAAATATATTACTTTAAATGAACACTAAAGAAGTCCTCTTTTCTGAAGATTTGTATAGGTGTTTAGTGAAACATATCATTTATGATATATCACTTTGTATTTATATGTGTAAAATCTATGGGTAAATCTATGCAGAGAAATACCAAAAGATATATCAAAGCACATCCACGGTACAATAAAGCAAACAAGTTTAGGAAAATCTTGAATGTATTTACTGAAACCAAAGCAACATTTGTGCTTTTGCTCTCCTGGGCTATCAGAAACAGGTTCATATGCTTATATCTAGCTCATAATTTTTATGTATTCATGATGAGAATATCCTTTATCTTATTGGTATATTTGTAAAAGATAATTCCTTACCCTTTCCCATCCTTGACTTTTTTACTTGTGTCCTATGTGGTGTTAGAGATGGTGAAGCACTTTCTACTCTTCTCCTAGTCCGTGATGTATTCCAAAATGAAAAACAACATCTCTCCTATCTAAATCTGAAATTGAGACTTTCGTGTGTTTGTTGTAGTCACGGTTCTTATTTTATGACATTTCAACAAACCAATTTTTGAGAACTGTGTCACCAGCTTTATGCTAGTATTGAAATGTGAAGTTGACTTTTGAAGATTTTTAAACGTTATCTGGAATTTTTACTTTTTTTGAACAGGGGACAGCATTTGTACAAACAAATATTCCATTAGCATACCAACTTGCGACAGGAGGAGGTGGAAGCTGGCTTGCACATCAGCCTTACATTCAGATGCAACATCAACTACAACCAGTAAGAACAAGATTTAGTTATTTCACTGTTTGCTTCATAGTTTGGTTATCAGAACTGTCCTTGTTTGAGATGATACACTTGTAAACTACTCATACTTTAGACGTAAAATTGCACTTTTTAGAAAAAAAATATACAAAATTGCTATGGGATCAATTTTGCAAAAAGTTTTCCATGCAACAATATCACCCTGAAATTGCACAGTCAATTATCAATAACTACTTACCTCTCTTTAACAATTCAGGGTCAGCTAGCAGCTGCTGCAGCAGCAACAGCAGTAACACCATCATCAATGGAGCACAATGTTGGGGCTTTGCAGCAGAGCTCTGTGCAACATCTTACCAGTCAGATGAACCAGCTCCAGATGTCAGGCTCGCAGTACTTAACCAGTCCAGTTCATGGCTCATTCTCACAAGCTTCATGGCAAATGATGCATCAGCATGGACAACCACAACATCCACACCCACACTACATGTCAGTAGAGGTAAGAATGAGGACTACAACAAAAAAGAGATGGAAGTAGAATGAAATGCATCAGTGATGACTCCTGCAATTTCATATGGCCATTTCAAATACAACTTTAACTTATCAAATGCATTAACACTGCTAATTGGCTCAAGTAGTCCAAAATTCTTTATCTAAGCTACATTGTTTAAAGCCATAAATGAGGATGTATTACTGCAATCCCATTTAAACCTGGTTTATTATACACATTGGAAAAAGGAGTTCAATTTGAGCTACAAGTACTTATACACATGCTCTAGCTAATAAAAGAGATCACAGAATATTTCCATTTTTGCAATTTGTTATGCTCTAGTGACATATTCCAGGTAGAAGTAAGCCCAGATGGATAGGAGATAAAGTGCTGACTGAATTTGATTGCTGGCCAGGACGATAAGGGACGTAAACTTCACAATGTGCACACCAGTGAGAATTGAAAATAATGTAAATTGAATTTTAGGAACACTCAATGGTTGGTGAAGGAGATCCTCTTGGTCCGCCCATGTCCCCACAAGCAACAGGCCTGCCGCAACACCTTGCTGATCCTGGTCAAGGGTTAGATGAACATAGAATGGCAGGCTACACGTCGCATTACCAACAAAGGTATGGTGTTACATTTATGCTCATCTCAAAAAGAAAAGATGTTCAGATTTATAACATCGATGTAACAAAAATGAGTGCGGAAAAATTACAGTTGTGCACATTAAAAAAATGGGGCTGGTAGCATGAGCTAGGGCTTCCACCCGTTTGAGCCAGGTGGCATTTGACAATGACTTAATCCTTATTTTAAGATCAGGGCCCTGAAGTGCACCTTTAGATACAGAAACAAAACCTGCAGCCTCTATTATTTGAAGTGCTATTTCAGTGCTGGTTGGTTCCAAATACATGCTTACTCTCGCATTTCATTATCAGAGTACATACAGAATGTATTGTTTGATGTACATTCCCCCTGTAATATTTACATTTTCTAGCGAAACTGAAAGGAGAAAAAAAATCATCAGTAGCTTTGTAAGTGGAGTGCTTATTTAGAAGGTGAAATGAGATTTGTGAACCTCTTTAGGATCTCAATAATTGCGCAGGCTGATTTTTCATGTAACCACGTTACAAATTATTCTCTGGCCTAACTACTGTTTCACACATATAACATTTTCCGTCTATCTGTATGGTATATTAAAGGTTGAGATCGGTAGCAGGGTCAAAACAATGCTGACTCACTGACTGACTGACAAACCAACTTACTGACTTACTGATTAACCAACCAACCAACTGACTGGCTTACTAATTAACCAACCAACCTACTGACTGATCAACTGGGTGAGTGGCTGGCAGGCTGTCTGTTTGCCTATCTATCTGTCTGTGCCGGTTTGTCGGTAAATCTATTTGGTTGGCTGGCTTACTCACTAATTGACTGGTTGGTGGACGGACTGACTAACTGGCTGCATGCTGATTGAATGACGTACTGACCAACTGACTGATTGTCCGACTGACTAACTAACTGATTGACAACTCAACCACACATTTTGTTATTTTTTTACATATATCAACATAATATATGCGGTTAAAAATAGTTGTTAGAAATAGTCTTGAAAATAAACATTTTGCTATAATTTTCCTTACTGAACGAGGTTTGATATGTTTTGACCTCAAGGCCAATGAATCTCTTTTTGTTACAATGTACTTATGGAGCAAGAGAGACTGCAATAATATATAGATTTAGCCAAGCCTAAAAGCGGAGCTCGCATTTCTTTTTTCCCCGCACGTCTCAAGGGCACAACGCCTCGCCCCGGCCAGGACTAGAACCCGGGTCGCCCGACTCGGAGCCCAGTGCACAGACCACTGGACTACTGGACTACTGGACAAAGCTGTGGCGTTGACGTGCCCGCGGTACAGTTGACCATGCATGTTAAAAGTAGCACCTTGTACGGTCGTACGGTCCTACAACCAAATTTTTCGGCTTGATGGGTGACTACTATTTTGTATAATTATGGGGCTACGCTCTGCGAGCTCCGCTACCAAATTTTTCATTTACATAATATTGGAAAAACCTAAATATGGCCAAATACACCCAGCATTTCCTTGTTCTGCATTTAAGACTTTGCACAAATAACGACTTTGCTGATTTCACCAATAACACTTCTAGATAACAGAAGAGTTATTCAAATGATTTTCAAATTATTCAAAAGATTCTGCTCCTAACGGAAATATTGACAAAGAAAGTTCCCGTTACATTTATCTGTGCATCAAAGTTCAGTTTCAAGTTATATAAAATGAAAAAAATTCTTAACTTAGCTACGTACAATCGAACCTGTGTTAAGCAGCACCGTATCAAGTGGTCTCCCTGTATAAAGCGGTCGGTTGCTAAAGGTCTGAATTTTTTCCCCTGCACCAAGTCCCAACAACCTATTTGTATTGCCTTCCATCTGCAATGAACGGTCACTTAAAGCGGGACCACTGATATAAAACGAAGAATACTCTGTCAAGTAAAATTTAATCCATGTTTATCTCCCGAAATCAATGTTATTTCCCGTAGCTTAATACAGGTTAGATTGTATTTTTGTCATGCAAGCACAAAACTTCTTTTCTTCTTTATTTAAGAAAATGAAGATGGAAGAAAACTGAAACCACGAATTATTTAAAGTAAGTTTATTAATGATTACAATATAGGTCTAATAAACAGTTGCCGTGCTAATAATCACAGAAATTATTCCAGCGGTTGCTGCAAACCCATACCACTCGAAAATCCATTGTCTTATTGCCAAGAGAGCAATCCATGGTTAATTAAATCTACCCTGTGGCTACTTATCCTGTGTCAAAAATGGTTCAAGGGAAGCTATGCGATACGGTTTAACATCATATACCGTTTGATAAAGTGTTAAAGATCTCGACGAAACAGTAGTGTCTACTTTTTAGATTATACTGAGTTCAGTACTGTTACTTAGTACGATCAACTAAATAAACTACTTTTCTGGGCAGCCGTTCCTTATGTGATTTTGAATGGAAATTTCATGAAAGTTTTCGTTTTCAGTAGTCAGTTAAACTCGACAGTCGATTGACAATTTTGTCATCCAAATCCGTTCGCGAATACTTCATCTTCAGTTGTAAGTGTTGTTGTTTCTCTTCCCCTCTTTTTTTCCCCTTATAAACTACTTCAAAAGAAGGTCTCTTCTTTTCAGTTAAAAAATCAGATACCGCATTTCCGAGAATTACGCCCATTATATTTCCATGGGTAAAAGAAATATCTGTAACTTTGAACTATTTTTCTTTTCAGTTTGACGTGATGAAAGGTGTCAATGTGTTCCTGAAGAATTGAAAGTAACCTTGGAAAATTAAACGAGTGAGATTTTACACGCCATAGAGGCACCTGAAGGGATCAGGAATGGGTATTAATTTTACTTAAATCATATGGCGAACTTGATGTTGTCAGTTGTTTAATTATTTGTTTTTCTCTTTTCTTTCAACTTGGAGAGAAATGGAGAGTCTATTTTTTTATAGATCTGTTTTGTCAAATTACCTCAAAGAGCTCCATCTAATTTGGTGGAATCTTAAAAAGAACGGAACGAAAGGCAATTTTTTCTGCCCTAGCATGATTTATGAAATATTTCTCGTGGAAAACACGATCACCGCGAAAGCCACAGCCCAATTTCTATCGAAACGCACCACCTGATAAGCAATTCCAGGAACCTCCTTATAAGCAATACTTAAACATGAAATGGAATTAGACAGCTGTTACTTTTTGGCTACTGTCAACAGATCGGCCGAAGAGTCGTGTGAAAACATTTAAAAGAGATCCTGTGTGGTGGTAGGCTTAATTATATTCAGAACTTAATTTTTTTCCAATCTCCATCTTGCGTGGCAGAGGCGAGGTATGCGTGAATTGAAGTTACGTGCCCAGACAGGGGGACACATTCTCGAGTCACGTGTAACCTCTCCTAAGGGCGAGATTGGTTGTTGTTTCGACGAGAAAGAAAAGATAATTTGTAATTGTTGTTGTTGTTGTTGTTTTTTTTTTTAACAAAGAAGAGAGGAAACCTATTGTGATTGATCCATATTTAATTCGTAATGGTTCCAACTGCAGTTGTAAGGAATAGGAATCGCACGTTTGAGTGAACCCAGCTCCTTATCTCGTTCTATGTGAATTGGAACAACAAATTGCCGAATCAGCTGTAGTTTGAGCTATTCTTTATTGTTTATTTTATGAAAGATGCAATGCGAATTTGTACAGAGCTCACGCTAAAGACATTTCATGTCCAGATTAGTCAACTAGGTACTACAGACTGAAAAATTTATGCTTGGGAAATGGCCTTTTTTAATTATAGGTTAGTGAAGTACATGCACGGTAATTAAATAGAATGAGAGTATGACCTTAAAGAGAGAATTTCCTTTCAGAATCTAGGGAATTTCTGGTACTTATGGAAGTCCTAGGCGCCCTTAGTCAACAACGATTGCAAAGGCTCAGAGAAATGGCGTCAAGAAACAAACTTCCAGAACACTTTCTAAAAAAGTTATTCGAACAATCGAATGTAAAGGCGTCATTGATATTTTATGCATAGACGTCGTATATGTCTAAAATACCACAAACAATTCACAATGAAACTTTCGAGGCAGGGGACATAAAAACATTATCTAAGTTGTGAGTACTGCAGAGGGATTTCCTCTGAAAGGTCATTCTCTATTGCTTACAAAGCCCCAATTGCATCATACTCTCTTTGAGCTAAAGGTGTCAAAGCATTTCGAGAATTTATTGTACATAAGGTGATGATAGAGAGCTTTCCTACCTTTAAGCAGTTATTTGTTCGAAATCAAGAAATTTTTGTTGAATCGTCTTCGCCTCTGTCAGGAGCCGGTTTTATAATTGATGTTATCCTCTGTTTTCTATTTTTTTTTTCTAACGTCCATTTGTTTGTTTTCGGCTATCTTATTGTTTGCCAAGAACAAAGGAACGAACGTGGCTGAACTTTCCATTAACTTTAAATGAAACCTTCTACATTACCTTTTTTAATAGCTTTAGTGAGCTTCAAACTTTTTCAGCTTCCATGCATGCATTTACCGTCGGAGAAAAAACCCACATTCGCAAATTCGACTTCGTATGAGCAAAATTGTGTATTAGACTTATCCCTACATTTCGAAATGTTAAAATATGAGCAACTCTCCATTAACAGGCGTATTTTGCACTCAGAAAACTGATCAATCCTAAATGAGTCATTTAAATTCCAAGTGGTTTTACTGTATATTGCTTGACTTATGGAAACAAACCAGGAGTTAAAAAATACATAAAATCTGTTCTTTGAAAAACGAGTTCGAATTCACCAAACCGATCTTATATTAACAGTACTAATGGTGCTAACAAAATTTTTCGCTGGCAAGAAACTAATGATTATTTATATCACTTCCAAAACAAACCCTCAAACTATTTCAAATTACATGACTGAATGTTTTTGAGGTTTGTCGCTCGGAGGTGTGAGAGACTCTAGCGATTCAATTTAAAGCTTTCAAAGCCCGGGGAAACCTTAAAAACACAAGACATCAATAAGGTACAATGAAATATGTTGTTTGTCATCGTTCGTGATTTTTGGGAAAGCTGAAATACATCTTATTTTGGAATCCAAGTTTTTTGAAAACAATTTGTTGTGACGGAATATTTTAATTAGAATTACATAAGTGTTTTTGGAGTGTGGAGTGATTTCAGTCTACTTGCAGCCGTTTTCGGTTTGTCACTCAATATGTTTGATCCACAAGACTGTGTGTGTGTGTGACAAGCCTGAAAGAAGTGCCATCAGATCAAGTGATTTCTCGTGCGCTCAAATTTTTAAAACTCCTTTCAAGAGGAAAGCAATACATAGTTTACAAGGGAAAAGAGAATCCACTCTGTTGTCAGCCTTAAATGAATTAGGAGAGACTGGCTACCACCGAAACTTTGAGAATGACTCTGTTCGCGTGACAACCAACGAATTGGGGCCGACTTTACGTCTGGTGTATAGAACACTACTAAATGCTATCGCCTTGCCTTTACTTAAGGTTTTTAGAGCTTTTCAATGGAGTTTCTTAAGTCCAACACTAAAGTAATCAGAACGGGAAATCATAACAAAGGGAAACCAGTATTACATGCTGAAAATGAGAGGTCAAAGTAAGGAAACACATGCAAGCCGCCTGAAGCAGAGGTAAACCAACTCGCGGTTGGTTTCCATATTGGATCTAAATTGTTGAGAGGATGAAACTCGATTGAAAATCTCTATTTTAGCCGTTAAGTGATATGAAGTTTACCAGTGAAAATAAGTTTTTACAATCTTGGCTGCTATGCAGCTGTGTTTGTGTATTGGGACGTAAGTCTCGCTTCTGCCTGTCTGAGATTTATGTTCAGCGAGGTATAAGATTTAATGACTGTTCATGTGCCAAACTAAATTTTTCATGACCAAGTACCATAGGGTGACGTCGTGGAGAACAATCTTACGAAGTTACTCGATATAGCGTTTCCCTACGTCACCTTGTCTCTCGGTTTTCCATCGAAATCAAGAGATCCAAGGGAAAAGTATGCAACATACGAAATAGCACCAAGAGAATAAGTCAAAAGAGCAATACTTAAATTAAAAAAAAAACTAACGATTTCCAAAGGCTAAGTTCAGAAAAGTGGCAGTGTGTTTTATACTTAATTTTAAAAACATTTTGTTTTTTTTCCCTCGACTATTTTGTTTTAACTGTGCAGCGAATTGTTCCTTCAGAGAGGAGCTTAATTTATGGGTGTACCAGCTTAGATAGTGCAGTTAGATAGCTCACTTGACTAGAGATAAGCTTTACTGGTGAAAATGTGACGATGCAATGTAGACGCACAGCTCTTAAGGCTGTGTTTTGAAATAAGAGATGAACAAATTCCATCAAAACAATATCTCAAGTTCATTCGATCAAGTAAAACTCTCTTGAGCACTTCGGTCGCCTTTTTAACATGCTATGATTGCGCAAAGAATAGTGGAATTGATTTGTAATTTGTTTGCTTTCCGTTTTTAGTTGTAATAGGTTTTTGCTTAGCTAAATCAAATTGAGGAAATAAAAAAGGGAAACGACAAATTGAGACAGAGGCGTGGCTGGTTTTCTTTGTGGCGTTGTGCAGTTAAATAACCGATTTTAAAATGGTAAACTCTTACACTACCCAGTGACCAGCTCTTACCTTTCCTCACTTTATAGCCTGCAGCTGATTTCTATTGCCACACCCCTCCCCTCTTCTTCCTTTTGACCGTCTTGTCCCCTTGGTATAAATTTATATTTCTTTCCTCAGCCTTCCACTGCTGTAAAGATCAAGGATGGCAGCTATATTTATTACAGAAGAAATCTGACTGAGCACTCGCTCGACAAAATCACGCTTGCTCTGCACGCTATTTATACTCTCAAGGCATTTTTCCTACCGAGGCATTTTCCTGTCAGTAATCAGGATAGACAAAGTACTCAGCTGGAAAGATTTTTCTTCACCTCACCTCAAATCAAATACCCATTACTAATTTACAAGAAACGTGTAGAATCCAGGGAGAAGCACAAATCAGATCTTGTGGATTAAGGGTTTGAAGTGTGTAGCTGGTTGATGGAGCTTCTCCATCTATTTCAAAAACACCATACAAAAACTGTAGTGGCCGGAGTATTCATGACCAGAAAACCTTGCTACTCAGCCGGATGTTATTCTCTAACACTACCTACCAGTTACACTCGAATTTCCATCAACATCTTCTTTAGTATGGTGGGACACGTGGCAAATCGAAATAATATTTTAAGTCGAACAGGTCGTAATGTAATTGTAGGCTAACCTGCTCAATGAGATAATATTTAATACACCAATGGAAATACCCTAGATATGTGACATTTTGATACGTGTCACGTAAGGTTTGGTTCCCTCCCTCACCCCCTTCCTGTGTATCGATTAGCCGCTGAAGGTGCAAGTCACTGAAAGAGTCAAGTCACACAGACACATTGAAATCACAAAATACAACAATCCATAAAACTTTTTCTTCATATCCGGCCTGTCTTATCAGCAGCGGAAAAACACATCCAAACTGTCTTTTACCCTGACACCAATTCTTGTAAACGTAACGGATATCTTATTTTCGGGAAAGGAAATTTTTACCATCAAAAAGCTAAAAGAACAAAGCGACAAATTCTCGATACCCCGGTTGGTCACAAATGAGTATTCTGGTGATGGAGCTTCTTGTTGAATCTCCTTAAAGATTTTTACAACTTTCAGCGGACAATAAAGAATTTAACCTGCAGATGTGCGTATTTAACGGTATATCGATCTGTATCTTCTTTGCAACCTTCCAACCTTCCGACCGGCAAACGGCACACAGCTAGAATATTCGAGCACATGCCATGAAAGCTTTTTTCTTTACTGGAAAAAAAATTTTGCATCTGCTATGCGCGAATTCAAGCTTTGATTTTGATCTGTCTAAGGAAGTTAAAGAAGAGAAATGAAACCACTCTTAAATTGCGTCGTCTTGTTTGCAAACATCAAATGAACTCTCGTCTCCAAATTGTTGACTATTAGACAAGCTCAGTACGAGAAACGAGAGGAAAATTTTTCATGTCGTTAACTCGATAACAAGTAAAATTAATCGCTAACCTACCTCTCAAGAATCAATACAAATTCGTTTTGCCTAGCTTCACCACTCGATATTTACGCAGTGATAACGTGAAACGACGCTGCCACGCTTTTTCCCGCCGAAATGACGCGCTCAAGCCTCGTCTCCATGTGCCTTTTTTTTTTTTTTTTTTTCGAACGAGCGTGAGGGCTGGTAACAATGTGGTGGACATATAGAACTTTGTATCGCAATTGGGCAGACTACAACGAGCGTTCTGTACATATATTTATGCTAAATAAAGATTAAGCGGCTAGAGAACCGTTGTATAACAAATGAGCAACAAGGGCCCCGTTTGTATGATTATTCAAAGTACCCAAGTAACATACATAACATTTCTGACGTACACAAGATCATAATTGTCCATTTTGAATGCAACATTGGTACGATTTATATCATGTAACTGTTTATCATCAAACGCAAGTAAAATAGCAAAAATCATGGATAAAACTCTTCGTAATTTCCGAACGGAAACAATGCATCAATTCACGTCTTGAAGTTATCAAACTTGACTAAGACCGAATGTGAACATCGAATGTTTAAAAATCCCCGACTTGTGTTTATATTTCCGGGATCGATATTCTTACATGATTAATTTGACTACAATAATGGCAACAGCGATCGGATACACAAAGAGGAAAAAGACCAGAGCAAAAAGTAACGGTAATATATAACGGTTCGACATCGCACTGCTAACATCTATCCCGCCAAGAAAGGTATTCCCCAGCCAACCAGAGCTACGGATGTTTCTCGACAGCCTCTCGGCACTGAATCCAGTAGCAGTCGCTCTCTGGATGTTACTATGAACCTGCTCCTCAAGCTCACGCCAATTGGAGGAATATGCAAGCGTCTGAACACAGAACTCTTTCGCGAACTCGACACAGTCCTCAAGTAAAACGCTATATCGATGAGGTGCAGCTCTAAGGGCAACAAACTGCAAAGCATTCAAGGTGATCTGCTTAAATCGGCCGATGTAAAAGCTCCTCTTAATTCTGGTGACGATGTCTTTAAAGAGCCGAAAATCCTTACGTATCTTATACATTCGCTGCTGTTGGTATTCCATGCACAATTCGAACTCCCAACAGAGAGCAACATCTGGAACATCGAATGGAGTTTTCACCACATCAGAAAAGTCGACAAGACCGCTTTCGTCTACGCCAGCAGGGACGCACAGAACAAAGCCATGCCAAGCCTTGTTTATACATATGAATAAATCTATGTCCATCATATTTCCAGTTGATGCTAGCTGTTTGATCCGTTCTTGGTCTTTATCCTTATGGGCCTTAACAACTTGCTTATCGAAATCAGACAGCGTGTTTACGTAATACGCCAGCGGTTCCACACTGCGCAATGAGCCCTCTACCATTTTCTCTGTCGTGAAACAATTTCCCCACTCTTTCGCTGTTTCTGTTTTCCCTTTACGTTTTTCTCTGTATTCAATCTAGGACAGAATCAAAACAAAACGGATATTAGTGGTAATGCTGATCTTGCGAATTTAAACAATGAGAAATTGTTTACACATTGAGTTTGCGATCAAGTCTCTTCGGTATACGATGCTAAGGGAAAAACAAGAGAAAATGATCTGTTCGAAACTCCAGCTGGCAAAGATGATCTGAAGATTCTTTTGTCCTGTTTATGCGGGCCACAATTTTTCTTCGGGCGAACACAGCGTTGTACAAATATCGCCACGTTTATGTACTCAGCGAACCGATCCCTTGGTGCCATAACAACGATACAGCATAATTTTGAGGGTGGTTGAAACGTGAGCTAGTGAGTCAAAGGTAGTAAGGCTTAATTCTTAACTTACACAGTGGAAGCCACTTCGAGTTCGTTACAATCAATCCTTGAGTTTCCGAGTGATTTTGCTTCGACAAAGCTGAAAAAGTTTCACATGCAATCGGTGGAGTCGTCAGAATATGGCGGATCGCTTTGAACGATGGGATTAAAAACCCGGAAGTTGTAGGACCAGATTTATCACAGAACCGATCAACCTCATTCCCGGGTCCTCTCCCTTCCTCTCTCGAGGAAGGTTGCGGCTGGTCACGTGCCCATGCAGATCTACGAACGAAATACGAAGGGTGGGTCTTTAATTTAATTTTGTTATCAGTGCATTTTAATTCTATCAGCGGAAGGGACAAATCGCGAGTGCTTTTTCCAGCGAGTATCGTAAAAAATTTTACGCATGAGCCTCTGCCTCCATTTGTCTTTTTGACAGTATCCAAAGTGACCAGCGGCAACTGGGGAATAAGAGGAAGGAGTCTGAGAACGAAGTTGAGAAACGATATGCTCGTGATCTCAACTTGCGTTGTTGCCCTTGCTAAAATTATTGGCAAGGATTTACAAATTTACACAAACTGGGGATCAAATCTTTTATTATGAAATGTATACCGATGTTCTTGTATACCTGGAATGGAATACCTCTCGGTAATAGAATGGAACGAGATCCTGGGAACGATTGATCAACCGAGGCTACCTGGAAATTCAGTCGGAGTTGATACAAAAACAGCTTGCATTGCACAATTTGATGGACCCTGTATTACTAGTTCAATCACAGGTGACCCAAGCTCACAGCACGAAACGAACGTGAACGTGACTAGTGGTGTTGTGTTACAAAGACGTCATTCACAGGGGATTGAATGATATTTTCTTGAAGGTAAAAAAGCAATGTTTTGGTTTCGACAAGTTATTGCCGTTTAATGCTCCACTCCTGAAATCTCAAACTCTCAAAACCCGTTTTTAACCCTTTAACTCCCACGAGTGACCAAGACAGAATTTCTCCTTACAATATCATTACAACATCAACCGGGTAAGTGATGAGAATAAAGAAAAAATATCAATTTGGGGATAATCAGTTGATCTAATACTAAATTCTCTAAACTGACGTTGTAGAAATTATATGATTAACAGTAAGGAGAATCACAAATTTGATCTGGGAGTTAAAGGGTTAACAGCCAAAGACAATGGTAAAATCAAAGAATAAAACAAGGCGACAAGATTATCAGATGTCATTTACAAACATTGCATTTTATGTCTTCAAGGAAAAGCGTCGAGTTCCCATGAAACCCTTGTAAGTGGTGGTTTTGCAACACCATACCGCTAGCACATCCTTGAAGACAAGAATTATGATCACGTCCGTTTCGTGTCACGAGTTTGAAGAACTTAGTAGGCAAAAGTCACGTTCACGTTCGTTTCGTGTCATGAGCTTGGGAGGCCTGTGGTTTGAAAGAACCTGCTTTACCGGTGATGTTCAATCCACATTCTTTGCAACATTGTGTGGCTTATACTTAAGATGCATTTATTTTGTAATAATCGCTTTTGTTTCCAAGATCTGCTTTTCTGTCTACGGATCACCCCCAAAGGCTCTAAAATACTACCTGCGCTCGAATAAACAAACGTGTTAGAACGAAACACCGCGGGCACAATCAAAATGTGCTTGAAGTTTGTAGAATTAACTCTCCATACTGGCAAGAAGTACCACGATATTGACAACGCTTCATTGGCTTTATAGGTCATTAGCTGTTTTTTAAAGTACATTAACATATAACAAACCAGACCAACGAAGAAACTGTTTCCCTCTATTTGTTTCCTCTTTCTCCTGAAGATTCCCAGCGTCAGGTGAGCACATCAAAAATAAAATTGCTTTTCGGAAATGTTTTTAATGAACACCCTTGAAAATCATGCGAATGGGCAATTAAATTACTAATCGAACGCATTCTAATAAGTTCATCTGTCACGCAATCAAGCACACGAGGATAATTACATGCGTACGTGGACACGTGTTCTGCGTGGAAACTAGACATCGATTCATAGGGCATCGTGATGTCTTCAAAGAACGTTGTCACTATTGGTCAACTCGTTAGGAAGTGCTTAAGGAAAGCGTATTTTCTTCCTCAAAAACCCTCGTCGTACTCTAAAGGGTACAGGTTCTTAAACGACAAAAAATACTGGACTTACGATTGTCCGCCTTCTCCTCTGTACTTCGATCGCCTTCTGTCGCCATTTCGTCATCTTCCCGCTGCTGGAGACGAAATTCCTATTATAATGGAGTGTACACCTGAATCGTACTTGCTTCAGCACTGGAAGCAATGGCTTCCGGCTTTTCCTCCCGTCGTTATCAAGTCACTAGACGAGGGACTGCGAGATGATATCCCTGTCATAACAACGGCGGCGCTGGAAGCCATCCCGGAACACAAGCATAGTATTCCTCCCGATCTTTTGTACGAACTGCAGCTTAAAAGTACCATTCTCGAAGTAGGGGTTCCATTTCCACGATATCTTGTCAAAGACGCTCTAACATATCCTTGTGCTGTTAAAGCTGATATGAGCACTGGTGGACGTGGGAGCTGGCTTGTCAAAAACGAAAGGGAATTGTCGGAGACGCTTCAGCAAATGAAAGATGTGTGCAACTGGAAGGGGGGGACTGTGTTTCAAGAATACATTCCTGGAGTTAAAGAAGTGCCTAGCTTTCAATTTTATCTGCATAAATCCGGCGAACTCTTTTGGGTTGGCACAACAACCGGTGGATTTACCGGATGTTTTTCATGGACTACTGGATCAGTGGACTGGGACAAGCAAGAAGAGTATGAAAACCTTGTGTACAAAGAGTTCACATTACCCATAAAAGATTACCTGCAAAGGCGAGGCTACTTTGGCCTGGTCACTTTTGAGGTGTTAATTACTGATCATGCAAAGTACCTAGTGGATATTAACCCAAGAATAGGAGGCGATACAACACATTTGTTACTTGCTCGTCACATGGCTCTGGATATTGGCTTCAAACATTCAGCAATTTTTTGTAAAAATAAGCACTCCAACCTGACTTCCAAGGAACTAGTTAAGAGGGCAAATGATAGCAATGAGCAAGGTGAAGGATTGACTGTTGTACTATCAGCTGCTGATGCTGATGTAGGATGTGAATCATATGTGTCTGTTTTTGCTAAGACACCAGATGCAGTACAAACTCTTTTTCACAATTTGAAAAACTGATTGATGAATCATGAATCATTAATAATCAGTTGGTTGTTACTTAATAATGAAGTAATGATTTGTAGGTTGCAATATTTTAAATGTATCAGTTAGCCTGCCTAACAGGTAAATACAAAAATCTTATATTTTATTGTTATTTAAGAAGAGAGCATGGAATAACCTAACTTCTACAATACTTAATTTAATCTGTTGATCATAACATACAAATTAACTATACAATTTACTTTTCATTTTGTCTTTGCTGCATTAGTAATTCAGAAGGTCACTCAATTTTAATTTTATAGGCAATATTTTTTGACCTTTGAACAATTCATAACCTTGCTATGATATTTTCAATACTTAATGACTGAAGTCTTTAGGTAAAGGTGGAAGAAGGGGGAGGGGGGCAGGGTGGCAGCTTTGTTACCATTTAGCATCTTTCTCTACACTTATGTCTCCTACTCAACATTTGCATATGTTTCTGTTGTTCTTTTCATGGTTAGCACTTTCTGAAAATTTGACAGTCAATAAGAAAATAAATAAATGTTCCTCGAACATGTTGACTCCTGTTTTAATCCTTTAACTTCCAGAACTGATAAACGTGAAACTTCTTCCTATATTATTCATACATTATCCAGCAAATTGGCATGAGAGCACTTAAACATTTCAGGGAGTTTTTATCCTGATCTAACACCAAATTCTCACAACTAATTAACAAAGAAATGTGTAGCAACTAGAGGGGAGAATTAACAATCAGATCTTGGGAGTTAAAGGGTTAATGGTGTGATGTGTTTTGTGTATTTCTTGGGTGGGTTCTGAAATTTTGTCAGCACATGTTGTTTGGTATAGTTTTGAAGTTGTTGATAACTTTCCCCTTTTCTGTCCCACCATACTGAACACTGAATTTTTGACAAGAGTCCAATACCAAGGAATTTATGTCATAGGGGAGGTATGCCCTAGACCTCCTACAATGATTCTGAACTCCTGAATCACAAAGCATAGAGCTACAGTAGTTACAGCAGGTTGAATTTCAAAATACTTATAACCTTTCAAAAATGTCTTCAAATTTATTAAGAGTTGAATTAAGGGCACAGCCATTTTGGATGAAAGCACTTACTTGTTACATATCAACTAGCCTTTCTCTTCCTTCAATATTTGAAGCACCGATGTGATTGACTTCCCTGGTTTCATTAAGCTTGCAAAACACATCAAGTTTTTAGTGTGAGTGCAGTGAATTAAAGAACATAAGACTATTGCATTGCTGGTAAGTGGCCAGGTTGTGCAGCAGTTTTTAAAATGGTTTAGTCCAAAGTCAAATCCTTAGCTCATGAAAAGACAATTTCCAAATGGTAGAGACACCATCTGGGATTGGAAAAATGTATTCTGTGGCACAATTGCATGCATACCTTTTATATTGTTATGTTCATGATTAGGTGATTTCTGGGGCATTTTTCTCCTATCAGTGAAAAACTTAAACATTAGTTACTTATGAATAAATGTTGGAAATATTTTATGCTCTACTTGATCTTCTGGAGGGACAGAAAGGGAGGGGGGGGGTTTGGCACCATTTGATGTAGTTAATCCAGGGATAAGTGTTAAGGAAGGATATGAGATCTAAAAGGTTGGGGTGAACACCTCCCTATCTGAATTTTTTTTCAATCAAAATGCTTGATTTTGGACACTGGTGTTTTGGCACATGAACATGACACGTGTTATGAGAGGGGTGATCATTTCGTTTGTTCTTCTTTTTTGTCTTGAAGTGTTTAAACATCTAACTCTGTGGGCTATCACCCTCCCCTCTGCTTTTAGGAAGTGGAGTAGGAGATCATGTGGATGCTGTGTCAACCCCTCTAATAAATTTCTGTTAGGCACTGTCCCCTTCTACTTCTCAGTTCAGAAATACTCACACATTGCAACATTAAGTTAGCTAAACAAAATGTGCAGTTGGCAATCTTTCCACACATCACCTCATCACTCTCTAGCTAAGTGATATTATTTCTTCCTTATTTTGAACTGCTTTTGACTTGGGCACCATTCCAAATCAGTAACAGGCATGTTGTTCATTTCCAAGACTGCATAGAGGTTTTCTTGTGCCAGCAAACCATGTCTTGAACAATTGGAGAAATTAGCAGAGGGATATGGGAAGCCCCACCCGCTAGGCAGCTTCTGACCGCACCCACCTTGAACGCCCATGGCTAGTAAGTGGTGTAGAACTTTGGCAAGGTTTCCTTCAACAGAGGTGGGGAGAAATAATCACACACACAATTTCAGAAAAACACATAGAACAGGTTAGCACACAGGCAACTTAATGTACAAGGAAGGTTTGAATGCGTTTTGATTACTCCGGACAAATTTTAACGTGGATTAGATGAAATTACTAGGACCATTGGCTTCTTTTTAGTCAAGTTTTCAATTTACACCACTCTTACTTTCTTAAAATTTTCTCAAATTATTTTTTCATTTACATGATTATTTATTTTTTCTGTATCGATCGCAGCACAGAACCATTCCCCAAATAGAGTGATTTGCGTTTGATTCTCGTGAAACCAAATCTAAAGTGATCACCACGGGTAATCAGAACCGAGGTCTACATCTCATGGAGTCTGCAAGAAATCAAGGTGTAGTGATTAGCTAAAAGGGCTAGAAAGCGCAGATAACCAAACACTGATTGGTCGAGAAGGTGGTGCGAGTTTTCTATAGCAAATTTTCAAATTGTTTCTGAAAATTTTCTGAACTGTGGAGATGACTGACCTGAGCCGTGTTTTGAAACTAAAGAGTCAGAAAGGAAACAAACATGAGAAATTTCGTGATGCAACAATGGAGTTTCAACTTTGGGAATGCAATGGAAAGTGTAAAAAAGCAAATTTGGGGCCAATCATTAGTTTATCAAAGTTTTAGTTTTGGCCGATATTGATTCTTCCTGACATTCAATATCCCCTCAGTTATGACAGATTATGGCTTATGCTACTGAAATAATTTTATCACACTTAGTTTTCTTGCCGCCAGTAATCCATCTGAAGCTGTCTGTAGGATACGTTCAATATGTCACCACTGCTTTATCAACCTCGCCTTTTCAACGCTCAAGAATGATTGAGAGGGGGAAAATTGCTCCGAAAAATCGTCTGCACGAATTAATAAAAACTGAGTCAATTGCGACCAAGATTAAGACTAAAAAAAACCTAAGAAACTCAAGTTAAAAGTGGAGGTGACTGAACTTCCTTTTCACCCTGCCACAATCTTGAACCTGGGATGTTTCTATGGGCTACAATCTTGTTAAGAATTCAGTACCTCACGTCCTCTTTACCTAAAGATACTAAGAATGCAAATTCGAGCAAAAAGAGAAAGGTTTACGGCAACAACAATGAAAAATTAAGAGAACTCTGATAAGATTTCAGTCTATGGGTGCCGAAATGTTTTCTTCTTTTGGACAGCAGAGGTACACTTCCATGTAACCCAAGACATTGAATCCGATTTAAAGATTCAGCCATTGTAAACAGCACCTGAGGACTCTAATCTCGGAAAAAAGCATGGCCGGTTTTTTTCTCATCGTGCACTTAAGGCTATTTGCATAATTTGTCTCATGTAAACTATGCGCAAAGCAGCGAAAAAATTAAAATCTTTACTAATTTCTAAATTATTTCTGTATTTACAGTTAGTTGATCAAAAACGTTGACCATTTGAAACGGTTCGTTCAACAGTGTTGTAGAATAATACGAAGTAACATAGGTCATGAAATTTTAGATTACAACGAAACACAAGAGTAAATTTTGCGTCTCGAGAGATAGGGTAATAATAATAATAATAATAATTTATTCATTTCTAGTGCGCATCTGTACATGACTATGATCAGATGCGCATTCCTGAAGTATATATTATAATAGAGAGAATTGAAGAAACTAAAGTATATATCATGTAAAAAGAGAAAATGCTAATAATATGCTAATAAAATCTCCATCCTTGCGATTCTTATTTAACTTGTGAGTGTTCCAAAAATATCTTGAACTTCTTCGGCACTCTGAGCAAAGACAGACACGTCTGAATTACAGCCATGAGGCTCGTCAGCAACAGCTAAGATAACAAGTCTCCCTTCGATCTTTTCGTTTAGACCGTTCGCCTTCTGAACCAACCACTTACCGGAGAAATTGTGCGTATTTTCAGAAAACATTGCGGAGTGCTTCAGACCAAACATCGATGCCATATGCCGAGCGAGAAGAAGGTGACTTGTTTCACCACCCACCCGTGGATTTAAATCAACCATGAACTTTCCGTGATCTGTAAATAAAACCTCGAACGTAACGAGACCAAAGTAACCGTTTTTTAGAGGGTAGTTTTTGATAGGGATTGTAAATTCTTCGTGCACAAGATCTCTGTATTCCTCTTGCTTTCTCCAATCAACAGTAGCGGCTATCCATTTTAATCCATCAAATTTCCCGTGCGTAGTTCCTACCCAGAACATTTCACCAGATTTACTAAGATGGAATTGAAAGCTGGGAACTTCTTTGACTCCTGGAATAAATTCTTGGAACACAATTCTTCCATCCCAACCGCAGAGATCTCTGAAATGAGTTGTTGTGGAGGTAAGTTCCCCTTCGCCTCGAACGATCTGACTTCCACGACCACACCAGCCCATATCAGCCTTAACCACACATGGAAAACTGATCGAGTCTTCTTCCATGTGCTTAGGAACTGGTACTCCAATTTCGAGTATAGAGCTTTTCAGTTGCAGCTTGTACATAAGATCGGGATGAATACTTTGTTTGTGTTCTGGAATGCTCTGCAGCGCGGCCGAAGTGACAATAGGTATGTCATCTAGTAGCGCTTCATCCACAGATTTCACCGATGCCAGTGGAAAATCTGGCATCGTATTATTCCAGTGTTCTTGTAAATATGACGGTGGTTCACTTTCCATGACCAATTGAATTTTATCACCGGTTGTTGCGAGATTACGCAATGGAAACAAGGTCTGGTTAAAACTTAGCGGTGGAGGAGGCGAATCAAATACTTGGTATTTGGTGCTATTCTGAAATCTGTATCCTTTGGAATACGACGACGGTTGTTGTGGAAGAAAATAAGCCTTCTCTAGGTCCTTTTGGATAAGGTCTCCAATCGTTATCACATTCAGGTTCGAAAAAACGACGGCTTCGAGTTAGTGGCCATTTTGAAATGCGAATTGAATTAAATTTAGGAATTAAGTACGACTAAAGCGTGACAGAAGCACGGCGTCCGAATCAAGTGTTTAATTAAGTTCAGCGAAGTAATTGAAGGCCCATTTCCAACCTTGATGCAACGCGGTCGTTTTTTTTTTTTTTTTAACCACTGCTTTTATTTAAATAGCGCCTCTGATTGGTCAGTTATTTTGATCTTGCCACGTTGTCTCAAATTAGCTTCTGCGTTTTCTCTGATAAATTTGGTGAGCTTGTCAAAATAATACTATGTAAAACAATACTATGTGTTTTAATCCAGTATGGAATCAGATGAATCCATTGATTTAGTAGATTCCGAGGCAGTAAACGCTTATGGGTCGGTTGCTGCTCAAGAAGAACACGAAAATTCTTGCGAGCATTCCGAGGAAAGTGAAAATGTTGATCCACCACGTTTTCATTCATACATCCTTTTTTTTTTTATTTAAGTTTGCCATCCTTGTTAAATAGGACCAAGAGTCAATTGAAGTTTCCTGCCCGTGGACAGGATCATCTAGCGTGAGAGTCATGGCGAAAATATAAGAGGTTGTATGGGAATAAACAAACGCTCCTAGAAAGTAGAAATACCGTCAAATTTTCAATGAAAAATGATCTAACCATACTTCCACGGTGCATCGCTTGTTGTCTGAACGCCTACTTTGTTGATACGAGGCCATTTGGGTGAGTTATGTTTCTAGGTTTCCCACTCCCAAAAGTGTAGACATGGATAACTTGATATAATGGCCTCGTTTCAACAAAGTAAGCGTTCAAACAACAAGCGCTGCACTGTGGGAATAAGGCGAGGTATCATCATGCAGCATTTATTCGAATAATAGGCTCAAAAAGCGTCCAGCGATCATTACTTCGATCGCAGTTGGAAATTTTGAGTGACCAAATCCTTTTGAATGTACCAATTCTGATATCGAGAAAGCATATCCGACATAAGATCTATTTCTGTTCTCTAAAATTAAAATGGTCGGCTACCATATTATTGTTTGGATTTTAAATAAAAGCCGCTCTCTTATAAACGCCGCCCGCGAATGAACGCCGCACTCGAATCACAAAAATTTAATAAACGCCGCGGCGTTTAATCGAATCTATTCGGTATTTCACAAGACGATCATCTCACAGCTGGAGCTTGGGCTGCCTGCGTACTCTAGCACGCCAGTGATTTAGACGTCGTACCCCTGTCGTGCCAAACTGAATTCAGAAATCAGTATAGTATACTAATGTACTTCGGCGGATGTGCGTTACCACGGGGGATTCATGTGAATAATTCTTCTTTACAGATTATGCGAGGAGGGTGCTTCGGTAAATACTGAATTACGTACGACATAAGCCCGACGACTGAATCTGAATCGTGCTTCCGTTACGCAATGGTCGAACCTAATTGCAATTAAGTTCGGCCAAGAGCCCAAATAATGGGCTCCTGGTTCGGCACGATACAAGCTGAGTCTGAGCTGGGCCTAATTCTGCTGCCCCGAAAAACCCTAGCATATTTGACTTTGGAGACGGTTCAGAAAGTTCAGGACCGATACGGAAGAGCGAATGATATTTTAACCAAGGAGCATTGTGACACTACATTGGCAGGGGTTTCAGTAAAAGCTGAGGTCTACCGCCGCTTATGAGATTCCCTCCCACCGTCTGTTTAGCCTACGAGCAAGCAGTCGTGCTTGTGTTTTGCGCTACGGCCCCTTCTCCGGGGGCAGCCAATCGTTACACCATCGGCAGCCGCCTTTGGTAAAAGCTTTCTTAAAACCGACTGCAAGACTCAAATGACATGATCAAATGCTTTTATTTCCTCTTTAAAATAAAAATAGAAATTCAATTCTAATTCACTCCATGCATAAATATCTTAAAATTTTGACTTATAGAATCTAAGTTCACAAACTCTGCATTTTGATTAGCAATTTTTCACTCAATAGTAATTCTTCACATGGTGTGCATACTTCACTCTCATGGAAAAAGAAAGCAATAGAAAGCTTCTCTTCCCTGCTCATTCTTTTCTAAAGAGATTTAACAGGGTGGTGAGAAGTGTAATTAACAGTACCAACCTAAAATTATTCACCAAATATACCTGCACAGCAGGCTATTGGAAGTTGAGAAACAATTCAGCTCTCGGCAAGCCACTGGAAGTTGAGAAAAAAGTCAGTTCTCTATCCCCTACCCCTCAGCACTACATTTCTCCAGGGTCCTCCAGTGCCCCAGGGTATTAACTACGCTGGCTCAAGCTAAATCCACTTCTGAAGTTGACGAGAAGCGTTTACATACGTCATTTACAACAAACATGTGTCATTGTGAAGCTTCGAGCAAGTCTTTCCTTTGGTCGTGGATTTGAATTCCACGACCATGAAGTATCGGGAACTGTTTTGGTTCTAAGATATTACTGCACACCAAACAAACAAAATTAATGTTGGTCCTCGGCAACGCGCTCAGCCGATCAAATTTGACGGGAATCCTTTCATAAGGTAGGTGATAAAGATAACCAAGTTGCGCGAGCACCTCTCGATGCTGAGTAATTGCACTGAAAACCAGAAACGATGAGCATAAACCTTTCATCTGACTGGTGAGACAGTGATGTAAAATTTTCCACCAATTAGGATCCCTAATTAAAACTACATTACGCCTCTGCTTATTCGCGGTCGATTATTCAATTATACAAAAAAGTTCGTCTTCTCTAAATTCTTGGTACACATCAATGCAAACACTTACTTACATGTGCGGTCTAGATAAACTCTCCTTTTTTCCTTTTCATCGACTGCATTTAAATAAACTTTCGCTAAAAAAATAAATTAAGTTCGTTTTTACAAACATTTACATCCACAGGAATCTCGTTTCCCATCCCAGATGGCTTAGAAAAAACCACTGTCTCTGAAAGCTTCAATTCATCTCTGAATGTTGAAAGAAATCCCACACCGTGTTTTCGAGCATTAACACTCCACATTAAAAACAGATGTTAAGACTGTGTATATCATGCTGCCATTGTGGCTGTTGTGAAAGATTACAATCACTACGACACTAGGAAGTTCCACTCCTCTTGGAGGGGCCTAAGTTGACACCAGATGCCGGCACCGTGCCAATAGGACCCAGAGGAACCGTTCGGTTTCTGAGGGGAAAACGAAGGGATTGCAAAGATAAATTGTGTGCAATTACAAATAGTATTAGATGAAAGTAATGCTAAGGAACTTCATTTCCAAAGTCAAACACAAAAATCAAAATATATGAGCGAATACAAAAGACACATCCTCTCTTTTGTGCTCTATATTACTTTTTTCCTGTTGCTGTTTCAAAACAGGGGGCCATGGCTAAGAGGGAAGAGGGCTTTGGGTGTGCGATAAAGTGCATTTTGATTGATGGACGTCAAAATAAAACTAAAGAGATCATAACTACCAATCAATAACATCAATTCCACATAGAGCCAGAGAGACCTTGAAGAAAAACATAGTGACAAAAGCACGAGAGAACACAGCCTATGTCGGGCTGCCGGTCAGTGGAGACGACAGAATGAGCGAGAGACGAAAAAATTGATGGGTTTACAGAAGGAGTTGACTCCCGACTTTTTTTTTACTCGCTCGCCCCGGTTCTTCGCTCGTCGCCACTAATTAGCAGCCTGGAGCCAACTCAGTGACCCAGTTTTCATCTGATTAGTTGAGAGAATGACGCTAAGCAAAATTGAAAATTACCCTTCTACATGAAGTTAATTCACCTTTCCAACTGTGCGAACCTTCTGTGAATTCAAGTTTTCTCTAGATTAAAATGCAACTATGTTCACCCACCTTGCACAAGGAGACATGTCATAATAGCCACTCTCCATGAGAACGTTTTCGATTATATTCTGCAATAAAACAATCGTAGTTTAGATCTTAAAACTTCCTCAAAATTAAAGAATTAGAAGATAAGCGACGATGTAGCAGAAATTGGAAAAAAAAAACAAATGACAAGTGTGATGAGAAGTGATGAGGATTAAGAAAAATACCAATTAGAGGATTATAAGCTGATCCAATACCAAATTCTCCGAAGTAACATCATAAAAATTGCATGGCAGACAGTTTGGAGAATCACTAATAAGATCTTAGGAGTGAAAGGGTTAAGAACAGATGGCCAATATGGACTGAATAAAACCTTCAATGATCTTTATTTCAGGAGACAAATACCAAAAACAAACAGAGAAATCAAAATATAAGAACGAAGATAACTAAGGATCGATAGGGAAAACCGACACAAATTGGAAATTAAAACTTTATCATCTACCTTTATCAATCCTTCCGAGTTTTCGTAGAAGTTGAAGGGGTTGGGGCCGAAAAAAAAGAAAAAAAAATTCTCGAAGACTTTCATCTTCTTTACAACTTGGAGACAAGATTTAAAGCACAAGGAACCTTCACAAACCTGCATCATCTCGTATGTTATGCCAATTTCTTGGGCGTCGCCTGATTCAAGGTTAACTCCACTCACTAAGAACACAAAACCAACAGTAAAAAAAAAATGACTCGCGTTTATGTCCCACAGTAACCTTGCCACATTTTGCTCTCTGGACCTACCTAACTTGTCAGCGGTATCTAGCTGGTGATGCAGGAATGCTGGATCTCCAAACCCGAACTTCAGGTCAATAACTTCTCTAGACCCTTCAATCACCTGTCATGTAACCATACAAAGTGTTTCTTAACAGAGGTCAAAAATGTATATCTTGGCCAAACTATCAGAAATTGTTCCGGTTCAAATGGCATGATGGAATATTAGTATCTCGCATTTTAACCCCCTTCCCCCACCTTCTGCATCTCGTCCTGCTCCCCCCTACGTTTTATTTCATACTCTTGGTTGGAGGTTGCCACTAATTAAGTGGGAGGTACCATGCTCAGGAGAGACGCGGCCAATGGGGCGGAACAGGGACCTCTCCAGTTAAGCCCTGCGTGCTGACCACAAGGACTTAACGTATCACGTCCATTTACCAAAGAGAGTGATAAAACCCGTAGCATACCAAATAGGTCATATTGGAATGTCATCTCCGATAAATGAAAACAAATGGAACAAACGTTGACCCATCAAAATCTTACGAAAGGTTACATTTGTTTCTTAAAAACTGCTACTATAAAATATTCTAAAATATTCCAAGGAACCTCTGGTGACGAAAAGGAACTTACCTTCTTGACCTCGCTTTTAAGATTGACGAAGGAGCTGTTTTGAGGAGCAAACAGAGCTCTCTTGAACTGCTCGACTATTCTTCTCTGTGGGTTTGGTGATAATGTAGGTGGTAACTGGAACGGCAATGAAAAATTAACAAGTGAACTAGGTAAGAAATAAAGAGTGCTACGAGGATGAACTTTCCTTGAACTAAGAGTGCAACGGCAACGAATGTCTTCTCGGCTACTTATCCCATTACAACAATACTAACGCTGGATATTCGAGGATCAATTCTGTTTACTGATGTCCCACGGGTTAGACGAATACAGGGGAACGACATAAGATAAAAAACTAATCGCGAACCTGCGTTATGAAGATGATCTTGTGGAGTTGGTTGAGAATCTGGGAGATGGGATCGTTTATTTGACGCACTTTGCGAGGAGAAATGCTGAGAGTGGCTGCGGCAGTAGCTAAAACAAACAAACAGATTTACATATTTACATTAAAAGGCGCTCTGTTGTAAAAAGTTCTTTGAAACGTAATCTTCCGGCTTTCAGTCCAAAGCATTTACGAGTGATAAACAAAATTATACTTACGAGGTCGTGCCTTCAACTGTCCACTACTCTGTCTTCTATACATTTCCACGGATGAGCTAAAATGGAACGAGCAGAAGGACATTAAAAACACTTTATTTCTAATAATCAGGTCCATTTTGGATAAGCAATATTTCTTGTTCACTCTCGTTGAAGCTGACGTTTCGAGTGTCAGCCCTTCCTCAGAGGGAATAGGATTCACTGTGACGAAGGGATAACGCTCGAAACGTCAGCTTTAGGATCTCTCAACGATGGTCAATTGACATAATCCACCCAGTTGATAAAAGTAACTATCTTGTAAAACCTCACTCCGACGCAGAACCAAATATGCTTTAGAAACTTACCCACCTCAATCCTTAGTTAACCTCATACAAAAAGTATACTTTGCTATTGCTGATCACGCCTCCTAACGGTTCGTCCCTGATGTCTTCTAAGTTGAAAAATTCCCACTGGGCATACTTTTGCCACCCTCAACTTTAACGCGAGGCTTTCTGTTTCACACTAACCTGCTATGTGTCCTTCTCGATGAAAATTCACTTATCCCAGGAGCAGGAATCCCAGATGAATTTCCGCCAACAGGTGTTGTTGTTGTAGTACTCGAACCATTTGACGGGGAAACCTTGCTGCCGACCGCGAAATCAACATGAAGTTGTCTCCTCGCGCCTTTCCGTGGTCCGGGGGGCTTCGGTACCGCAAAAACATGAGAATTCGTGGCGGAAGAACTGGCGCCTGGTTTCTCAACGATAGTCCTACTGTTGGACAGTTTCTCTATTCCTACCCTACCGCCCGATAAGGGCTTATCTTTGTCTTTATTTAAAGAGGACGATTTTTCAGTATTCCCTTTGTAACTAGATTTATCAGTAATAACTGGCTTAAGAGTCCTTTGCCGCCGCGTTGAGCCTGGCGACGAGCTACTTTCAGGTTTAGTACCACCATTTTGTTCAGGTGATCTGGTGCTGGAACCCAGGACTCCGTTGGCTTGAGCTTCTCCTCCAATGTCAATTCCAGAATCCACTTGGTTCGCAAACTCTGTTTCGCCGTTTTTATGAACGCCATTCTTGTTGAACTCTGCTAGGGCACTCGCTGCCTCAAAGACGGTGTCAGAACCTTCAGGGACGTCAACGTTCCTGAAGCCAGCGGCTCCTCCACTACTTGACAGGTTCACCAGCTTGTCATAGCGTTCTTGTGAGGCCCAGAAAAGGCGATGGTAGTTCTGCATATTACGATTTGCCTCGATATAATGCCTGCAAGGTAAGACAACTCTTTCGATTAAATCGGACCTTCTACGACGGCCATTTCATTACCGTAAATTAGCACAGAAGAGTATTATGAGGTTCTTAAGAGGTAAAACATAACTTATTCAAAATGGCAAACGATCTGAAGATAGGTCTATTAACGCTATACAAACATCCGTCTACTTGAGAAAAAAATACACCTCTGGGTTCTTTTTCTTTCTCGTTCCAGTTTCTTTTCCAGGCTGATCTCATTGGACCGCAACTTGTCCACATACACCAGCATTATTTCGCTGATAATGGCAGCAACCTGGAACAAAAAGACCACTTTAAAATTTAAGTGAATAACAGAAGTGCAAGAACATAAAATGAAGTGTCACAGCTCCGGACTGTGCAAAGACTGAGATCTCTCCCCTCAAAACACAAATAACGTTGAATATAAACACTATAATATAAAAATTGATTAAAAATGTTAACAATCACTTATCATGAGATTGTGACGTTCCATAGCATACCTGAATTATATCTGGTCTTTCATCAGGATTGGGTGTTAGACACCTACACGGAGGGAAAAACAAAGAAAGAGTTAGAGGCGCGCAAGGAATTCTTTCTCGCACGCGAAACTTCAAACCATTCTCCAGCACCCCTTCATGCACGCATGTTATGTGAGCCAACGCGCTTTAGTAACCAAAACAACAGTGACATTCCCAATAACAAAGTTAACAGCAGCAAAAAAGCCACAGTAAGATCTGGGTATTAACTGCACTCTTGCGAACCCCTAAAAAGACCACTTCCTTTTCTCTCCGCTTTCAGCCAGACTCCTCCACCACGGTAACAGTGAGCTACGTCCATCAACCTTTCTTTACATTAATCTTCCGGCTTTGCGCGCATCGATACAAGAAATAGCGATAAAAAAGAAAAAAAAAAAAAAAAAAACTAAAGATTTCTCTAGGTGTTCGCACGGTCAAACTAACCATCTATTCTCAAAAGTATACACAGCCAACAAGATTTTATAATTCATACAAAGCAATATGCACCAATGGTCACTCTACTCTTTCAATCACTGACCTGGTCACAGTCTCGGACAGCTTGTCCGAGTACTCTCCAGGAGGTATGGGCTTGTACTTAGCTTCTACAATCTGTGTTTGAAAGATAACAATAAAGTTATAAGTCATAAAAAAAATGAAACCCAGAACGAAGTGATTTACCCGTGACACGTAATGCAGTGCATCTGTCCATGGTTGATATTTTGACATGTTCATTTTGAGTTTTTCATCGTCGAAAAGCGGTTCACGTGCAACAGTCACAATATAGTCACTTTTGAAGAGGAACCAGGTCAACATCGGCAGATATTACATTGTAGGGTTACCTGATGGGACACCTCTAATGAGGGGCACTTCTCTTGACTCAAGGGTGCTCCATGAATAGAAGTTCCACTGTATTATGACTGACACAAATGTAAAATTTAACCTCAATAGAGTTCCCCTGACTATTTTAACGTTTGTTGCGATTCTTCAGCTCAACTCGTTAATCAGCGCTGAAGGTGCCAACTAATGAATAAAAAAGGTCTCCTAATATTACGCACTTGCCGACGTACATTTTTTGCTAATGCTAACACGTTTGACGAGTAAAATGGAGGTTGAAGAGTTGCCATTTGATACAGAATACAGCCTGAGGCCCACACGTCCGCCTTTTCACCGTAAGGCTTGCTTTGAACAACCTCAGGACTAAAAACAGAGAATAGAGATATTCAGTAACTCAATTATCACCAGAACCCAGATAAAGTACTCTGCATGGAAACAATGCCGGTCTACACTTGTGGATATTCTGTTCGCATAAATTCTGGGAGGTATTTCACGGTTTGTTTCCACATCCACTCCTTTTCACCAGTTTTCGCAAGTACAAGGAATCACTAGTCAGCTGACTACGATTAACTTTTAAGTGATGTTACAACAAAAATTAGTAATGAAGAGATTTAACGTCTTAACTTTTAAGATGGTAAATATAACCGAAAATACGTTCCTAGAAAGATGATATTCTCCGACATCGCAGATTTAAAGAATGCCGGAATGTGCCGCTTCCATTTTCTCGAAAATAGATACTTGAAAAATTAGTATCAATGACGTCGAAACTTTCGTCAGAACAAACAAAAAAAAAACTGATGACTTATACTTACCATGAATATAACATTGTACCAACCACCGACGTCATTTTACTTGCATCAGGATTCTTCTGCTTGGCTAAACCGAAATCGGCTGTAAAGAATAAAATATGAATTATCATTACTTTTCCACAAAGGCTCTAATTTAAGAAGCATGGCAAGACAAAACAAGGCAAAAACAAAAGTCACTGACTTATAGTGACTTTATCATTTTCTCCCAGCATGATGTTGTTTGGCGTAAGATCCCTGTGGACGATGTGTTTTTCTTTGTGAATGTAACGAAGTCCTAAAACAATCTAGAAAAAAAGAGAAGAGAGAAAAATAAATTAGAGATCAATTTTAAAAAGGTAAAGGGATGGAATGAGAAAGTATACGAACGAATACGCCAATGAACACACGCATTCGACCTATATGAATGTATCTTTAAATAATTTTATACCATCATGGAAAAGCACAGTTCTGTACCTGTATAAAGATATGCCATATTCTCTCCTCTGAAAACTTGGTCCCTTTTTCTTTCAAGGAATTAAAATGCTCGCCAAGAGGAGCGCCCTCGACCAATTCCATTATGACGAAGAGTTTGTCCTCTGTAATAAGTATAAAACAAGAAGAAATGGTCAGCACAGTGAAACGGTAAGATCGTCCAACTTCTCTGACATTACTTGGCGCTATCAGAGTGTTAAGCCGTTAACCTCTGAGAGTCACTAACATCAAATTTCTCCTTACAGTATCATTGGTGAATCAAACATAGGGGTCTTAAGAAAAAAAGGAAATGATCGCCTAGTAAAGGAGCTCTTGATAGGCGAACAATTTCTCCTTGTCAGCGCCGTAGGAAAAATAAAGAGAACAGTATGAAGAGTATACATACTGATGCTGGGCTAAAAAGGGTTATGGTATCAATATACTAGACAAACGTCAATTTGTTTTTCTTGTATTTGGGTGTTTAGTTGCTTAAAATAAATTTATGACCAAAGAAAAGCTACTCACTTTCTTGAAAAGCTTTGTGGTACTTGACAACATTTGGGTGTCTTAGCTGAAAGGCAAAAGGAAATTAAAATGAACTGGTTTTACTATACTGTTTTACTGATCGCGCAGAGTGCCTTGTGATTTAAATGCAAATTGGAAAAGCAGCAGGAAAATCTACGAGACTCTAGAGACTTTACTCAAGTTGTCGTAAGAAACGATAAGAAGTCCATTCAGTTCTCCCAGCTCTAAGCTCGCTGGTTTGCGAGTAAACTTATCGTCACATTTGCCTACACATTGCGCGGATTTCTCGTTATTCGTGTGAAGTGAATACAAATTGATAGTACAGTTAAGTTACCTGTTCTTTCATGATAGCTGTTTCATTGACAATTTCACCAACACTCTTTCCTCTGTCTTTAGCCGTCTTTCCAAGAGCAGGATTATGAACTGACATCTATAAAAATAAAAATTACAAAATTTAATTTAATCTCCGCATCTACAGATAGGTACCGAAATCGCTAAACAAACTGCCATGGATATTTAAAGAACTCAAAGAAGCAAGAGCATAAAACAATTTCCAGAGAAACATCTCTGATACTACAAGATAAAAGAAGTGACGCATATTAAGTCTCTTTAACACGTTGGAAGCACAAGTTTTTAGGCCAGTGTAATAAACAAAGCCAAACCTCTTTCATAGCTAGAAAGCTCTGACCAGCATTCTTCTTTCTAACCTGAAATAAAAATGATAATGCGATCAAATGATGAGCAACGGATTTCGCTAAAAAAGCGAGGGTACTTTAATACACAGATGTACGTGTTCGTAGAGTAAACACACATTTGTAAACACAAGACCCACGTTCAATTAGCTAATGGAGTCAACTTACTTTAAAGACACTTCCAAATGCACCAGATCCCAGAAGTTCAAGTACCTCGTATGAACCAATGGAATGACTAGGAGCCTTGTTCTGATTGGTAGCTTGAACATTGGTTTTAATCACTGAAATGTCCTCCTCCTTTAGGAAACAAAAACCAAAATTGAAGACTCATTATTTCTTGTTGTCTTGATCGGAGAAGTGTTAGGGGGAAACTGCAGACGATTGGAACCAGACTGTCCGACGTATGTGTAGGCCTGTCAATCCTTCAAATCTGATCTACTCTAATAAGTAAAACCCTCACTCATACAGTTGAATTTTCCTGGAGCTGAAAAGTTAGTCTATTCATATCAGCTTAGCCTTTCACTCGGCTAAATTTGAAGAATTAAAATGCTAACGCAGCATAATTATAGTAATCAAGAACAATAGTGATCTGCAGTATTTTATTTGGATTAAAAACGTTTATTTGACAGTGGTAATCTCCCTTTCGATGTAAGTTAGCCTGCCTCTCTATCTTTCTATGCCGCTCCCAGAAGTTGAGAACTATCCAGGAAATGTTAATTAAGGAACAAAACGATTTTCAAATACAGTCCACTGGTCGAATAGAACTCGAGACTGCTCTGTCAAACGCTTGCTTAGTGAAAAAGAAATTCATCAAGCGGAGTAATTCATTAATACCGTTCAGTGATTTCTGTATAACACACAAAAAACAACTCTATAACCTCACCGTCAAAGTGGAAATTTTGTCAACCAGGCACTTGTAGGCATTTAATTCCCTGACGTAATGACCGACGTCAATAAATTTCTCAAAGAGGTCTGGGGGAAACAATCTGTAAATCAAAAGAAAATCAATGTAAAGATTTTCAAAACTTCCAAGCCATGCCCTTATTCAAGAATTCTCGATCTCTCACGATGTAAACTTAGGGCTAGGCTAAATTCAAACAGTATATCTCACCTCTTGAAGAGTTGACGATTTCGCTCCATACTAAACAAGAATCTGCAGAGAGTTAAGCACAACAACTCACTAAAGACGAAGGTGATAGAGCGTTATTTTGGAACAAAACAACTTAACACTAGCTGCCAATCTGTTCCTGGGCAGGACGATGTGGTTCCCATAACATATGAATTATGTATCAAAATTTCGGACTAAGTTGGGAATATAAGCAAACGAGGTTTTAAAATGCAGCTTGAGGAAACTTGACTATGCCTTCGCTGCACTTTACAAATAAAACTGAAGAAAAAAAATTCCCTGCGGTTGGATCTAATGAGGCTCGAACAGTAAGATTTTCTTGAGGAGAGATGATGTATACACACTAACTACAAGACAATACACAGGAAAGAAAGAGAACCAACCTCAAAGCCCTGAATGCGCTTTTCTGTGAAGAAAAAATTTACAACAAAAGTGAGTCGAGTTAATCAAAGATTTCCAAGTACAGTACTGTGCATGTTGATGAAAATGTCTTACGATCTACACTTGCACTTGTAATAGGGCACAAAAACAGTCCGTCCTACCTGAAGGTGTTCTACAGTTGCGGCTTCCTCAGAAGAAGACGTTTCTTGGGGCAGAATAAGTAATCCCAGCAAGTAAATACCGTTTGACTGAAACAGAGTAAAGAATTATACGTACTTTAAAATCAAGCTTTGAGATATAATATGTGTACAGCAAACCTGTCTGTTCTATGACGGTACCCGTCTCTTATCAGCTAGAAACGGTCATCTCTCCCTTATTATTGTTTTCTACTTATAGTTACGTGCTCTAGTTTTAATTGCTTTTAATTCTTTGAGAGTGATAACATGTCATGGGAGAGTCCTAATGTATCAAAATTTGATGTATTATCCGCAATGTTCTCGGAAACAAAGAATTGTGGAAAACAACACTCTTTCTCGTTTTTGGTTTTGTTTACCATCCCCTTGATATCGCTCTGGCCATCCGATAGAATGTAATTTTACTCAAATGTTTTGGCCGTTTAAGGCTATATGCTATGGCGATTTCCTGATATCTTGGACGTCTTGGGTTGTTTTTGGCGATCGTCGGAATTCGTTCCGGTACTGGGTTAGATACCACAAACATCATTAAAAATCACTTCTCCACATGAACAAAGTAACTGAAGGGTAAAATTTCCGCACAGCCCCATACTATTGTAAAACAAATCTGTTTTCCCAATGGCGATGTATTGTTTTTGTCATTGTTTTCTCTATTCAAGAACTGAATGCATAATGTAGTATGGGGCTGTGCGGAAATATTACCGAAGTTGATAACTATAACAAAACCGATACGAGCTTCGGTTTAATTAACCTAGTAGTATTACGGCAATAATGAGAGAATATTTACCATACAATTATTACTCTAGCTTTACGTTAGTTAACATGCGTCCTGCACACTAGGTTACAGGCTAGTATGCTGTGTCCACTCGCACGCAAGCAGTTGAATTAGAAGGTTAACACGCTTTGTGTATTTGCCGACTCACGCTTTGTTGTTTGTAGTGTGTTACATGAAACAAAAGCATAAGCTATTTAAGGGGTGCTCTGTAATTAATGTATTTGGAGTTTTTGTCACACTTTCAATGCAAGATGCGGTAGCCTGGTACCCTGTTCTCTGGACTTTGAATGAAGAGGTCCAAGTTTATTCTCGTCGGGTCGTGGAGTTGTGTTTCCTAGGCTAAAATAATTGCTTTGACATTCGACTCTCTACACCTTGTAATATAACTGAATACCGGAAAATAATCGAAGAAACGTGATTACTCTCTGAATGTTGAGAGCCAATGGATAAGAATCCCTTCCGGATGTAACTGTAATATTCCTGTTACACGTTAAAGAATTCTAACAAGCCTCGTGGTTGATGAATCATTCAGAAGGTAAGATTTGGCTTCTTTTGAGAGAAAACATTCAGTTTACACTCCTCACCTGCACAATTTGCTGTCCATTAGTGTCATTGACAACAAGCTCAGTCAGGGCAGAGCAAACAGCTACCCGAAAATAAAAAACAATCACTAAGATCAGTTCATCGTGATTTTAACTGAAAGTTGCCCATTGTGTACTACATGTGGTTGCAGATGACTCAAACAAGAAGGTTCCTGAAAGAGGTTTTAGAAAAAAAAAACCAAAATTTCCCAACTTACAAAGTATTAGTCTTCCACCAACAATAAACAAACAAAAAAAACAAAAAAAGTTCTTCCCCCCGAAAAGCAAGTCACAATTTCACATAAACTTTTTGACATTTTTAAATATTAGCATCGCATTTTCTCAACCAAACTTTCTATAAGAACAAATAATTTTACTTCATCCCTATCCCTCAAATCAATGCTGACTGGCTTGCACTGAGATCTACATGTGCACAAGTTTAATATATTTTCCATGCATTGCTATCCCTTTGTATATTATTGTTTGGGGAGGATAGGGTGGGGGGAGAAGGTTTCCATAACTCACCAATTTTCAAAGGCATGGTATCTTCTCCAGAATCAGCCTCAGTCTGCTTGAACAACAACACAAATGCAATTTTACTCTCTGGAAAAGGTATCAGTGCGGCACATTGCAGTAAAAGTTAAATTGTACATGTATTTCAGTGTCAAAGGTTCAGCCTAAAATCAGAGACCAAACACCAGGGATGGGTAAACTTTTATGCCCTATAGTTTGTTGCATAGGTGTTTAACTGTCTCTCATCACTTAAATCAATGTTGCCTTTCGTCTAGATAATATTGTATATTTGAAAAGGAGTTTCATCAATGAATGACATTTCGTTCATTGGCATCAAAACTACTAAATAAGTTACTTGTTATAATTTGACCTTAAAAGAATTGCATTTTTTATGTGACCATGACAATGCACAAATTTACACTAATATTTGTCTTTTACAAGCCTACAGTGTACAAGTATGTTCAGGTTAAAACAGAATCATTCATGCTTAAACATTTTATTTGACCTGCACTGTGCACATGTAATCAAGATCCCTTATGTTACATATACATGCTGCAGTTTACCTCTGCACTGATTGATGCTTTTGAACTTGTATCAGAGCCCAGATATAATACTTCAGCACTTGACTCCGGCTTCCGATCTCTGCAAAAACAGACAAAGTAATTAAGAACTGTTCCTATTTTTTTTCACTCTAAAGACTCTGAAGTGGCTGATTTATTAGCAAGCAGACTACGCAGTGTGACAGGTTATGTTTGTCACAATATAGCCATTGGCCTAGCATAGAAAAAGTTCTCAATACATGCAACAGAGCGCATGGAGTATTCTACTGGCTGTCAGAGGGTTGCAACAGATAACTGTTTATCCCTTACGCCACCAGGGTCCCTTAGAGGAAATTCAAGATCATATTAATGTATTGATATGCCTTTGACCCTTTGTGGTAACAGACTTAGTTTCAAACTCTTACAAAGGTGTAGGAATCAGGTTTTGTACAGCCTGGCCCAGGTGATAAATACTGTTTTCCATTAAAAATAAACAAAAGAGCTTGTGGAACATTAACACTTTCACTAACAGGGGTGATAAATATGTTATTCCTCTAGATAAAAGATCATTACATTATCAATAAGAGAAGGCATGAGAATTTTTAAAGAACTATGAACAAGCAATATTTTGTTTGTCTTAACACCAAATTCACAAATACATGGGAGACAGTAAGGATACCGTAATTAATATTGAATCTTGCTTACTGAAGGAGTGCCAGAAGTAAAGGAATTCCACCAAGAACTCTGATGTCATTGCTAGAGTCACTATCTTCAGCCAGTTGTACAATAATCCATACCTTACAATAAGTAAACCAAAAACAATAGCATAAGATACATGTAAGTGCAATCTGACAATGCACATGTCACTGAAAGCAAAAATTAGTGGAATCATCAATGGACTGGCCTCTATATACTAACCACGTTCCACAGAAGTTTGAGATTGTCACAGTGTAGTAAGCTGAAGAAAACATGAAAATACTGTTGATAGACTGTAAAATTGTACATTGTGCATGATTATGTTGAGATAATCTGGTACTTCAGACAAGAACATCACCTCTACTATTAAAAAACCTCCATTTTTGTCTGCCCTTACAAGATAGGTAATCAACTCTGTCTGTTTTTACAGCTGGAATATACAGTTTAGGGGTGGGCTGAAGCTTGAGTCAGTCTAAAAACTATCCAGGTGCATGTGGACAAAGCCTAAAGAAGCCTTCCCAATGTTTCTTTTGATGATACACAACAAACATGTACTTCTAGAAGATAACTGTTTTAAAGATTGAACTCCAACTTGATGAAGGGTAACATACTTAAAAGGAAGCATCTCTCACCTCAGACAAATTGGGATTCCATCAAAGACCTTAACCTGCTCTCTGATACTGCTGTCAGCACACAATATTCTCAGAAGACCAGCTGCCAGACTAATAAAAACATTGATGCGAAAGAAAATATGAGAGTTGTGGAATCCAATGTTCATCAAAATAACACATAGGGCAAATAAGAAAGCATAGATAAGTAAATAAGAGTCCAATCTTAACAAGGAAACACTTAAAAGAAAGAAATAAATAAATCATATGACCAAAAGACCTATCATAAGACTGAAAATAGACATAAGGAATGTCGAGAGGGATTGAAAACCCTCTTATCACATACATATAACTTACGTTTTGGAAAGGATGTCATATTCCTGTAATATTCTTAATAGAATCTCTGTGCAATTCAATTCGCCAATCAGAGCTCGTGGTCTCTCACTATTTACAAAATACAAAAACAAAAAAAATGTAACTGTGGAAACTGAGGATACCATGTAACAAAGCATAACACAACATTGATGGTCATGCATCACTGTCTGACATTACTAGTCAAAGCAACTTGCCTCCCCGCACAATTTTGCACTTTAAAGTTTGTACATGTGTAATATGGTCATGAATGATGCATCAAATAAATTTAAAATGTTTAACAAGCCTAATTGCATTATTTCATAACTACATGAATGGCATATAAGATATGTTAAACTGATCTCTACATAAAGCTGACCTTTGAGCCAAGCCAATCAGGGCATACAAGGAACAATGAAGAACCATCACATCACTAGCAGATAACAGAAGAACAAGAGCCTGGAAATACAAGGTAGAGCATGTACATGTCATTTGGGTACAACACATGTTACACATACTAACTCAATGTACATATATGTACCTTTTCGACACTATCATGTTCATAAATAAAATGATGAGACACCTCTGATGGAGGTAGGAGTAATGTGGAAAGGTGAACTCATTGGTGCCCTGGACAAAGCAAAAGGCAAAGGTGAATTTGCAAGCAGTTCTAGGGGGCAAGCATGGATTGAAGAGAGTCCTCTTTTAGATTCCTATGAAAATTGCTGTCTCTTTTGTTTGCCATAACTTTCCTATTTCCTTGTTCTAAACTGATGGTTGTTGCCAGACTTGAAAAAAACTCTTGTAGAGTATTACATACACATGTACCTTATGAGTGCAACATGCCACAAGCCACTCCCTCTGTTTAACATCTGCAGCAAGTTTCTGACAAATGTCTGAAAAAAAAGGTATCACATTTATAAGCATAAGAAGACTCATTAGCTTTGATGCAAGAGCATATCCCAGTTTCTTCAGCATGAGGTGACTACAGGAACATGTACTTGCAGGATGTGATACTAGTTCCACTCCACATTCCCTCAGCATTTTTTCAGGGTTCTCAGACCATTTGCCAGTACCAGTTTTTACTCCCAGTGCATGGAGGCACATCTACACCACACACATCAAGTCTTACAACACGATGACAAACAAGAACCAAAGCCATATCAGTACAGAGAAATTATCACTAAATGTTCATGGTAAGATCCTTACTTGTCATTTCTTTCAGAATGTCAACAGTAAATGGCTCTTCTCCATTCTCAAGATAACTTTCAGTCAATAGTTGTAGCCTCTGATAACAAACAGGAGAGAAATTATCATTTGTGTCCAAAAAAACTCCAGACAATTGGATCTAGAACAACATTGCAACAAAACTTCACAGAAAGATATTTCATCAAGTACACAATGGAGGAAGGAGAACACTACAGTGGGTACATGATATATTCGATAATAATGACAGACCAATCTAAGTCTGTTAATAATGAGAGGCTGAATTTTTTTTCCAGTAAACTAGTCACATTTTTTCCCAGTCATTCTTCACGTAAATATACAAATAAGCTTGTACAGTTTGTCCATCTTCTGCGACCCAAGTTCCTTTCCTTGTGCATAATCAGTAACTGCCAACCTAATATCCAAGAAAATGTTGGATTTTTCTCTTCAAACTGGTTTTGATAACAGGCCATCCTATTGTATGATTGAGCATACAACTGTATGCTCTAATTTGTTTTCAAATGGCTGCAGTCTATCACCCCCTGGAACAAGTTATACAGTGAAATACTAAGAGGTCACCCTTGGTTCATATTCAGAAATAAATCAACTAATATTATTATTGTGTTGCTGTTGGTAAATTATACTTGTTGAGTTCATAATAAGCACTAAAAACAAACAAACCTCTGCAAGGACTTTCACACCACCTAGATTGAAAAATTCAACCTGTAAAAAGGGAAAATTATTAATTCCCAATTCATGAAAAAAACATTCATATTTTATCATTGCATTTTTTTTACATCATGAATAAAAAACACTAGGGCACTGTTCTTGTAAATATGTACATGTGCAGTAAGTTTAAGTCTGGTAGTAGCTAAGACCTCACCACCCTGAGCACAACCTACATTAACTGACCATTAGGCCTTGGTATCCCCCCGCATAACAGGTCGAAATAAAACTCAAGTATGAACTCTGAAAGGTAAGACCTAACAACCAAAACCTAATCAAAACATGAGACATGAAAATTCTTAAAAATTCTAAATTCTGCAGCTAAACTCCAAAGTTTATTATTAGACTTTGTTAAAAGACAAAGCATGAAATTCCAAATGTAGAGCCCCTAACTTGAGACCACAATTTGTTTTAAGGTTCAACAATACTGGTGCTTTGTTCAAAGGCTTCCAACGTACAACACAAAAAACCAGACCTAAGACACCAAATTTTTTTTTTGGTTTTATTTTAAGTTTGACCATGCAGTAAATCTTTGTTCAGTTGTAATCACCTGAAATGTGTGGTCCCTCATAAGCATTCTGAGGCATATTAGCACTCTCAGAATATTTTCTGGAGGAACTCGTTCAATCCACTCCCTAATTGAGACAGAAAAAAAAAAGACAAATTAAAACAACAAATTCCGTAATCAGCTAATTATTTGCATGCCTAGTAATGGATTGCAAATAAATAATATCTAAAAATAGACTGATGTCAAATAAAAACATTTCGTTGTAAGTTAATTTTCTAACAACTCTTCAAAAATTGTCCCTTCAATCTTGTGAAGACTGCAAGTTTAAATCTGTCCCACTTGTCTTTCATTTTATACAAGTATGATGCTAAATATAGACCATAAGCCCCTTTAATAAATGGTGTACCTAACTGTTATTCTCTAGGACTTGTAAATTCCAGGTAATTTAGCCTTTAAAATTAGCCTTTTTGGCCTTGACAACATGTTTGAAAAACGCAATAATTTTCATGCTAATGTGAGGCCAGGAAGGTTGATTTGCATGTGCATCAAAGACTAATAATCATGCCCACCATTTTGAAAAAGGTCTATACTGTTCACTATAACACTGATACTCACAGGTAGCATACTCGCTGCTTTACAAGGGCTGTGAAAATCTAAAGAGAAAGACCACAAACATGTCATGTTTGCCCTCAATAAGAACTTGTCTTTCTGCAAAAACTATCCTCACATAGATGAAAACCACCATTTAGCAACCTATAAAAATCCTTTACACTTGCCGCTTTTTGAGTAAACAGAAGTCATGGGGTTTTTACATAATTCTTGATGCCCCCATGATATCCTCAAATGCCAGAATATAATCAAAGGCATTCCCAACATTTGCAAGGAAATACCCATGAGTTCCAACAACACCTCTTTTCAAACACACTACCATCTAAGACTGAACCAGGAGGCACAGTACCTTCATTTTCATTTCTCTTCATTTGTCAATTAGATCTAATATTATACTGACAACCAAGCTGGCATGCAAAAGCTGCCTTGAGATTGCCAGTTATATCTCTGAATAGGATATTCATGTCCAAAGTGAAAGAGTGGGTGGGTTTATATCATATGTAAACCAGATAACTGCATGCTATACATAGAAATGCATCATACTTATAACAGTGCTGTAAGCTATAGATAATACTCTTCTATTGAGCTCCAAGTTCTTAACTGACCTGGCTGAAGTAACTGCTGAGGGCATGTGAACTGAAATTCCTGACTCCCTGGTACCTGGAGCTGTTGATTAAATGGAGAATCTTGTCACAAAAAGAAATAAATTTTCTTGCATACAACTGTAAATTATCAGCAGCAAGTTTTACCAAAAGCAGGAACACTGCCTGCATTCACCAGCACACCAAAAGAGAACCACAACATTACCAGTAACATTTTTATTTAAAAGAGTGGCTTAGTAAAGATAAGATTATATAGATGGTATTACTAAGTAACTAACATTAAATACCTTAATATCATTAGTAAGCCTTTGATTTTGTTCCCAACCAAGTCTTAAACATCTATAGTTAAGTTTGTTTCACAAAACACATGTTTTATAACATTTGACTGTCACAAGCATGAATTCCGCTTTTTCTTGTTTTAATTCATGTCATTCTTGAATAATTTCATTTCAGATCAAATGATGCATTACTGTGAGTAACAGAACTGCGTATTATTCTTTTGTTTGGATTCTATTTTTAACTAATTGCAAGGTAAGAATCATTAGCTGATAAGTGTTATCTATAGAAAAGCAGTAGAAATTTCAAACTATTTACGTGGTAAATGTTTAGAATGAAGAGTCACTTGAAAATAAATGTCATTTGAAAGTCAAAAGTTGTTAAAGGCAAACCATAAATGCATTCCAAGTAAATACCAGAAAACTCAAATTTCAGAAGTCATTCAACCAAAAAACCAATTTATATATAAAGGGGATAAGTTCCTAAAGAAACTGAAGTGCTGCATCAGTGGGGGAGTATGGGATGATAATTTGGTTTTAACAACTGAGTTGATGATGTATGACCACTGCTCTGACAAAGAGCTACGGCTTAAAAATTCACCTCAGAAACTCTTTATTGTGGCCAATTTACATTGTCAACTCAGTTGAAAAAACCAAGTTATCCCAATTTATATATACCTGAATTTCTCCAAAGCAAGAGCTTCCGTTGACTGGTGTTGATGGGGTAACACTCCATTTGCCTGCCCAGCCCATGGATTACCTGTGGTGTTCTGATTTTCATCTGGGATCCAAGAGATGGAAGGAAGCTTAAAAGTAAAGGGTCAAAATACAAGTTCAATAAGTTCCAATGAAGGGCCTGAAATGAGAACTTTTCCTATTGGGCATCTCAAAATTGAAGGCAAGCTATGTGGGCTATCACCAAATTTAAACTATCAAGTTCGTTCCATTCCTTTATTCTCCAAACTAGGAATTTTACATACTCTCCAAATCAATCCATTTGAAATCACCAAATTCATGCTTTATTACTTCTTAATCTTTTTGTAACAAAATAGCCAAATTCACTGCTATGGTTCCAGAGCAGCCAGCAATTATCAAACCCACTTTTGTTGTACAAATCTTTAGCAATTTACAATTCTCTACCAAGGTTCTAAAATTTTGAACTCTCTTCCCGTTTCAGTCACTCAATTTGTCAAATCTTCTTAGCTTTAAGACGAAAATGCCAGAGTTTTGCTTAAATAATCACTGAAATGGCCAAGCCACACATTTGCAGCATATATTCTTTTTAGATATGTTGAGTGAGGTGTCCTCTCCCATAGGCCCAGTGGCTTCCTGGGTCACCTCACCTCCTGCAAACTATAATGCTGGGGAAAATTTTTTTGTAATATTAAAATGGCAAATAAATGATGATGATGATGATGATGATGATGAAGTTTGTACCACATTTTTTAAAATAAACCTTCAATTACCTATCCAAAATTTGGATCAAAATAGGGGGCACTTAATCAATAGAAAAGGTAGTGTAATAGTTGGAGAATGATTTTTTTGTTTGAGGAAATATAGTATGTACAACATTATATACCTGTTGTTTGCTGGCTGGGGTGTTTAGCAGGTCTAACAATCTGGATAAATCTTTTTCTTCATTCTCCCTGAAATGAAAAGAGAGACAAAGATTTGTTATTTTTTTTGTTAAAGTTATCAACTAAATACCTTATAGCGTAGCCGCTAGATCTCAATTTGGACATTAACAAGCAAAATAAAACTCTCACTCTGCTGAAAGACATTTGACATAATGTACTTGACATTTCTTGCAAAAACAAGAGTGCCAGGAAGGGGTTTTACATTTATCTGGGTTACTACTCATCTTACAGACACAATTCTTCAGAAAATCTACCCATTGGTTAGAAGTGTCTTTCAAGGGTGATTATCTTTTTGATCCTACAAAAGTGTCTTTCTAGGGTACACATCACTTGCTAATCTTATGCATGATGAAGGTACTCATGCACAAAATTTAAAAAAAACTTAGTCTATAGTAACATATATGTACAGGGCCCAGTTGTTCGAAGGCTGATTAGCACCAACCCAGGGTCAATTTTAATCCAGATCTCTATATTTCTCCATTCAAATAACTATTTGGGAAAATTTTCCCAGTTCATTTTAGCGTATTCAATCATCAAATTGAAGAAAAATGGGATTAATCCAAATTTTCCTAACCTTTAAGCTCCAGGTAAAAATTTGAAGTATGTTTATCATACCGAATATCACTCCACCCGTGAAGTTAGGGGCTAAACTTTAATGCTTTTATGTAAAAGGGTTTTAAAGGCATCTTTCAAGATTGCCATTTAACTATTTTGAGAGCAAAACATTCTTAGGGATGTGTTTATATTTCAGTTGGAGTCACAAAAGCTACCAGGAGGTTCTAAAGTTATTGTATCTCCATGATTTCCTTCAACGGAAAGAGATTCAAGTACTGTTGTGCTGAATTGTGGATGTGTCGGAAATTAACGAAGGAAGAACAAAGTTCAATCACATCAGCCCCTTGCAGCTTTCCCACAGAGAAATATTAATAACATCTTTGTTCAGTTTTCTTAAAAAACCCGACCACATACGAAGAATTAAAATTCACGAATCTCGTCAGCGAATTTGCGTCCTATTTAAATACGAAGAGAAAAGATTTTGCGGTTACACACCAAATGATTCTATTTGGTATTCAAGTTAAATTCACTGTTCACCGGTTATTATTCTCAGATACAGTCTCTTTACACAATACTTCATAGATAAAATAAAACTGTTTGAAATACTCAGACAAACAGAAAAAAAAAGGAAGCTCTAAACTTTCATTACAAGAGCCCCGACAGATCGATATGATTGAAAACCACTTAACGAAGTATATAGAAAAACTTTGCTTAATGGATAACTGAGGTATCTAGCTGATACATCCAATATATCAAATATTATTTTGTAAGTCTACGTTTTCGTATTCAGGAAGAGGATTACCCATGATATTGCGAACAGGTTTTTTTTTTCATGCAGAAACATATTACACAGTAATTCTCACTTAAATGCTTCTCGAGGCGCTTTTGGGAAATAAATGCAAATTAGCGCCAATCAAGCGCAAACGAAAACGACAACTGGAACTGCACGTTCGCAAAATTAGTAAATACCCTTGAGCAAAATAAGATGTGATTAATGATGTTGTAGTTTACATAATAGTCTTTCCCTTGACAACTCCTGAATAAAAACGAGTTCCTTCTCAAATTTTCAAAATGACACAGATATGGTCAAGTAAACCGTATGAAAACCGTAAACATTCCGGCAAGTAGTGAGTTTGACATGACCCGAAAAACCCAAGTACTTGAAATCGAGGTAAAAATTTTTTGAAACGAGTTTGGACAACTTACCTATTCACTGTAGATGTCTGTGCCTTGTCTCTCTTCTCCTCCACAGGCATTTTGAGTTTAGTAGAGTCCTGGGGTTTCTTTTGCCATGGTCACGAAACCAAAAACCTGTTGATGTTATAATCATACACAAAATATGATCGCTCTACGGAAGGCTTCCACTTGCTCGACAACATAAACATTCAAATTACTAGTCTTTATAAAGAACAACATTTCAAAATTTCTGCGATGATCATGCGTAGATTATCCACCGTTAGGAAACTGGGAAGTTCAGCAAACTTTCCTAATTAAATTTTTATCCGACTGGCTAAACAAACGGACCAAAGACACGTCGACACAGCTATCATAAGACTTACTCTATTACCTCTCGCGACCAAACTCTAACTAAGATCTTGTTTCGCCGAAAGATCGCAAGGAATTTGAAAAGCTCACTAGAATTTAAAGACTCACCGAATATACAGGTACGTGAGTTGAGTACAGCTATGATAAACTCGCCGTTCTACGGGTATTGTACAAAAACTTTCAACTCGATTCGTCGAAAGGAAATACGTCAAAATCGACAGGAAATGACCTCTAGGTCGATTTCTGTCTGTTGTTAACCAAATGCAAACGATTTCACCTCTAAGTATACACTGCAGTGACCCTTTAAAGACGATCGTGCGTTTAATCTATGTTATGAAAGTTCTAAAAGTGTAGCTTCCCTGTGTTTAATATTCTTGCCTAATTGTTGTGGTTTAACTGAGCTTGCCGACCGATCGACGGATCGATTCACATTTCTGCGTCATATCAAAATTTTAAGTTGCTATCAAACGTAAAACCAACACTATATCTGAGAAATTAATTCTTTGCATCAAAACAGGTCGTATAATCAAAAGGATTTAAACAACCTTCGGAAGAGAAAATTGATTTGTGAAGCAGAATGAAACCATGGTCATCCGCAAAACTTTCCACAAATGATCTCCAAATTAACCTGTAATGGTAAAGATAAAAATGCATCTTTAAACCAGCAAAACTAACCACAACTTTAGCGACCGCATCTACCGATTTCCTCCTAGGCCTGGCAGCGTAAAAATACGCCAGACAACAGGGATTTCAGTCGGCATTTTCCATCATCAAGCGACTTCAGGTTCGCTCCGTAAAATTTGCTCGTGAAATTAGCAAAGCAACGTCAATTTCTCAATAAAAATATTGTCACAACTTGACCAATCAAACAACGGTAAGGGACAATGGCGCGTAATCTCAACCAATCAGAATTACACCTTGGGAAGTTGATAATTAAACATAGCCACTTTCTTGAGCAGAAAAATAATTAAGCTATGAAGAGTGGAGGGTGCATATTGATGTTTCTCTAAAAATACGTACTACCGTACTTCAAAAAGATTACGTCAGTATTGATCTTGTCCGATTGACTAGTGTCGTGGGAAAAAGCGAAAAAAGAAATCAATATTTCATCAGCAAAGGGGGATTTTTCTGAAATTAAAAAAAATGAATTGTAAGAAATTGGTCGCATAACAAGGTTGAAATTAAGTTGAAGTTCAGTATGAAAACTTAGCACTACCTGTCCATCATCAACATCACCGAATCTCAAATACGTCTACAAAAATATCTAGCGAGAGAACAACTATCAAAATGGTACGACCAGAAATTCACAAGCATCTTTAACATCAAACTTTTTCAGAAATTCTTATTTCATCTTAACGTCCATTTTTAATATTATAAGCATCTGAGGCAGACGCTAGTCTCGATCGAAGTCGTTCTTTTTTAGTACGTCACGCAACTCTCCATGAGCGTTGTGTGACCTATGATGCAACTTTAATGCCACAATTATGGCTTGAATGATCGACTCGAATAGGTTCATGTTTAAAATATAGAAACTCAATATAAAACTCAGTCAACAAACATAAAGCAGAGCTCATCCTTGAATCTCCTTTCTTAGGGAAAGAGAAGGAACAGCTCACACTGCGGTACCCATGATATAGTTATCAGAGAAAAAAAAAAGTATTTCAGGATTAATTGTTAAAGGCATCAAAAGATTCCAAATAGTAACCTAACCCTTCGAAAACTGCCTTTAATGTGCCAAAAATTCGACAATGAAAGGCCCCATTTTGGAAAACATCTAAGTGTGACCCGTTCACACACGCGTGACGTAATGACGTACCACGAGAAGCTAATTAGCTCTCAGAATTCTCTCAGAATTCAACTCGAACAACGGGAAACAAAACAGTTAATAGACGAAAAAAACTTCCCTACTTCCATTAAATTGCGCGCTCTTGAATTGATACAGTTTTGCTGAAGCCCCTTTTGTGAGATGAAAGCTGTTAGCTCCTGTGAGGCAACAATCAAAATGGCGCCATGCAAAGTGAAAACAACTTTATTGCACGTTATCAAGACTGTCAGTTGCCATACATTTCGTTTGTAGTTTTGGAAAACTTAATTACCATCGCTCTTCATTCTCAGCACATAGGATGAGTCACGCGACGTGTTCGTAGTGTCCTAAGTTCAAAGTTAATTAACGGATCACGGGCATTGCAGTCATAGCACCCAAGCAATTGGAACGGAGAGAATTTTCTGCTGTTAATGTCTCACTATTAGTTAATTTTTGGAAAATAAAAATGGAATAGTAACTAATAAAACTGAATCAGATGTTGATAAAGTGTGTTCAATACATGTTTAAGTTCTTCAAAGATTTTAAAATAGTTTTAAAATTTCAAGTTTAGAATGATCGTTTTGTACTGTTTACGTCATCAAAAGGTGATCACATACCACTCATTTTATGGTTTCTGAATCCTAGAAAGCCATCCCATCGTCCCTTGTATACGTTTGGCTAAGTCGATATGGAAGAAATGGAATCACACGATTTATTCTCAAGGAAATCAATTTCTCCTTCTGAATTGCTGAAATGATTGTAAATATGTGTGCTGGTGGAATCGTCATCGTCATCGTCATCGTCACCGGTGCGTCGTGCCTCCGCTGACATGACATCCTGCTGATGTTCTTATAATCCGTCTTCATTTCTCGCCTTCGCGACTTCGCGGGTCTGTACTAGGGTCCCAGCCTCTTAAAGGTTCCATTCTCAAGTCTTGTGAAGTAGTATTGTGAGTTAGTTTGTCTCCAAAAATGTTCAATCTAGCTCCCTGTCTGGGATGGTTACTTCACTCCTTGGCTTCAGAAGGGGCAGTTTTACAAGTCTTCACTCGTGAGCTTTTTTGGTATATAGGTAGGTGTAATTTCCGTCTAGGCGCAAATTTTGCACAATTTGCATGTTCCCCACACTTTTGCTGTTACTTCAATAAAAGGAACTGAAAGACGCAAAAAATGGAACAAGAAAAAGAACAGGAAGAAGAAGAGGTAAAAAAAAGAATAAGAAAAAAAAAAAAAACCTACATGATACTTTTTGAATAGATTTAAAAGCAGCTCAAACACGGGGGGATACCAAATATAATCTAAATCAACAAGACCTCTATCTACGAGGCATTACCTAAAGATTTCAGTATTTACAGAGCACTTGATGAGGATGCGACTTACCGCATATGGCTCATCTATTTCTCGGGTAGAAAAGTTGCTTCAGAGACTGGATCGGGAGATAACATTGCAGACCTAAGTGTGATTTACATGTGCTGAATCAAATAATTTTGTGGCAAACGGTTTCTTCTTATCTCTAGAACAGAGACTTTGTCTCTCTGTCAACATCAATTTTCCAATTTCCGTCTAAAAATGTTTATTATTTCTGATGTTAATTTGCTTGTAAATTCCATAACAAAAAAGGAAATGACGTCACCAGCGTAAACAAAAAGGTTGTGTACAAATGTTACACTTTGAACTGATAAGCCGTAAAACATTTGTCACAGGTCTAAACAAGCGTGTTCAATGCGTTCCAAAGCTGAGGTGTTACAAGTTTCTTTTGAGGTAACTGATATAAAGTGGTTGAACCAAAAGCTACGTAAGTAACATCTCACATCCTCATCTCCTATCTTGTCTTGAAGTTGTGTCTTTACATTCTTTACTCAGTAGCTTGTGGCATGTGTGATTGGAGACAATTTAAGAGCTGGCGGGCGAAAAAAGGCAGAATTTTGGGTGGTGAAATGCCTTTGCTTGATGCTTGAGCTAGGCTTCTCTCGATAATGGCCTAGTGTTTTACGCCCGTTATTTTTCACGCCTCCCCTGCCCGAGAGCTACGATCTAGCTTACGACTTTGTTACATGAATGTACGCCTGTTATCAACGTCCAGGATAGATATTGAATTGGATCTCTTTACCTTTGGAGCTTACGCATTAGGTAAAGATACAAATCTGACAAAATTATCGATTACGTAAAGAGGGCTCGAACTGCTAGTGAGGTTTAATATCGAGGTTCTTTTTGTTGGAGCGATTCGATTCAGAGTTTCCCTTTCTCAAATGGCGCGATAACACGCAAGGTCGCGTGAACATTGTTAGTATGCATAGAAGTGTTTTGGTTTCAAATGAATTTTGACCTCGCTTGCTTTTTCGTGAGATATCGCTTTCTCTGAGTAAATAGATGATAAACACCTTGATTACTTTGACAAATCAGAACGTTTACTCAGTCCAGTTAAGTGTTCATGTCTTGTCTACTTTTTGAGCAAATACCTCGGAATCATTGTATTTAAGGAAAAAATGTGGTTTTAATTAGGGAAATTTAATTTCTATTGTTAGTAGTTTATAGGAAATAGATATCCCGATGTTTTGAAATAATTCTCTTAGCCTTTATACTCGGTAAACCTCAACGAAAAACTGAAAAGTAGAGTTGTAAACTGAAGCAATTTTGCTGATGTACGCCTGTGTTGTGTTCAAATTCTACGATGTCTAGAATTTATGCAAACGTGCACAACACTGTTTAAGGGTTTTGATTAAAAATAGCAAGCAGTACCAATAATAGGTATGATAATTGAAAATAACCAAATTAGATGAATCGGATTTGCCATAGGCGTAGAACAAGCAAACATAATTTTTTTTCCTGGTTTGAACTTGATTAAAATTTACCGGAAAAATGTTCTGTGCATGTTGATGATAAACATGAACATGCAATGTGAGGTTCAGGAAAATAGCTAAGCTTGAACAGGAACCGTAAAATTATTTTGCGAGTTAGGAACTGAGAATTAAAATTAAAATGAACAATGAGATAATTCCCTGAAATAATTTAAAATGATTGATTAAATAATCCTCTGAACGAGTGAACTAAATAAGTATTAACTTTTGCTTGCGTGGAAAATTTGAAGGCTACAACGTGGATGTGATGAGAAGGCGGGAGGCTACCGAATAAAGTACAAATTTAATCAGGAAATTCGTGTTTGATGAGTAGTTGGAGAAATGGATGATCAATCACGATAAAAAATATTGTGTTTCTTTCTTCATGAAACGAGCTTAAACAACTTAGATATGGAAGATGTTTGTCATTTACGGTGTAGATACGGCGCAAACCCTCTTTCCAGAGAATAAGTCAATATTCAAAAGGGTGCCAAGTTTTTGACATTTCCGTTTCAAACCGCAGACACTAGTGGATTGATTCTATTGTATTAACTTAGACTGTTAGGGTGTCCTCCTGATTTCTCGATGTCTTGAAATTCCTTCAAACAATGGAATGCATCAGTAAAAGAAATAGAAGCAGTGCCTCTTTGTCCCTCCGTATCCGTTCAATAGATTTTTAAAGGATGGTGTATGTCTACCGTTGGAGTATAATACGCACCAGCACGCCTATCCTGGCTATGTGAAATGATTTTACAAAATAGTAGAGGGTAGATCGTAAGTCAGTTACTTGCTGCACATCAGAAAAATTTGATTGGGGTTGCCAAACGGTAACCGTGACAAATACGCGCGGAGCCGCGCGAACGACTTGTCTAGCGTGTCTATTTCCTCGCGCTTTACGATCACTTCAAGAAACGGTGTTAATACTTGCAAATTTCTAAGCTAACAGAGATGTGAGATATACGAAGATGAACTTATTCTAGAGAGCGGCTGGAGTTTCTATGTTACTTTTAAAATGAAATTAATTACGATTTGGAGTCCCTTGTTTTTGTCACAAAGAATTCGTTTTCAACGAAAAGGTTCACCACATTCTTCTGTCATTAGCTGTAATTACAAAAAAAATATGCCTTTCTCATCGATGAAATTTAACCCAACGGAATTATAATGAATTCTGAGTTACCTACATCAAATATTATCATAATTATAAAGTTTGCGTGTCTTTTCGTTTGTTTGATCAATGTAACATTCATCTTGTATCCTTTACTTATTTTTTGTCATTTTTCCCTTTTTTTTGTTTTGGCTTTTTTTTTCTTTTTTTTTTTTTTTTTTTCTTGGGGCGGGAGGGGGCGGTTGTTGTATCTATCATGACTGTTACAGACTGGCGGTATTGCCTCTGATACGCCTCGTGGGTTGAGGTCGGTGAAGCTGAGATTACCATGACTGAGCCTGAAAACAGTTAGTTAGACTGAAAACAGAAGAGTTTTTGCACAGTTAGACAACGAGAAATCTCTCTCCTTTTCGGTGAAATCTGTCTTGCGAGTAAAGAAAAACATCAGTTCAATAAAAATTGACGCTAGTACGCCGTCCTAGTATTCTTGGTATTGCTCATGGCTTATGGCACATTGCTTGAACTTTCGTTAAATATGATCCTTTCATGATTAAGTGCTTGCTATGTACGCTAATTTAAGAAATCCAAGCTCTGATTATGCCTTTAGGCCCCAACTCGTAGTTAGTAAGTGCGCTATAATTGTTCAATTTACGGGCCGTAATTTATTGTACGGCCCGCTTAATTCAAAATTTTGTTCGAATTGAAATCTCCCCTCTCTATTTGAACCGTAGAGATATAATAAAGATCTCATTAACCTCGAGCTCGTTTTCTTAGCCGGTCCGCTCTGTAGTTACGAAACCTCGGTTTCTCCGCTCGAATTTACAACTCGCGTGCTACGCGCTTGAGAGATAAATCTGAGCTGAAACAACTCGACCGTAACTTGCAGTCCAGACCACAAAAAACAAAGTTAGTGCGAGGTATGTAATGTTCGCTTGATGTATATCGTGTTACGTGGTTTAACCAGACGCCAAAACGTCTATCACCAAGCTCTTCAAGCTGGTTGCTCTAAGCGTCTAGCTTATACGCTTGCTTGATTTGCGTGGAACTACGCCAGTTCGTGTCTTTACATTACAGTTGAATAGCAGTTCGTGAAAGGTGAATTACGTTGTGAGACAGCTTTCATAAATTGTATCCTATCTATTTATTAATAATCGTATCTGTTTACCGCAGGTTGAGTACGGAGGAGAACTGAGTGTCGATCATATCTAGCGGTAGGTACAGTAGCTGTGGTTTAGCCTATTAAAGCGCTGATGACCTACATCCTCGAAAATCTTTTCATTGCGGACGCTTTTCAGAACAAACGGAAACGGAGAGAGTGGTTGACGAATATAACAGATGTTCTGTCGGTTGTTGGCAATACTTGGTGATTACATTGGAATGTGTACTCAAAGTTGGTAAGGGTGGCAAATGTAAGTTTGCACCCTTAAATGATACCTACAAGTTGAATTGGTTTCTCTGGGATAAATGTATTGTAGAATGAAGTAGTTATACACTTATTTGAATAAGAGACAGAGAAACTTAATCAAAAAGATATTCTCTCGGCCGGTCATCCTTGACTGAGTAAACAAAAGCGAGTAAACCGCCGTAAAATGGCCATAGAGAGCAGGAGGGGATGTCGTTAAGGAGATGTTCCTCTGAAAATAACATGATTTTCGATTCTGTCTCTTTCGTCTTTGAAAAAGAGAGCACAACTTTGCCATTTAGTGTTTTATCAATCTAATCGCCGCCAAGAGGTATCTAATAATAAAGGTCACAGTATGCCCTCCTCTAAATAGTTAGCTTAACTTTAAAACCTTCGCCATAAACCATTTCGTAACAATGACTCACCCTCTTTTACTTTCTCCTTCCCCCCCCCACCACCTTTCTTCCCGTAACTATAAACAAACTGTTACTTCTGACGTAAGCAGAATTCCGTGCAAACAGTTGTCTAGGCTTTACCAACTCATTCTATCATATAATCAGCTTTGGCCTTAAGCCTGGTAGGAAAAATCGATTTAGCTTTTGAAATAAAACCTTTTCATAGCCTTGTTCGATGCGAAAATGCCGACTTTCGTCCAAATTTTTTGTTACCATTCCAACAAAAGAAACCCAACCAAGATCAATATTTTGGCGGACGCAAAGGGAATACATCTCGTGATTCTGACATGGACATGCTGTGATATGACCTTGAAGCCCGTTATCAACTATGGTCGCTGCGAAAATGTTTAATCGCTAATTTTTCAGAAATCGAGGGATGGTTCTTCTCAGAGCATTTTATTTCCTTAGTTTGTAACATTTTGCAGCGTTCGGTAAACTCGTTTGCAAGACTTCTAACCTCTTTCCCTCCACCCATTCACGAAGTATTGGCGGAGTAAACAAGTAAATTGGTTCAACCTCGTTTTGTGATCGTTGATAAGAGCTTTCACCTCTCCATAGGGTCAAAAAAAAAAATCGAGCACCAACTACTGGCAAACGGTTGACAATTCATTTCATACTTTGATAACTAACCCCCGAAACATCTTTCCAAAGGGGGCTGCTTTGTTTTCTTATCGATAAATTATTGTAGACTTTCAAAATATTCGTTGTTGTTTGTTGAGACGTGAAAATATTTCTTTGACGAAACCTGACCTGTTGGCGTCAAAATTGTATCAGATCATGTCGTGAAGGTCAACCCAGTCGAAAATTTTGTGATGAATGTAATTGAAACTTTAACGACGGGTCTATCCAAAATATTTAGGCTCCATTAGTTGGAAGGACAAACGTATAAAAGTTGAGATAATTGATAAACTGTTAGTTCCAATTCAACTTGTTTATGAGGCAGAAAGTGTTGAAATGTTGGTTTCTATGGCGGGCAGTGTCTAAATAAATACCATGGTCGAAAGTAAGATGTTTTTGTATCTAATCTAGTATTCGTTTAGTCTTTTCTTGTCGAAATGACTGCCAGCATCAATTTTAAAGGGAAAACACGAAAGGAATTTGTGGTGGAAATATATGTGAGATGTTTATCATCTACAGATACGAAAACAAATGGTTTCGAGCTGATTTTAGTTGTTAAAAATCGGTGAGGAATTTTATGGTAAACTTAACCGACAAAAACAATCAAATAGTCCAAATAGTTTCCTATCGAGTTGCCTTTCATGTATCTGTCGAGCTCTTCAATGTCGCTGGTTCTCCTCACTTGCGCAAAGACGGCTGGCCATCGAGGAGGCCTACCAATAGCTCAATGGCTGAATTCTAAATGTGACTTCAGAGTACAAAGGTTTGAAAAAAACGGTCGAAGGCTTTTCGCAGCGGTTCAAAATGACTTCGTCATTTTTAAACAACAATTTCTTGATGGATTGCTTTTACCAACCACACTTTTAAAATTGTTTTCCTTAAAAATAGTACAAAAATTTCCATTTATGAAAACATTGTTTATCACATTGTGCCCATTCTTTTGCAGATTATTTTATGATTATTTTATGCTGAGACATGTTGAAGGGAGCGAGAGTAGTGTTCTCGCAGCTTTTACTGTGTGGCTTTCTATGCGAAGGTGAGCATAACACAAAAATTCATTTTTTGAATACAGCTGTATTAAGAAAGATTTTTTTCCGCAGAAGACAATATCAGTTAAGCGTCGATTCTCTATCGTCAAACGGTGAAAAACGTTACCATTAACCGTCCAATATGAAAAATCCAATTTTTGCTGATGATTTGATTATACTTACTTAATAATAACGATGCAAGTGATGATCAATGACAATAATGAAACGATGACTTCAAGAGAAAAAAACACTAATCCATGTAGCCGTAGCAAGATTGATTTTAGTGAGGATTTCGAAAGAGAATTATCGTACTAAATGATTTTCCATTTTGTTCAATTTTCTATGCGCAATCTGCATATTCGCATTGGACAAGTTTTGAAGTATCGAATACTAACTTTTTTGGCTGATATTTTTCTTTGTCTAATAAAGTTACAACTTGTTATATTACAGTTCACACGTTGTTTAACAGAGTCCTCTCAGTGATAAAGAAAGATGCTCGTTTATTGTTGCTTTTTCTTTTTTTCTCTTTTTGCTTTTTAAGTTTAGGTGCGGGGGACACATTTCACATTTTGGTGTCCTTGTTTAGTTGTGGCTTATCTTTCTCTCTAGGTTCTAAAGATCCTGACTGCAGACAGTACAAAACATGTACAGAATGCATCTTGGGTAGTCCAGAGTGCAGTTGGTGTGAAGACCGCGTAAGCTCGATAGTTTTATTCCGTGGAAAGTCTTTATAAAATGTAATCCGTTTTCATTCTTAGCAAGTTTGGCAATATTCTCCTTCTTGGTACGGCACAACTTTTAATACAGCTGTTTTTTTTCTTAACCAAACCTGTTATCTTTGTTGGAGTCTATTTTCTATCAGACCCTTTGGGTCAACATTAGATTTAAATGCATGCAAGGCATGTTCAATGTTTTGCCAGTTAGCTTGCCTTGAAATAACACCAAGTACTGCGGGCTCATAGGTAGTTCAAAATGACTGATTATGAGAGTAATTGGGATTTTTTTTCAAATGCCACACAGAGCCCTACTACTTCGAACATCCCTACCTGGAGATAAAAGAGGAGAAAATTGCCTTAATCTAAGACTTTATCCATAATTAACAATTCTTCACCCGTGGAGACCAATAGTACTTGCTATTCACCTCTGAAATAGCCAATCAGCGCGCGCTAAAAGCCCTCTTGACTTTTGTGGTATACACTAATGGTGGATATTCCACTTGTTTTTAGAAAATGATTTTCAAAAATTTCCTGAAGCAATGTTTCTTGTTCTGGTTGCTCTTATGTTTTTTTCTGCTTTTCTTTCCTTTCAATATAAATATAGGATTATCACTATTTAGATCAACCGAGAAGGAGATGCGACCTTCATAGCAACCATCAACAGAATAAATGCCGAAAGATCTCTAATCCAGGATCAGGATCTACAGTTCATTCGGTAAGCTAGGTACAGGGATGAATATGTATCTATAGATAAAGGTTCGACTCGTCGAACCTTTGTCAGTAGGTCACTACATTTATGAATCATCTTTCTCTTTTGGAACAAGGCACTCATAAATATGTGGGATGCGGCAGGTTTTCTGTTTTCCATGTGAGACAAATATTCTGCAACACTACCTTTTAGCGTCATTATACAACCTCTAGTTCTTTTCAACGCTGTAAAAATTGTGCTGCATCAGTAGCTACATGCAGTCTTTGTTTATTTCCAAACAAGTTGCATTAAAAAATTAAAAATTAGATTGACTTGTATCAGTCAATTAGGGAATGTAATCGACACACCTCTTACGTCACTCTAGCTAGTGTTCAGCCTTCTCTTTTTAGCTACATACACTTAAGAGCTATTATCAATGTTTGTTTTCAGAACAACGAGCCAGACGGTGACCGTGATGTCAAAGTTTCTCCTCAGAATGTAACACTACGTCTTAGACCAGGTACAATACCTCATACTGTAGATAAAGTTGTTACACTAGGGGGTCAATTGATTTTTTGGTTCGTTGCTGAAATATTTTTGTATTACGGACAAAAACAGATTCCACATCATGATACATTGTTGAATCCAACATTGTTCGAAAATGTTTGGAACGTAGTGGCTCAACACATGCAACATTTCAGGTACACTAGGCGGACTCGAGGGTCGTCACCCTTGATGCAGATACTTAGAGAACACTCTCAACGATGTTGAATTTGAAAGATAAACGTTAAGAACATTATTGTGTACGCCGGAAGGTTGAGGAAATGTTGGGTAATGTTGAGTACGATTTTTGACGGCAGCCAAACTTTTTCCAACTTCGTTTTGGACGAAGTTGCACCAATATGCAATTTGCGGCGGCCGCCGTCTCTATGGATGTCAGGAGTGACAGCCGCCTGAAATGTCTTTGAATTCTGTGGCGGAATCGTCTCCTATTTTATTCCAAAACAGTAAGAGCTACGAGAAATTTGATATCTTCACAGTCACGGTAATCTCGTGTAGTTGACAATTTGAAATTGTACTTTCACATGGCAGGAATTTCCACGGCTATCACAATAAATGTCCACACCCCAAGGAACTTCCCAGTTGATTTGTATTACTTGACGGACGTATCGAGGTCTATCAAAAAGGAATCAATAAAATCACTTGGACACCTGTTAGGTAAACAACACTCGGCAAATGTTTGTCTGTTCGTATCATGCATAGCTCTCTTACTCTGGACATTGTTCATTTGCACTTCCCTGCACTTCAGTAAGTTTGTTCGTTCTCACTGGCTTCTAGTGATATTGTGGTGACACGTCCTTAGCAAGCCATCCTTTACTCTCTTGTTGAAGAAATTTCATCTCCTCTCAAAAATGAATTTAAATGGATGGGTACTGGCATTTTGTCTTTACAGCGGATGAGATTTCAAATCTAACTTCAAGGTTTCGTCTTGGACTTGGTGCATTTGTTGACAAGCCCACAGCTCCATATATGGACACAGATCCCGTGATGTAAGTATCTAAAGGTCAAGTTGTTTAGTGACTCTCTGTACGTAAAGGGTGGAGGAGGGTTAGAGGGGTTTAAATAACAAACAACATGGTCAACGTTTGGTCAATTTGTCTCAACCATGATATTTTAAGTAGAAGTGCAGCAACACTTATCAGAGCTCTTTAAAATTGATATTCCTGCTGACTCTTTGGGCCTGAATTTGAAATGATGTGTGCTGTAGCTCTCACTAAGGGTAAAACACAAGGAGGTCGGATAAAATAAATAACAAAAGCATAGTAACCTGAGGAACTGAACGAGCGGAGTCAACTTTAACAATCAACGGATGCAAGAAACTACATTTCCATCTCTGTATGTGTCCTTTCATCCGATTATCTGTTTGTATGTTTTTCTGTTAGCTTTCTATCTGTCTATTATGATCTTGTGATGATATTGACAAGCGTTCTTGTGTCCTTTTTGTCTTCTTCTCCTTAAAGGGTTGCTGCGCCTGACCCAAATAATGGGAATTCCACTCCAACGTTTGGTTATCATAATGTGTTGCCGCTGAACAAGAATACATCTTACTTTCAGGTATGTCTTAGAACAAGGAAAATCTACTCAAACTTTCTTTCACTTGTCTGGCATCTTGGGCCTGACGCTATCTCGCAAAGTCATTATGCATGCTGATAAAACAATTATTTATCAGGTACATTGAACAGTATACATGCACATATTTACAGGACGCTATTGAAAAACTGATGGCTTCCGGAAATGTTGACAATCCCGAGGGAGGTTTGGAGGCTCTCGTTCAAGTGGCTGCTTGTGAAAAGGTTGGTCAGTAGATGATACACTCAACTTGGCACTTTAACCTTGAACTGCCAGGTCATATCAGTTTTAATGAAGGAGGTAAGTTTCTAGAGAAACTGTGGTACTTCCTTGATGGAGAGTATAACAGGGTAATTTAGTATTATCAACTGAGTTGATAACGTAAATTGGCCATTGTAAAGAGTAACTTTAAAATTTGCCTATAATTTAAGTAAAAAAAGATTTCTACACTTTTAGGAGATCGGTTGGCAAAGTAAAGAGGATGCACGAAGGGTAGTGGTGCTGACGACTGATGCAGCTTATCACTCTGCTGGAGACGGTCTGGTAAGAGTTAATGTACTCCATATTATTCGACGTTGGCGTTACGCTACATTAAGGTACCTCACGTCATATTGTATCACTAAACTTCGTATCACGTCATCTTTTTACAGCTTGGCGGAGTCGTTATTCCTAACGATGGTCTTTGCCATTTGGACGGCGAGGAATACAGTGCTTCATTGCTCATGGTAGGTCGTGAAAGTTGGTAGGAAAGTAAGGGCCTCGTTTCACATGCGAATTTTTAGAAAAATTCACGTGTCACATGCACTTTAAACAGTATTTTGCGATTCATGAATTTAAAAGGAAAAATGTCAAATCTCGCCATACCTTGCCTTCTGTAAAAATTCACGAGTCACATTTCAATTGTGGCCTTAATCACGAGTCACGTACAAACTCTTCATGATACATGCTGCCTACTGGCGAGCTTTTCAAAGTAAGTTCTCCGCTTTTATTGCAGGATTATCCATCTCCAGGACTGGTACGTGATGTTTTACTTGAGTCGCAAGTAGTTCCAATTTTCGCTGTCGCATCCAAGGAAAAACAAGTGTATGAAGTACGTATCAAAGAGGTTGACTGAATTCTTAAAAACATGCTTATAATTTCAAATTAAGTGTAAATTATGGGCTGTAAGTATTGCAAGGCCGAGAAAAAACGCACTTGTCGCAATTTGACTTTCGTACTGAGCGGCTAATGCGATGTCTTAGTTACATTTATATTTGTCTACTGCACATGAGGGAATTCTTTATTCTACACCTATTTATATACAGAAGTAAGACGCACTCTCTCGTCTCACACTGAATTAAATACATAAAATAAACTTCCTTGTGTTCATAAACCAGAACATGAACAAAAGTCTTAAAACCTTTTTACTCCCAGAGGTGATTATAATGTGACCTCTCCCTGTGATGCCCATACATTATCCAACAAACTACCGTTGAGAATACTCACACTTATCAGGTAGAAGTCCTTATCTTAATCTAACATCAAACTATCCTAACTAATTTTCAAGGAAATGTCTAACTGAAGTTGAAGCGATAGTTAAATATCAGGTCTTGGGAGTCAAAGAGTGAAGAGAAGTGTAGAACATGTATCAAAAGTTTTTTTTTCTATGCAGTGAGAACCTGGCAACTGAACTCTATCCCACCTTTCCCTTCTCCCAGTTTGACCCAGTCGCCCAAAGAAGTTCTTGGAAGCAAAGTAGATCCTCAAATACAAGATAACGTCACTCGGACTCCTTCCGAATGATTGAATAATCGCCTCTTGTATCCCAGTTATGTGCTGGCCACAGGGTGTTTTAGTGGATTTAATGCAACTTCTGCCAATTTTTTGTTCCTTTTTTTAGCAACTAGCAAACTTTTTAGGTAACGAAACCTACGCCGAGACAGGGGAGCTTTTAGAGGACTCGTCAAACATTGTGCGTGTGATTGGCGAAGCGTATAAGGTCAGTAGTTATAACCAAAGCTGTTGAAACGCGATAAGCAACTGAAAGACCTTTGAAGTAAATTGTTTGGACAGCTTTTCAATTGCAAAATTTAGCAGTAAAAAATTAAAAAATTAAAATTATTATTGAGGAAAGACTTTTGAGTTGAATGTTGATCAGTTTTGCAAATCTTCTCGGCATCTTATTTCTAGTTGTAGGTGCAAATATAGACCCTTTTTTTAAAAGAGTTACTCATCTGTTATTTCACTCTCATATTTCCAGAAAATCGCCCGCACAGTGACGATACGAGATACTAATTCTGCCAGGCTCACCCTTCGGTACACTGCAGTCTGTCCGTAAGTACCACTTCATTTCAAAGTGGAAAATATTTTGACAGGAAATAATGACTCATCACGACATCACTTGACTGAAAGTAACTCGCGCGGCTTCCACCATAGTCTCAAAATATAAAATCGACCAAAATCAAGCTTCTGGTTTCTTTCAACTGACTTTATTCTCAATAAAGCTGACCCCACTTCCTTAATATATTTCATGCGTCTTTTTATCTTTTCTTAGCAAGGGTGAAATTTACGAAGACACGAGAACTTGCACAGGCGTAGAATTAGGAGATACGGTAAATGGACCATTTTTTAGTCTCACTTTCACTCTTTCACCTGCATCCTTCAATTATCTAAAGATGTACTGGTCAAACTTGATTCTTTTCTAAGTCATTTAGTGATAGAGTAAGTTAGTTGGTCGGTGAAATAATACTATACATGAAAAAATTACGCGCGTCTGATTGGGTGAAAACGAGTGCATTTTTCGTTAAACAGTGAAAAGTTGTCACAGTTCAAATTACAAATAGCGCGCGCACTGCCAAAATTTCGTCCGTTTGACTTTCTGTGTTGCGTTTTTTATAAACATTATTAACAAGTAACTACATGATTTCTCGTGCAATTTGGTGCAATTGAGCATTGATAAATTTTACAAAGAATACAAATTGAAATCGCCCCACGGGCTCGTACAATTTTGTTGTCTTTGAAAAATTTACTCTTGCTTATTAATAACAAACTGCACTCGAAATCATGTTATCATCCATACCAATAGGTGGCTCAGTGAGGCAATGAGTTACATCAGTGTCAGTCAGTCAGTCAGTCAGTTAGTCAGTCGGATAGATAGGTAGACAGATTACAAATGCGTATCATCATATTACGGTTCATTTATAATCCAATTAACGGAAATTTTCAAATTAAACAACTCGTTAAACAACTTTTAAACGGAAAACAAAAAGTGAAATATAATTATCATCTTTTACAGGTATCTTTCAAGATATCAGTCTCGATGGCCAACTGCACGGACGATTTGCCTTCAAAGTAAGCGTCTTTGCCTCGTTCATTCACAAATTTTTTTTTTTTATTTTAACATTTATTTGTTTATCTATAATTTTTTTCCAACAAAAAACTCTCTATATATATTTAAATCGGCCAAGTTTTCTCTTTGCAGCTTTTCCATCAAAACTCCTTACGGACAAGTTTTTTTGAAGCTATCTTATGTGTGCAGTTGTGACTGTGAAGCAGAAGAAATTCTGGTAAGACTTTATCAATTTTAATCTACCTGAGTCGTGTGATTTTAGAGACTGGTCATTATTTATCTCCTGTTATCCATGTGAAATCCCACTAAAGAAGTTCCGGTCATCCCCACCCACCCGACAATAAATATTGATTGGCCTTTAATTCATTTTCCAAGCTTTGACGCCATCTTTCTGTCATCTCATAAACTGGTCGTCAGCATTGACTGCTAGATAAAAGTCAAGTTTTAGTCCAATTAGAAATAGTCTAGCACTTAATCCACTCATTGTGCAAAGAATAGAATTTCAGCGTCTATCGCAATAGGAGGTATTGTCTTTCAGACACCAGGTTTTTCGTTTTAGACATGTAAATCAGAGTTCTTTATTTTTTCGCCTCTATAGAGAGTTAGTAAACGTAAGAGAGGATCTTTTCTTAAGGTTGAACCCCCCATTTTAAAGCCATTATTTGAATGAGGCCTTTATAGGCCTTTATATAAGGGTGACGTCTCCCTCTTTGATGCTCTTTTCTCCTCAGCTCCATAGTGGCATAGCGTCGATAAAAATCGTCAATTTTCAGATCCGCGCATTGCAAGTAGGTGGTAGAGATTTGCTTTAATCGCCATTTAACACGCTACGAAAACTTTTTCTCAGGAACCCAATAGCACAATTTGCAGTCACAGGGGATCGTTAAAGTGTGGAATGTGTTCTTGTGAAGATGGATGGTGAGTTTAACACATTTGGCAGAGTTTGTGCCATATCTTTGGCAGTGCCGTCTTTGTGATACCAAGTTCTAAGATTACAACTTTGATATAACAACCACTAGCATAGCATTACCCTGAAATGTACCCACCCTTCCTGAAACCGTAACTCTAAGTGTTCATCGAATGAAGCCATGAGTCGTTTTTCATTTTGTGAGGTGAAGGTTATCTTAACGTCTTATATCCAGGAATCACCTAGATCAAGAATTTTGAATGTACGGTGGTACACAATATCATCTCGATCTAATTTTCGTAATTCCTAATCTATACTATTGTTCCTAGGGCAGGTGAATATTGTTCGTGCACAGAGGAGGAAGAGCGAAAAAATTGTCAAAGGTAGCGATTTTTTGTTTGGCTGGGTAACTCTAGAATGATATCTTTGATGATAGATGTTGTCACAGTAATGTCATCCAAGTACAGATTGATTTATTTGTTCCTTTTTCTTCTTTTTTCTGCGCCGTGCATATTTCTCGTATTTCGGTAGATAGGTCTTTAATTCTTAGGAGCTCCTTTAAACGAAGGGCATTGTTACTTTTCTACAGGAGATTTTTATGAGTGTAGCTGCTAACATTACTGAATCCTAGAGTAAAGCCGTTAAGATCTTATGATTTGTCAAGGTTTGGCGCACAGAGATTTGATAAATGACTCTTTAGCTATATTCAGACGCTAAAATGTAGGACTTTACATGTGCTAACTCTTCTTTAATCCATTTTACCATTGATAGCAATAATGGCGACGTGTGCAGTGGTCAAGGATCATGCAGTTGTGGCAAATGTTACTGTGAGGACACCAAGGTGATCTTTTCTGGTATTTGCATGGTGACAGTAAGGTTTCAAAATGAGTCTAGCTCAAAGCTATAACGAGTTTTGGCAGGGATAAAATTGTGGGCACGTGAAACGGTGTGTTATATTTTGCAGCGCGTTTGTGGTAGTGACGAACCCGTATTCGAAGCAAAAAAAATTACTTTTCCACCAAGAGCTGGAAAGGTTTTCCTTTTACTCGACCGTGAGCAAATTTTTCTGGCCAGATAAACGATATAACGTTTTGGGATAAATGCATCGTCGTCATATAACTTGCAAACGACTCAGGTACCATACTTTGATCTATACTTGTATAGGAATATTTAATCTAACTATAAGTATTAGGCAATATACCATAATTTTCCTATTCTCGAGCTCTAAGGGTTTGGATATCCACGTTTACTGATTGATATGTAGAACGCAGCTTAAAAGATTGCAACATGTTTGTAAAACAAACAACGCGCGAAAAAGAAAGAGCAAGGAAAAGTCAGACGGCATTTCCACTTTGAGAATTTTGTCATCTGACTTCAAAAGCCATACTCAGTTGGAGTCCCACAATTTCCATATCATGTCTTACCTTACATCCCCGTTCAAGCAGAATAATCAGTGACTAAATTAGTTTCTCCCCTTGATATTCAGGATCCCAAAGGATTAATCTATGGTGAAACCTGCGAGTGCAACAATTTGAATTGTCCAAAGGATCCTGAAAATGAGGAGATATGTGGGGGATCGGGTGGGTGACGCCCGAGTTGTTGTGAAGCTATAATTTTTTTATTTTTTTAAATTGTTGATGGAATAGTTGCACAAACCACCCATAATCTATACATTTATTATGTCTGAATTTTGAAAAGTAAAAACTTCATTCAAAATATAGACATATTACCAAACAGACAAATTAAAAAGAGTGAGATAAATTTATCATCGTAACCAGTAGTCAGTAAATTATTAAGACATTCCAAATGGAATGAAGCGAGCCATTATATTTTCCAAGCCTTGAATTTACGGCTGTTCCGAAACAAGTCAGCATCCAAGACTGAGATTAAGAAAAGCAATCTATTAATACTTACGTTATATCTTTGCGAGCAGTGCGACCTGAAATTGACACCCTCCACAGAGGAGAATTAGGTCGCTGTGTACGAAAGTCCAGTCACCTATTTGGCTCCCTTCGTTTAGGCACGAAATTCAGTCACAGAGAATCGATGCGTCCTCTTTAATTCATTAACTTATTTATACTTAGCTCTGCTACCACAGCATTGAGAACTTTATGCCAAGGTAGACTCACATTCATTTATATATATTTATGTTTTTACGGAAATCGCCATATAATTCCACGTTATAATAATTACTAAATACTCCAAAAGGTAAGAGAATTTAAGGATTTATCCTTTTACCTCTATATTTGAATTCAGCGCCCTACTCCGGTCCCTAAACTTATCCTTTGTCTTTATATTTGATCGAAGCTGAGACTGGGAAATAAATCAAGGATTTGCTAAAATTATAGTATTTGTCGATATATTATGATATTTGCCAACAGAGCGAGGAGATTGTGATTGCGGCCAATGTAAGTGTAAAGAAAACTGGAGTGGACCTTCTTGTAGCTGCAGCAAGGACTTGGACGGTTGTACCAAGAATGGGGTAAGGCTAGCAGGCTAGCAGGTGATAATCAAATAACTCTCGAAAGCATATGTGACGTCCTATCCTTTTGCTTTTGCGTTCATCGTGATTAATAAAAAAAGTGTTCGTCTCTTTACAAAGTAACCAGGAGTATTAACGCCACTCTTCTCGGATGGAAGTGTATGTAACTAGTTTCTCGCCGGTCGACCCTTGAGCAGTTTCCGTACCCATCAGCACATTTTCCATTTATACGCCTCCTCGAAGAGAAGCTCTGCCCAAGGAAAGAGGCGATGACCTTAGTCGGGGCTTCAACCCTAGCGATCCTCTCGGGGGCCGGGCAACTTGTGAGCGTATCTTTCTCCAATTTGTTGCCTATAAAAACGCATACGTATTTCCTCAGGTCCTTTGTGGCGGTCGAGGGACCTGCAAATGTGGAACCTGCGTATGTAATGCTTCTTTGCCCTACAGGGGACCTTTCTGTGATGAGTGTCTTGTGAGTATATCGCCGGTTGTAAGTAGTGTGTTGCAAGTTTAGTTAAGGGCCCCGACGGGAGTGACTAGCTGAAATTTTTAATCGATAAAATTGTTGCAATGTTTTCTAAATGCTATGCCTTGAAACCACAAACAGGCAATATCCTTTTTCCGAATTTGTTCCACCATGATCATTTTACACTCCCGGTGAGAACATTTGGCTTAGATTAGCAAAGCTGGACATTCCTCTTCCCCCAAGGCGACACCTTTGATCATCGTCAGTAAGTGAAGTAATTCACAGCCGAGAGATTTTAACATACAGAGCGGATTGAAAAGTTGAAGGAAAAGAATACAATCGACCCAAAGTGGTGGGGAAAGCAAAGAAAGAAATTCAAATGTCTGGAATGCTAAACTGCGTTAAATACCCATTAATTTCTCTAACTCTAACGCTTCATTTGCGTTTTTTGGCTATGGTTTATGTGTTTAAATTTCAGATGAATAAAGAGGGTAAGTTTTTAGAGAAGCTGTAGTGCTGCGTTGGTGGGAGAGCATTAAAGGGTAATTAGGTGTTATAAAATGAGTTGATAACGTAAATTGGCCACCGTAAAGAGATTCAAAGCTGAAGTTTCGAGCGTTAGCCCCTCGTCAGAGCTAGACGAAGAGACGAAGGCTAACGCTCGAAACGCTAGCTTTGGAACATTTTACGGTGGCCAATTTACGTTATTTACTCAGTTGATAATACTAAATTACCCTTTAAATTTCAGAGTTGTATAGGAAACTGTGAAGCTAATAGACCATGCGTGCAATGTCGAATGTTCGGTACAGGGGAACTAGTGGGAGAGGATTGCAAAACTAAATGTAAAGACTTTAGAATCACCGCAGTAGACGAGTTAACATCTGGTATGTAATTTTTGCCTCATCCTGTAATTCTAGTTTAAGGATTGTGCATGGAGATTTGAGCCCCTTTATCTTTTGCAGCACTCCTTTCAGTCGTGTTTAATGTTTTTTTCTTGTTGTTATTGTTGTTGTTGTTATTTTTTTTTGTATTAAAAGAGACTGGCTTGATTGTGGATACGAACATCCCAGTCTTCATTTTCCAGCTTAGTCTTCATACTTTTTTCTTTCCATTTGGTGTTGAATGAATAATCTAGGAGGGAGCTCCAGGTTACACGGTTGCCGTAAGAATTTCTAAATATATTCATTTCACCCTTTAAACCCAAGAGTGACCAGCGTCAAATTTCTCCCTACAATATCAGCCCTGAATCACATGTTAAGGTCATGAGAATAAAGGAAATGATCACCAACGAAAGAAGCTTTTGATTGGTAAACAAATTCTCCTTGTCAGCACCTTTAGAAATGTATAAAGAACAGTATGGAGAATATACATACTGACGTTAGAGTGTAAAGGGTTAAGACTTGTGAGTGGTAGGTGTTCAGCAAGACTTGCAGTAATATCGAACGTAATGTGAATACACATATGTGTGAAGTGTTCCGCCCTTCCCCCCAATACAGCTGAGCTAAAGAATATTAATACCGTACACTGGGACTGAGCTGATTAAAGGAAATCTTTGCGTGACACTTGCCAACGCGACATTGAGCATATAAAAAAAATCAATCCATTTTCATGATATCATAGTTCCATTTTTAACCAATTGTTGGTTGTTTCTTCTTATATAACTGCAATTGCAATTTGTGAATTCTGCCTCTCACTACCACTACGATTTGAATCTGATATTTCCTCCAGACATGGGCAAAAAGTGTCGATTCCGAGACGAAGATGACTGTTATTTTGGGTTTGCCTACACGGTAAGAGCAGATGGACAGTTAGAGATTTATACACAGAGGAATAAAGGTTGGTTCCTTTTCCTGAATTCTAGATTATCTAAAGATATTTTTAAGAATCCACGTGATGTCAAATAACGACGTAACATTGCGCTTTTTTCGAATCCTGTAGACTTTTTCTCTTGTTTTGAATAAGGATTACTGACACAGCGTGGTAGGAAAAGTAGAAACCGGAGTTCCACTTAGCCCGTAGCCGGATAGAGTGAACCTTTGGTTTAGACGCAACTACCGTATTTATTCGAATAAGCGCTGTGGCTCATGTCCGTGGGCGGCACTTATTTAAAAATCGGACTCGACAAAGAAAAGTTTACTTTTAACTGAAGATGTATTTTCTATGTGTATTAGAATTTTTTGCATTGAACAAACAGTAGTTCTCTTCCGGCACTTTTCAATTGCTTTACCAGCGGTGTCTTTACTTCATTTAACTTCGATCTCGCAAACCCCCTCTCAGACTAAAGTCTACAAGTTCCAGAGTGGGCGAGTACGCTTCTTTTACGCCTCAATCTTTTCTTTCGAAAGAAATTGCAACTAGTTCCCAAAGATATCGCACTGCGTATGAAGCATTTCCCTTCCAGTGCTACGTGGTTGTTCCTCAGTACTTTGAAACAGTTCATGTCATCTTAGTTCGAACCGTCCACAAGGACGTTCAAAGTACAGTTTGTGGAAGAATTCTTGGAAGAAGCTAATAAACTGCTTATGTCCTAGATGCCGCGCTTATTCGTGGCAGCACTTAATCTGAAGTAAATAAGGTTTCTCGTCCAATTGAACAGTAACTTGTAAATTCATCGTTCGATGATGATTTCCGAAGTCTGCATCGTCACATTAAAAATGCCATATTACGTGACTTTTAACGGTACTCTTTTCCATTGATGTTCTCACGTTGTTAATCTTGTCCTCATAGCTTCCGACGTTAGAAACCTAGTCTCCAAGCCTCGCTCCAATAAATTCTCGTCGCAAGGCCTCTTCTACCTCAGTCTAAGTGTACCCCTGGGTAATTAAGTATTATCGACGAGTTGATAACGTGAATTGGTTATCGTAGAGAGTTTAAAAGCTGTGGCCAATTTACGTAATCAACTCATTGATAATACTTAACTTAGAAACTTATTCCCTTTACTCTGTGTGCCCCTGATTGACTCCGTAGAAACGACCTGGGCCGGGTTGTTCAAAGAACGATTAAGCTAACCAAGGGTTATCCAAAAATTTTAGATTTAGTTTTGGAACTTTGCAGACAGTTTCTAATTATTTATTTATATTTTTACTTCAGTTTTGTCTCTGGCTAAGGTGAACCCCTCAAAATGTTATCCCCAATGTACGCTTCTAAACCTGGATTGTCGCCAACCGCCTTTTAAACAACTGGGCCCAACTGTACGATAATTTTTTTTCTTTTAGACTGTCCATCAGAGATGAAGGCCCTGTTGGTGATTCTAGGCGTGATAGGAGCCGTTCTCGCTGTTGCCTTAGCTCTCTTGCTGATATGGAGAGTGTTAGCAACGGTACAGGTGAGAATATCGGTCACTTGTGCTCTCATTACAATTTCATCGGGCAGCACTCGGCGTGAAACGACTATTTGCTGTCAACAGCTGATCTCCTTTGGTTATTTCTCAGACGTTTGGTAATCACCTCGTCCCTTGCTCGACAAAAATTGCTATTGCTCGTCAACTAATCACTCAGTTCGAAATGACGCGTTAATCGTCGGACGAAATACATCAGTAGCAATTAGTCCGCTGATTAATCTGTGAATCTGTAATCCACAAGTCTTAAATAATTCCTGAAACTACAAGCACTTGTCTTAATGAAGCACAGCCAGGGTACAGAAAAGAGGAATTGTCTTCCCTCAGATATCTAGCTCAATAATTCATGTTGAACGAGTTAAATATTCTTCATCGCTTGGGACGAACCGCAATATACTAACTGAGTTGGTTATGTGACTTGGCGACCGTAAAGAGACTACAAAGCTGACGTTTCGAGCGTTAGCCCGTGGTCAGTGTAAATCCGTTAGGCTTTAGAATCTCTTAAGGTGGCCAATTCACACTATCGTAAGAAAGATCGTAAGACCAAATTATTTTGTAATCCCCGGCCCACTACGACGCAGCGCCCCAGTTTACTTCCTTAATTTATGGATAAAGTGCTTTGCAATGTTTGAGACCGGGAAAATTAAAAAACCAAAAATTAAAGCGATGAAACCCTTCGATTTGGCTCATTATTGCCTTATTAGGGATTGATACAATAACCTCACCTTTTCTCTTCATTATTTAAATTTGCAAGTTGTCTTTCTATCTTTAGGACCGGCGAGCATTTGCCAAATTTGAAAAGGAACAACAGAAGGCAAAATGTGTCATGGTATGTCTTTTTAATAACATTTGTTGCTGTTTTCAAAAATGAAGGTGGAAACATTGTAGTGTTCCATTTGTTCTTTCGCAGGCTATAACGCATTCAGTCAATAAGTTAGTCAGTGATTCAATCAGTGAGTGAGTGAGTCTATCTTTGATTCAATCAGCCACTCAGTCAGCCAGTAAGTCAGCCAGCAGGTTGGTCAGTTAATCAGTCAGTCATTCCTCAATCGGTCGCTCGTCGAGTCAGTCACTCCTTAAGTCAGTTAGTCAGTCAGTCAGTCAGTCAGTCAACCAACCAGTCAGTCAGTCAGTTAGCCAATTAGTCTGTCAGCCAGTCGGTCACTCAGTCAGTTATTCAACTAGTCAATTAGCTAGTCAGCCAGTCAGTCAGTCAGTCAGTCAGTCAACCAGCCAGTCAGTCAACCAGCCAGTCAGTCAACCAGCCAGTCAATCAGTCAGTCATTCAGTCAATTAGTCAATCAGTCAATCAGCTAGTCATTTAGTCAGTAAACCAGCCAGTCGGTTATTCACTCAGTCATTCAGTTTTTCGGAAGTAAGTCAATCAGTAACCAGACCGTGCGTCAGCTTCTCAGCTAGTCATTCGGACAATCAATCAGTCAATTTCTCAATCGCTCAGTCAATCAGCCAATTAGTTAGACGGTGAATCGTTTAGTCTGTCAACCAGTTTATTAGACAGTCAACGAGTGCGCAAGTTTTCCAGTCAGTCAGTCATCAGGAAGTTGGTTGCTTAGTCAGTGAGTCATTCAGTTTGCTAATTGATCTTTCAATCAGTAAGTCAGGCAATAAGTGAGTCACTCAATGAGAGAGTCAGTCAAAAATTTAGTTAAACAGTCAGCCAATCAATGTATCAAACACTGAGTTAGTCAATCCGTCAGTCAGTTACTGAGTCAGTCAGTCAGTTTGTTTATTAGAGAATCAGGCAGTCAATCTATTAGTCAGTCAACGAGTCAAGTAATCAGTCTTTTAGTCAATCATATTAGCACTTTAGTCATGTGAAATAATGCTATGGCATTCCCTATCCTTTTGTCTAAAAAAACAGGCCGAAAATCCGATCTTTAAGCCAACAACCACGACCTTTATGAATCCTATGTATGGAGTGAAAACATGAAGTTGGAAATGGCACTGACAAAGACTCCAATGGGAGTTTCTTGGGGAGGCGCTTCTCACGAGACCTCAGTGTAGCTGGCGGACAGGTTGGACACAGGATTGGTCAGAACGGTTGTGACTAAAAAAAATTCCAATTGTAAAATCACACTGAAGATTTGAAACCGTCATCTATTTGCTCTTCAAATCAAAAATTTTAGACTCAGTTCCGGTCAATTCAGTAACAGTAATGTAACTCTCTCTATGATAACTCTGTCAGGAGACACTTTTATCATCGCTCTGACGAAGGACTAACGCTCGAAACGTCAGCCTTTTAACTCTTTAGGGTGGCCAATTAACGTTTTCAACTCAGTTGATAACAATAAATTACACTTTTCTTATTTGTTTCGTCTGCGAGTTAAACACTGTTTGAAGAACTTTCGCAAGAGGACAAGAACTCGAGCGAAAAGGTGCATGTGGCCATGACGAAGAATGAATAAGCGAGTGACGCACTCCAGAATACAGATTGATTTGGAGTGCGTTTTTCTTGGAGGAACTCCGTATTTTTGTATCAATTAATATACGAAACAAGAAATAGAAATAGTTAAAGGATCCGATGAGTTTTTCGCTCTTTGTAATGATTTTTTCAAGTAAAAATCGGAGGTCAGATGATGGACAATGTTGAGGACGCTCGGATATTCAGGGTAATTCTTAATCGAACTAAATGAATATGACTGTCGGCATACTGGTTTGCCAATATCCTACCCCCGCCTAAAGTTTAACAAAGCGAGTCACGAAAAGGAAAGAAACAAATGCTAGGAGCCATAACAGTCGTTCTAACCTACGTACGTTTGTGCGATAAAGATTGGATGATTTTCCAATCAAACTCGAACAAACAATCCTTATCATTAAATAACGAAATTTTCAACTTGACGAGTCGGTGTATACAAATGTGGTAAAATATTTAAGGATCTACAATAAGTACTGGCCAGAAATGAAGCAAATGGATTACAAGGTCAAAAAAGACCTCCGAAGGAAGTCCTATGGACGGACAAGGATTAGTAGAATTAGCCAGATGTCTTAAAGATATGATAAATTCGGACTCGTGGCTGGACTTTGCTAATGCTTATTTTGCTTTGGGAGTCTATTGAAGTGTTAAAGTTTACTGTCATCGATCTCGTGTTTCAACCAATAGTCGCCAAATGAACGAGCTCTTCTAAACATGTTAAACGAGCTATAATTGAAAGTTTGAGTTCCTTAAATTTAAGTCCCTTTTCAAGACTTTGGATCATTCTCGAGAGTCGAGAATGATCCAGGTATGCTTCGATTTCGTCACCACCCTTTCGACCAATCAGATGCAAACTAAAAACCAATGGCGACTTTTTGCACTTTAATAATTTACACCCCAAGAGTCCTTAGAGTGATAAACATCTAATTTCTCCCAAACAGAGTTACCCCTGAATCAAACATGAATTTCGTGAGAATAAAGGGATGATCTTGAACTAAAGAAGCACTTGATTGTTTGACAAATTCCTCGTAGGAACTGTACAGAGAACAGTGTGAAGAACTTGTGTACTGATGCCAAAGTGGAAAGGGTTGAGCAGTTTGCTCGTTTTCCTTTCCCACTGGCTCCGCCGTGTGACGTCTTCTTCTGGACCTTTGCGTCCATTGCCCCTCAAGGAGTTAGTAGGTGCAAATACCAAGCCGAACGGCTCAAGGGAGAGAAAAGAACGTAAAAAAGTACACCCACGCCAGTAACTCTGCCTTGTTATTTTACTTCTCAATGAAAAGGATCGTGTCATAAACAGCCACTACTTATCTGTATTAATCACCTCAATCAACTTATGCAAAAGAGTTTTGAATCAATCGCATATTCATCAGCTGAAAATCACTTCATATGATGCAGTAAAAAACCGTAAGCAAATGCTAACCGGAAGTTTACGGAAGTGAATACTTCGCGTCATATGGCGGTGGATAAATGTGGAACGACGACGATGCCCAGATATGCAGACTGGGATGAGGTCAGTGGGTTCTGACGCCAACCAATCAAAACAGTTTGGCCCTCAATTACGATTCCTCTCGTTGAATAATCAAATGGTGACTGAACAATTTCACTCATACTTCAATGATTTGAGCGTGGGACTGAGAGATAATTCATGAACCTCTCGCGCTGTTAACTGATCCCATCCGGCATCAGAATAAAAATTGGAAAAAAAAATCTTCAAGCTAATTTAGCCGGCCCAATGAAGGTTTCTAGAATTTAAAATTTGTTAACACATTAACTTCTTTAAACATTTTCTGTCTTCCAATCTAAAATCTCGCTTAGAATTTTCTCTTCCCACTCTTGCTTCTTGTTGTGCTTCTCAAACTCCAACAGACGCTTGTCTCTTAGGGCTGCAGGCAGTTGCTTCTTCCTCAAGTTATTGATCATTACAAGAATCACAGAAGAATCTCCCGTGTCCATCCCCCTCTGAAAAGCCATGTGTAGCTCCTCACGGCAAAAGTTACTGGCAAGGTAATTCTGTGATAAAACAATTACTACTTGACGGCTACCGTACACATTGTCCGCCATATTTTGAACGATGGGCTTGCCAAGTTCAAAGTCCCGGCTATGAATGCTGTAGGCTATTGAGTGTTTCTCAAGCAGTGAAATGAGATACTCATTGACCCAGGAAACGTCTTTTGAGCTGTAGCTGACAAAAAGTTGATTTTTCAACACCTCATCATTGAACCCACCTATAAGCAAAAAGAAAATAACGACCCTAGAACCTATTCAGCTGTTAAAGTTAGCATCTAACCATGGACATTATCGGCGGAGCTCTGCTCAGAGAATAAGGGGAAGGTGTGCTCTGGTTCGGGGGCCATAATTTTATTTGGGGGAATAATATGAAGGATTTTTACAGTTTCCACAGGAGTCAATACCCAGGCAAATTTTACACGGTTTTAACGAATATAACTGCCGTTGTTGAGCTTCACTTTTCAGACCCAGTTTGAGGAGTTTTTTGAGATGTGGCGCATTCTGACACTTACAGTGATGAATAACATTCCAACATTTAACTGTATACGCTAGAAATTTTTTTAAGTTATTCTTGTCGCAGTAAACTTACAAGATTGGCGATGTTAGCCGGTTCTTTAGAGTCAATGTATTTTTTCATAAGGAAAAACATTACACGAATGAATCAAAGGAACCCGTCACTCTTTATTGCCAAGGTGGGTCGGAGGCTTTTCTTGCGGTGGGCGGGGGTGGGGGATCACAAGATCTTCTGGAGTAACGGAGGGGTGATCGTCGTCACGAACAGAGTTTGAAAAAAGGGAATATAGACAACTGAGTGCTAAATTCTTGAAACTGCCAATGAGGTGTGGAAAGGATCATAAGAATGTTACAGAGCTTTATAAAGAGGGGGGACATTTCATCGCAACTCAACTAAAATTCTTTGAACCCTTTCCCCCCCCCCCCCCCCCACCCCCCCCGACGGTAAATGAGAAAATAATGACCAGTCCCTTAAAGAGGATGTAGACTGGTTGATATTTGATTCTTACGACCCTAAATATTCATCACTCGACGAACTTTGGTTTAATATGTTCCTAACTTACACTTTTCAAGTTCGTAAGATGACGTCCACTTCTTTTTCACTCCGAACCGCACGGCTGCCATGAAAATAGCAACGCCACCTACTGCTGCCAGAATAATGATCGGCAATAGCCACTTTTTGCGCTGTCCTGCAGATTAATAAAACCATACAACAAATAATGGCTTGATTAAAAAAACCATGATCCTTCCTAGTAACCACAACTTAAAAAACGTTTTATGATCTGTTGAAACTAGGATTTTAGAGTACTGTTGAGCAATAACATATTTCTTTGTAAGGTGATAATCTACCATGGAGTCTAAATCAAGTTTTGTAATTTTGTGATAAAAATAGCAGAAAAAGGTTGGTGTTAGTGACACTGTCCTATGGCCTGTGTCCGCAATGACTCAGGCATGCAATTATCGATTTACAGAAAGTTACTGATATTTATTTATTTCATTCCCAATTTTAAATTCGAAACGTTCTAATATTCATGGCCGATTATTTCTTATAACGTTATTCTTATGTTTAGGTCATAATTTATTATTCTAATTCACCATGTAATATCTATGATTTACTGACCTGAAAGTGGATATAGGGGGCCAGTCGAAACGTTAACCACTGTTGGTGGGTCTGAATAATGGAATGAAAGTTACAGAATGCTCAACGAAAAAAAGACATCGAAACCGCCCTTTCATGCACAAAATGCACTCGCTCTAGGTGACTGAGAAGCTAAAAAACAAAGCCATGGAATAAAGTAATGCCCCATTCATAGACTTCGTACTTTGAGGCCTGCCAAAGTATTCTTATTAATCTAAGTAACAATAATTAACAACTACTCACCGAAATGGAGATGGCTAATGGTGGATATTCACCGATCCACGAAGCGGCGCGGTGAATATCCTTCGCAAGCCACCAACACCGGAGTAAATAGTTGTTTACTATGTTAACACTAAAACATTGAGATAATATGCACAAAAAGACGATTTTAACTCATTTTTCCCGCAACGATTAAAATACTTCCGGGTGCAAATCCCGCGCGCGTAACTCATAGGTGATTACCAAAGGATATTCCGAGTTTTAGTAGACAACCATAGCGCGACTTCAACGGTATTCATCGTTTTAGTACGTTCTAATAGAAGAGCGAAGTTGCTCTGTAGGGTGGGTAAGGGGAATCAAAGATTTCTTCCCAGAAAACGCAGTTTTTACGTAACCTCGGGTTTTCAAGAACTATTGAGTAGTTTTCCAGGTTTCAACGGTTTCTGCACCACACTGAGCGAAACTAACCTCTTTATTTACTTGTTGTAGAGGTTGGTTTTACATAACTGGGTTAGTGACTTCATCAGTTCCACAATACCTATATTTGCCCATTCAACTAAGCAAATGTTTTAAAACGGAAAAGCCATTTTTAATCTTTCATGGCGATCAATATGAGAATCGTAGCGGTAAATTTTGATGGTAACAGCAGCTACACATTTTCCAAAGAAGAAAAACTGACATAAAACACTCACTGACATAAAGATAAGCTTCGTACTCAAGATGTAAAATTGAGAAATTTGAGAAAAACGTTTTTCCCGAAAGCATTTAGATCGAAAGATTACCCATATGAAAACAACAATAAAGATGGAGGCGAAACTTTAAGAATGTTAACGAGTCTTGGGAGACTGATGATAATAGACTAACATGAAAACTCTTACCAGTGATAGACTCAACAGATACTTTCAACTTAATGGTAGCTATCTTATCCTCAAAGTATTCGCATATCCAGTGACAGCTGTAATTTCCTTCATCATTTTTCGTAACGTTAAAAATGGTCAATCTAAATTCTCTCTTGCACTTGGATTGAGTTTTCTTCTCTAATATTTCGTACTTTCCACTATTTCTCAGAGGCCGCCCATTGGCGTACCATCGTAAGTCATCTGGACAACCTTCCTCGGATTCATAAACCAAGCAGATCAACGTTGTATTAAAAGATTTGCGCGCGAGAACTTCCAAGTGTTCAACAATTGGGTCCTGTGCATGTGGACCTATGAAGGAAAAAGATTCCCTACTGTTGAGTTGGTTGTATCGATGTGGATTGTATGGAGGCAGAAGCGTCAGGACTTCTAGAAAAGAAATTCTAAATGGTGTTTGTCCACTTGGAGACAATCTATTACAGGTCCACCCTCGCTCATGTGGTACGTGAAAGGTAATCGTAGGCTACCAAACTAAAGCTTTACAACCAACAGTTATAGAGGCGCGTCTATAACAGATCCTGTAAATTATTCGTTATAAAGGCGCTTTGGTTGGAATTTTGGCTCAGATAATTTCAATGACTCTTGTAGTTTAAGCTATTTTATAGAAAAGTGAAATCTAATCCCACATTTAGGGAAATCAGATTTACCAGCTTAACCGCACAGTCAGTAGCGAAGAAGATGTCAGATTCGAAATTTAAATTATCTTAAATTACAAAAGTACATTTTGTATTGTCCTATATTTGTTTTTCATTATTCATCATATACATTTTATCCACTTTTACACGGAGGTTACTCAGCAATTAGCTAGTTACACACGATCCCTCAAGCATGTAATGCTTTCATTCTCATTGTGTTCAAATAAAGGACCTTACTTACAGCAAGCGTGAACCAATAGGAGAACTAGCTGCAAGCAGATCAGAGAGAAACTAATTTCAGGTAACAAAGGGAGTTGGTTTCTAAAGAAACTGTGGAGCTGGGTCGGTGAGAGAGCATAACAGGGTAATTAAGTATTATCAATTGAGTTGATAACGTAAATTGGCCACCATAAAAGAGTTTTAAAGCTGACGTTTCAAGGTGTTAACCCTTTGTCATCGCTCTGACTCAGCTTTAAAATTCTTTCATTTATGGTAGCCAATGAACGTTATCAACTCAATTAATAATACTTAATTACTCCAATTTCAGGAAATTCAGATCAAAATTTGCCACACCAAACTGGGATAAAGTTCGGCTTACTTCGAGCAATCGAAATTGAGCGTAACGAGTGGAGAAAACCTGAGTAACTCTTAAACTGAGAAATCCTATACCACATTTCAAAACGGAATGGATTTTAACCATATACTTACACTGGTATATCGTCTGTATCATTTTAGATTTACTGCTTGACCAGCCTGGAATGCTGTTTGTAGCATTGCACTTATAGAATCCTGCCTGGTCCTCGCGTGCAACTTGAAAATTGAGACTGCTGTGGAGAGTTTTATTTCCTTCCTTCCCTAAGATCCTGTCCAACTGATAAACTGCTTTTGACTCGTCAGTGATTAGCTTCTCTTCCCTGAACCAATTAGCTACGGGCGGGAGTGGCCATCCCGAGAAAATACACTTCAAATAAGGTCGTTCCCCTTGTTGGATTATATAGGGAGATTCCGTATGATCGTCTATCTTAAGTTTGCCTGAAGAAACGAAGACAATAACATCCCTTGTTATGTCTGAGATTATTGGTCTCTAGGGAAACTGATGAGCTGTGTCGGTGGGCAAATGAAACGTTTGGTGATAAAGCTAGTTTTTAGCATTAACCATTTATCGGGGAAAATTTCGTCAACTTTGTACCAGTGTGCTTTTTATATTTGTTCTGACAACAAAACAGTTTGAATAATCACGTAACTTGACCCACGCCCTTCGCTACAGTATACGCCTCCACAACCATAATGAGACTGATACCTACGTGTGAAGAATATCTTGGTACACTTGCATGAAATATTTTGGGAACTCTCCTGTAAAGCTAGATCTGATGTGCCATCTCCTTTTCCAGCCAGCTTCTTTGCTTGTTCCCAGGTTATGTTTTTTGCCGCTTCTGAGGAAAGCGTGCAGTCAAATGTTATGTAAGAGCCTGGATCCACTGTAGTTCGATTAGCATATTGGCAGTCGGCTCCGCAAGAAGACTTTATTTCGCAGTTTGATTTTGCTGCAGATGAGACACCTGTTATGGGAAAAGTAGAAGAATTCCCAATATTGCAAAATTTTCTCGTAAACATCCAGCAGAGATCAACTCATAACGTTGATTCTTCTGATCTTTACACGCAATTTCGCAGTTTTTTTCGAGTCCTTTGATGATTTATTTCTTTTAGTCCATGACATCAACGACAAAACGCGTTTTTGTATTTTTTTGACGCAACCTGAATAGATGCGTCCTTTCCTTATTAAAAAACAGAAGATACGAAATGATACGAAAGCAAGTTTCTGGTTTCCGACAGTAAAGACCATTATCACATTTTTTTTAAATTTTTTTTACTTCCGTATTGTAGAAATTTCTGAAAGTGTGAGATCCATTACTTATACTGATGGAAAAAAAATGTATTAAAACGTCCTGATGTTTGTTTATGCAGATTGGTTAGTATGTGGGGATGCAAGTTAAACACCTCATGAGAAACTCACATAAGGTACATTTCTGGGAACCGACGAAAATTTTGAATAATTGCAACGTCAGGGGAAATTATTACTGTTCAGTGGTAGTTTGTGATCGACCTGGCTCTGATCGTAAGAATGAATATAAGTGTTCTGTTGGAGAATAACACCGCATAGCATAAAAACGACTTACTATACGACCCCACTGGATTTAACAAAGTCTTCCTTGCTGACCCCATCAAGATAATTCAGTTAGGCTTTATGTGTTTAAATATTTTTACAGTTACGAGGCCTCTAACGGCACGAAGAACCTTTTAAAGTTAGTCTTGATTGAAAAAAACTTACAGATATTTTCCTACATCAACCGGGTTTCTGAACGGCAGATGGAAAAAAATCTCTGATGGAAAAAAAATTTTCCTGTTCCTTCAATCAAATGAGGAAGAATTATAGATGTATGGTGTACGTCGGGTTAATAGAACGCTCCGCTAAACATACCTCGATTCATCAAAAGTAAAAAAGAGTACAGAAGAAAGCTTTCTAAGTGTGTTCTGAGATAGCGACTCTTATTGTTGTCCATAACAGCTGCGAACCACAAGTTATCCTTACTCTTCAAGCAGTTTTTTCACGACTTCAATTTTCAGTAATGTCTTCTCAGGATTTTGTTGTAGATGGTTTTGCCAGGCTAGCCACTGATTTATCTTCGCGTGGCTTTCATGCTGTTATAACGACCAATTTACTGCAGCTAAAAATGTTCAAGGGAAGCCTACCACGCTTTCCTCCCATCTATATGCTAATATGTATTAATTATAATCTGATAAACGCGTCACTTTTAAACTAAATACGGACGTGATGCTCACGAATAGAGCTTCGCGTCTGTCGCAGTATAACGAAGAGCACAGAATACGTTGAAAGCAATTATTTTAAGTTGTTGTCCGATGTGTTTGTTCCATATTAAACTTTTGTTAATTTAGGTATTCCTTTTCTCAATATTTTCCCAAAATTATTTAGGAAGTTTAAAGATTCTGCCCTCAAAGCAGCACGAGGCCTCGACTGAAAGGAAAAAAAGAGATTTACTTTTATTTGGGACTGATAATTATGTCGCTCCATTCTGTGGGTGTTTTTCTTTCTTAATAAGGAGTTAGGCGGCAGGATGAAAACCTAGAGTAAGTAATCGCTCTTTTATGGTGCCGAAAGGAAAACCGATGTAAATATTTATTCATGAATCCCTTGAAGAGATTGATCCGATATATCTAGCTTTAAGTCCTTTCTGATCAAAAAATAAACATTCACACCGCACGAGACAATGAATAAACCAACCCTGTGCCAAACTGTCATTTTACCACTTCCCTAACCCTAACCCTAAGCAAGGATTTTTTTTTATCTTTGAAACCTCTACCGAAAACAGCTACCTCATTGATGATTTGTTTTATTTTATCACCCGGATGCCTCAGTATTTTGTTATTGAACCTGCCTGTATATCTGAAATGTAGGCTGAAATGCGTACTGTTACATCAAAAGTAATGGATCGCTTACAGCTCAAAAAACCAGACTGAGATGATATGCCTTTGAGCCTTGAGACCCATGAATGCTAAGTTTTTGGTAGAGCAAAGTGCACAAGTCCATGCTAGTATATTTTTATCAAACAAGAGAGGGAACAATTTTGTTGGATCAGAACCATTGCGATCTAGCGACACTTAAAGATTCAGCCGAGGATCATACGTAGACATGGATATATCGCGCAAACATAGACAATCAGGTACTTACAATGTCAGTAGCAAAGAAAGCAGTCGCCTTAAAAAATTTCTTCCCTTTTTATATGGTCAGAGGGTTAATGATTTTCATTAAAAGTGAAATCTTTGGAAATAGAAGAACAAAACTGAAAATTCATAGATACACGTTTGAAAACGTCGGAAAGTAAGCAGAAAAAAAAAGCAATTTACAGTCAGATTATTCGATACGGAAGAGATTCCCCAAGTTCTGAGGGGTGAACAATCTATTAAAAGTGAACCCTGAATTACAATTTCGTAAATTGGTCGATCACGTTTATGAATGCAGATCTTTTCGTAAAATTTGTTTACTAAACTCGCTTTTTTCTTTTAAGCAACTACTTGTTATGACTAAGCACAATTTCAAAGATTTTTTGGCTCATTGCCGAAAATTTTGCTTAGCTGGGAGAGGAAGGGCGAGAGAATCTCTTTAGAGTATGAGAAGGTACCTATCTTCTGGTGGATGTGACACAAACTCCTTTTTCAACCTCAACAGAAACACTGACAGGTTATATTCTAAATGCTTCTGCAGAAAGATCACTTGGTCATTATGTTTTTATTCCCTCCTCGCGGCCGGCTTCAATGTTGGATTCAACGATTTTTAGCATCTATTTCACGAACGAAAGTTGAATGAAACAAACTAAACATCAACCAATTACGATAGCGCATAACACTCAGCGCAATGGAATGGAACCCACTAGAGGCTGACAGATTTATAATCGCGACGTGACAATCAAACTGGGCAAAATCAAACTGCGGGAGAAACACAGTTTTGAACATAAATGGAAATATTATGCCTGGATGGAGAAGTAACTGGATGTTAAAAGAGTTGTTTTGAAAAATGCGAACCAAAATCCTTCATCCGAAACTTTTAGCGAATAGGCCGTAGATAGTAAATAAAATTTACCGCTGATTGTGTTGAAAATCTAAAAATACAAATAATTAGACATTCTCAGATTTGTTTCAAATTATGTTCAATACCATGATAACAGATTCTGAGGCGCATGATTAATGATGCTCAATCTTTCTAGTCGTCGTTAGGCTTCATTCCTTAAAAAAAGACTCTATAATAATATTTAAGCTGAATAATGAGATGAATGCTTCTATCAATTCCTTAGTATGGTGTTGCGCTTCCTTTACTGTGCATAATATCCAACCATGGTTCTTTTCGAATAGGCACGCGTGCTTCCTAATCACATATTGAGTTCTTGTATTCCCTCAATCAATGAAAGGATTTAACAGACACTTTGGTCTTTTACTCTTTAAGTGGCACGGAGAACTATATCTTTTATTGCACAATTTTGAAGAAGGGAAAAATTAAAAGCAAATTGATCCGTTGAAAACAAGAATATAGCAGTTAAAGCGTTCTTCAAAACTGAGGTGCAATTTTCTCTTATGTTATGTATTACGTTTTTCTATACGTTTGTGACTTTTCCCTTTCGAGTGTTTTATTCAAGTATCATTTTTAAAACCCTTGCTTCCAACTTGCGCAGGATGTACTGTAAACCGATGAAATAACACATGGCGCAAAAATGAATTGGGCAAGGTTGACCCATCATAACTCCTATGCGAACACTTTTTTCCTTTAATGAATTTTTCGAAGCAGGACTATTTAGGTACATTCAAGGATAGTTTCAAAAGAACCCGTCAACGAATATTATTGGTGGGGAACGACCTAAATATCTATTCATTTCCACATGGTCATTAAAGCCACGACGGGAAGTCACATCCATTTTAACTTTGTCTAACGCGCCATTGTATTTACTCGTCATTTTCCAAGAGAAAAATCACATTCCCGGCAAATAACCGGAATCAGGTCGTTTTCTTACAAATAAGCTTTGTCAGCAATGCATACAGACAGAAATAAACATCGAATGGAACAGTCATCTAGCCAAAGGCCTTGTCACACATTTCAGGATATGTCAGAATATGTTATGAGATAGTTAAAAAAATAAAATTGCTGATACATAGAAATCTTAGAACCATTTGTCTGATTCAATCTCTTGAACCTGAAAACTTATTTGAAAGTATATTTTTATTTGGAAAACAAAATATATAATAAATAAAGAACTGCTGATTCGTATAAATTACATCAAGAACAATATTCCCGATAAACAACAATCAAAAAGCATAGCCAGGAAACTTTACGTCATGTTAAGAACGTAAATTGCCTTTAATGGATCATGCGAAAAATATAATTTTTTAAAATGCTAATGTGCGAAGTGGTGGGAGCCCAGCTGTTCCAATGTTTTTTATTCTCACCACAAACTGTAAGTTTTATGTTTCAGCGCATGTAGCAATTAGTTTAATCGGGTTTTGCGTCACCGTAAGAACTCTGAACTCCAGAGTTGCCTTTCTATTAAAAAACAATCAAGCTGAATAGGCCTCTGAGTTCACCCATGAAAGAGTATCATGGTATAAATGAAACCTACGATCAAACCTGCATTAAGCGGTCACCCGCTCGAGGCGCACCCACAACCAACCCTAGCGTCTCGAATGTTCAACAAACCTCCTAGGTGCATTCATACCTCGATATACGCGCGGCTAAGAGAATGAACCAGTTCTTTACTAACATAGGCGACTAAATGACTTTTTTTTGAGCGAGTACCATTTATCTGACTTATATCAAACTTTCAAAGAAAAATCGCTTCTTTTGGCAAGTTTTCGAGGAAAATTCGCTTATTTAGTAAAATAAAGGCACAAAAAGTCAAAAAACCTAATTTGTAAAAGAGGTCTGAGCTTCATTAAAAGAACGGTTTTGATCATTCAATATATTGTTATTTTAACGCAAAGTAATACCATTAAAAGACTCGGGTGTACTGGTGGAAATTTCTTCGCTTGTCTCTTTGATACAATGTCGGAAAGTTTAGGAATACGAACTTGCGGCTTGAGTAGTCAAGAATTTTGGAGCAAGTGCATCCTTATATGTATGTAGGTACAGCCGTGCGTGAAGAGAATGCTATTTTAAAATTTGGCACAACCCTAGATGAGTAGAAAATAGAATGCCACATTTAAACCCAAGATTTTAGCACATGATTTACAACATATTATGAACCTTTCAAGCGTGAAATTAAAATAATACCGAGGAAATAAATGAAACTATCAAAAACTTGAAAAACATGATCAAAAGTAATATCAACAGTGAACGATTTACTTGCAAACAATGGTTGCATATTGCTTTGAGATCGATAAAGTTACGGTATTAGCATAGATGTAACTTGAAGATAACTGTCATCTTCTTCAACATCACTGTTTTTTAAATCCGAAAAATATCCCCTGAAAGAATATGCCGAAAAAAAGAGGACATTTCTTGATAACATCCAAAGAAGCGAGAACTTTTAACTTTCAGCTCAAAAATGGGGAAAAATTGAACTATGACTTAAGTCACGTAGACCCTCTTTCTTTACGGAGGAGGAATTTCTTAGAATCAGTACTTAGGGTTTTTTGAGAGGTCTTTTCCGTCTTTATGAGCTAAAGCTACTTAAATCATCATATATTAGGACACCTATGTAGAAACGTCTTTCGTGCAATCTTCAGAATTCCCATTAGATTTTTAGTTATTTGTTTTTTTGTAATTCTGTCAAATTTTCCTTGTATCCTTTCAGCACTGAGACAATAGTGCTAGAAACATAGACTCAGCTTAAGTGACTTCTCTTGAAAACACGTGAAATATTGAATCCCTCTTGGTTAAACGATACGTACATAATTCAATGGTGGATCAATAAATTTGCCTGAGTGGGAAAGGGGTGGGGGGGGGGAATTACTTCTCGAACGATCCACGACCGCTTTCACTCACGTCATCGACTTTTTG